GCTGTATTAAACCCACTCCACGCCTTCTTCCCTCCCTCTCTATGACTTATGCTGCTGGGAGGAGCTGAGTTAGGGAGGGGGGATACTTACGCCAGGTTGCGCCGCTCACCAAAGTACTAAAGTGTGCTTGGGCATGCCTTATAGGCACGGCGGACCTGACTTACGCCGTTCCTGCACCAAGCCGCCGGCAAGGCGCGAAAAAAATGGAGCCCTAAGTCTCTACAAGCTGTGGCTCCTGCTATGTGCTTTTGATGTGACAACCCCTGAGTCTCACATCGCATCACACAAGTATCTTGCATGAACAAGATACAGCTCCTTAAAACTTCAGGAGTACTTACATGAGAAAGGCTGTAGATGCGTACACACACTGTAAAACACTACACACCTGAAGTTATAAAAGCCCTGGTGGATTCAATGATGTGGTCTACAGAGGACAACCAGTCTGGGCTTTCTTCATGCATCACAGCAACACATCACAGCTTCCTGTGACTGTTCTGAGCTTCCTGTGACTGTAAAATGATAAAGTGTCTAACTTTGTCCAATTCAGTCGTCGTCATTCTCCCGTCACCATTACTCAGTGTCCCCCCCTCCCCCCCCCTCATTTCTTCTCCTGATGAGCTGAAGAAAAATGCTCTCAAAATCACAGAGTGACATTGTTGCCATGGCAACAGGATTTTCCCCTCTAAAGAGACGAGGGCACATTTGGAGGAGCGGATGATGTCACCGGAGCCCTGGTTACATATCCCAGAATTCACAGCAGGATGAGTCTGAGACAAACAGGGACAACATGGGGCAGGAAGGATTAATGTGTCTGATTGTTTCCTTACAGATGTGTGTGTGTGTGTGTGTGTGTGTGTGTGTGTGTGTGTGTGTGTGTGTGTGTGTGTGTGTGTGTGTGTGTGTGTGTGTGTGCTAATGAGGTCAACAGACACATTGTGCTCTATGTTTCTTACCAAGTCTGTGTATGTGTGAATGGAGCCAAGTTTTGTCTGTCATTGGAACTGTCAGGTTTTGCTCCGAGTTAATTCAGCATAAACATATTTCTTGCACCATACTTAACACCTAAGTCTGTTTGATACAGCACTGAATCGTCAGAGGGACCAGCAGTCTTTAAGTCTTTGCTTTTTTCACATTCATTCAGCAGATGTGTGACGATTTCACTTCGAAATCCAGAAGCCAGTAGTTATCAATAAAAGACTTCCAGCACAGTCTTTCTTTCTGTGCCACATATTGTTTAAAGTCTCACTAGAAACAAAGAAGCAGGAATGAAAATGGTGTTGAGGTTTCGCATATATACAGTATATAACTGCATATTTTCCTATTATTCATACCTAGTGTGCAGTCACACTGAGACTGTACTAAACTCACTGTATACAATTCTGTCTGAGCAAAACAATGCCAATATAACATCCACATGCCTGTGCTTGTTTTGCATTTAGTCATTTAACCAATCAAAAGTGCACTTACTGAACTTTGGTATGTTGTTGTTTAATTCTGTATTCAGCTGTCTTAAGCTAGTCTACCAGTCACGCAGTCTCTATCCAGTTAGGTAGAAGTTTGCAGGATGCAGTGTTAACATATTTCTGTAAGTTTGTACAGTTTTGCTCTTTCCTTGAGTCTGCACCTCTGCAGACATAACTGTTGGACTTAACCAGAGTTCAGTGTGAACTCGGAGACTGAAGGTTGTTATTTTCCAGCCCCTCACTAAATGTAATCGAACGTTCATTTGATGAAATAGTGTCCAGTAAAGTTCAAAAACAAAATTTTGATCAAAGAAAACATACTACAATTGATTTGCAAGCTAGCATTTGTTGTTGCAACGCTTCTGTTATGATTTATTCCCCGTTTGTAGAGTTTTTGTTTGTGCACGGTGTGACGTCCCGTTCCTTATTTTTATAGCCTGTCCTCTGAGCTCTCACAGAACACTGCATGCCTTTAAAGTTCATGAGGGTTCAGTGCTTTCAGGCTTTAGGGTGGACATGGAGTGTGTGGTCTGGGACACAATTTTTATAACCTTGCTAATCATAACATCACAACTGTTGCTCAAGAGAGACGTAAAAGTGGCATGCAATCCAACATGGCCATCAAGACTGAGATTCAGACTATGTCTGATTCAGCACCACATGGTAATGTTTAAGAGAAGAGAGCAGGTAACAGAACCAAGGACCAGCAACTCTCTTAAGAAGTGTATTGTTTTGTGAGGTGCACATTTAATCATGCTGTTCCAAACCAGGCCCCTTATCAGCTGCATTTTATTGCAGATACCTATCTTTGTAGACATGGATTAAACCTTGATCTGGGTCAAATGACCGCCGCTAGGTGCTCAGACTTAATTGCTCTCCATGCTACCTTTTTCTACATGCAGAAAAAACCTTTAATAGAGTTGTACAAAACCAACCACCAGAATCTGTTAATAGAGATTACTCTGTATCAAACTTTGCAGCATACGAAATCTTACCTGTGCACCCTGTTCAATATTACCAGGAAGGTCTGATTCATTTTCTGTTTTATTCCGTACACATCTTCAGGAAACACGACACGAGTAAACATATTCTTTATCTCTGCTATGATCAAAAACAGTCTGTCACCTGTGAGTAATTGCAGCTCTGACTAAGCTGATGTGTCCCCAAACTGTTGGCTGTAATACTGATGATAAGTCAGTCCCATATTAAATGGGGAACAGCTTTCAACACTTACTACCAAAAATGCTGCTATCGGTGCGCAGATGGTGTAAGTACCAAGTACTTAGAAACAGTTGTACCCAAATCTGGTGCAAATGCCTCTGCTGCATATGCACTGACATGCGTAAATACCACAGACAGTATTAAGCATGGTCGTAGTCTTAGTGACCTCACCCACTGGTTTCTGAGGAGGGGTATCAAAGCCAGATTTTAATGGTCACCACACTGTATATGCTGACTCACCCTATTTTTAGACAGAGGCTGAGCTGTTTTTTTAGAGGCACAACATCCGCAGAAAGACAAAACATAAACTATAGAGGCCAGGTTTTAGAACAGGACCTATTAGAAGGCTGCACCCTCTGTTTGGGTGTCGAGCAGCAATATGGAGCTCCTCTGAAAACAGTGACCCAGGAAAATAGCACAAGGAGCTGGAGCTCACTTGGTTTATTAGCAAACAAATGTCAGCATTTGCAATAAAGTCCATAACTTTTGGGATAAGTAGAGACAATAGACTGTATATAGAATGGACACCGTCTACCTCCTCGCTGAGTGAAGCCAACATGAGAACAGCACCCTCTGGTGATGGGCTGCAGTATAGATCATAAATCCTGCCTCCTCCAGCAATCCCTATGGAGCTGTGGACAAACTTTAGAAATTAATTACACAGAATATAAAATATTCTCCCCTCTGGTTGCAATGATGACATGTTGTTATTGTAACACTGGTTTGTGCTCAAGTCCTCTTTTTTCTATGCAGATCCATTTTCAAAAGTTATTAGGGGGTTCATGTTTTTCAGGATTTACTTGATACAGCCTATGGGCGTATGAAGATTGCATAGCTCACACTGTTTGAGCAGAGCGTCATCATAAAGCAACTCTCCCACTGAATATGTACAATGCTACTGCGCAAGTGGTGGTTTCAGGAAGTGGAGAAAATCGCAGAAATACCGAGAGCTTTTTGGCTTCAAATTTGTATAATGATGGAAGGCAGAGCCGAGTTGTCCATACAATACAAAGTCAATGGGAGAAACTGTCAGCTGCGTAAAGAACAAAAAAGCATTTTGGCCATCGGTTTTCACTTGACAATCAACATTAAAGCAAACTGAAATAGCCTCTGTAGTGATGAGCCGTTTTTCTCACTGGATGGTTAAATGTAGATCTGAACCTTGAGAAAACAGTCTGTTAGCTCAGGGAGTGTTTCACATGTACAAACTAAACCACCAACTTCTGGCCTGGCATGCGAACTCCAGCGTTTTCAGTTGCTTTTGCAGATCACTGCATCCAAATCATTTTCATAATATTGTCATAAAAACACAGATTTTTACTTTTCAAAATTAAAAGGAAAGACCTTTTCTACAAACAGCTTCATTATGCCTGCATATCAGACAGCTCGGCTACATCCAGGATTTCTGCAAACACGTGACAACTCCCAGCAGCCAGCCAGGCTCAAGTGGACACTCAAGGAACTGCAGCCTGCTGTACTTGTGCACTGGTTTTATTTAAAAAAAAAATGCTGGTTACTGCTTTGTGGATGCATGATAAAGAGTTTCTTGGCTTTGGTGGTCCCACTGACAATCTTTTTGAAGAAATACCACGAATGTGCCCTCCTGAGTGCACATACTGTAAATCAAACATGCTTAGGTTCCTTCTAAGGTGGCCCAGTTTGCTGGCAGATAAGAATATTGCAGACCACCTCAGGGTGCCCTTCCAGTGGGAGAAATGTAATTCCTGCTGCCTAACATGATGGACAACAGTGTGGATCTGATTAAAAGTCATTAATTTATCACTTTCTACTTACTGCCCCCCCCCCCCCCCCTGCATGCAGCTGCTGCCTCCAAACTGTGTTTCCGCTCACCTTTCAGCCAATCTGAGTCAACCTCTGGCAACTATAAATTAAAATGCAACTCAATTACCCATCAAATGAAGCTGTCATCCATCCGTACACAGTGAGAGCCTCCAAAGATGGAGAAGAAGAATGGAGTGGGAGGAGATTAGAAGAAAAAGAGGGGAGGAGATTTAAAATCGTCAGCAACCAGGCTTTTGTGCTTTCTCCCAGATTTACCCTCTCTCTCTCTTTCTCCACCCCCCTCCCCACTCTTTCTTTCTCTGTCTCCCTCTCTCACCTCTCTCCTCAGTGCATCAGCCGACAGCTCACTTGGAATATGCTCTTACTTCCCCCCTGTCTCAGCTCTTCACTTCCTCTCCTGACTGACTCACTCACTCCTGCTGCTCTCCTCTCCAACCTTCTTCCCCCCCGTCACCTGCTCCTCATCCTGAAGACACCATGGTAAACAGATAACCTCCTGGCCGTCCTGACACTATGGGTGCCTGCCTCTGCAAAGGTCACAAAGGTCAGTCCACCTGTTTGTGTGTGCATGTTATTACTGTGTGATGTTTGGGTCAGGCTGAAGGAAATGTGGACTGTTAAGTAATGACTGTTTCGTAAAGTTGCATCATGTTTTCTAGGATAGCACTCATCCCTGTGGTGTCAAAAACCCATCTGGAGCACATCTATAGTCACTTAGAGGTATTTTAAGCAACTAGCATGAAACATGACATGAATGGACTAATTCAAATACAGAACTTAGAGCGGGGGCAGGCTGATGTGAGGGATTGTGAGGATCAGCAGAGGACAGCAGTGGCTGTCTGAGATATGACAGTTCCGTCCAAAGCTTGTATTTAACTTGAAATGTGACTTGGGTTGCAATTTTTCTTCTTCATTTTTTCTTATGACTGTCGCCTTCAGATGCAGTGACTCTAAGTGTATGAGCAGCCACTTTAAGCTGTCTCTCCTCACCTTAATCAGACTGCTGGACAAATAAGCAGCTGAACCTGACCCTTGATGATCCACAGTATGAAGCATGTCTGTTGGTTTGGTGAGGTTCTTGTGCAGGATTAAGAAAAAATGGTGTGTTGAACTGTTCTGGTGCTTGCTGCCTTGTGTGTTCACTTTGTTTATGTGCATGTTATACCAAGGTGTCAGTATGTTCCTCTGCACTATTCCCAAAGACAAATATACCCTCAGGGGCATCTAGGCTCAAGTATATCTAATCTAATTTAGTCTAATCTAACTAAGGGAAGATTGAGGACAGTGGTTGCATTTCTACAGCTGTCTGAGTAAAATTAGCTGTTCCTTTTTGAAGACAACACACTTTGTTGGGATGCATATTAGTGTTAGCGGAAATTAGTTCCAGCAGATATGAACATTTCTGCAGATAAGGTAGCACAGTAATTATAAAGCTGCAATGACGGTTCATGCACACCAATGACAAGCGTTAATGATGTCAGCTGTGTGTAAGTCTTCTTAAGTGTTGTGAACAGACAGTAAAATTGCAAAGCATTGCTGATGGAAGGCAGAACTGCTGTCTTTTAAAGGTGCAGTGTGTAACACTTCTGGGAGCAGGTCCACGTCAATGAAGGCTGCCATCTTGCACCACCAGCAGCACAGGACAAACTAGTCACATGCTTCCTTGTTATTAATTGAGTGATCACACACAAAACATCAAATAGATGACAAAAAAAAAAAAAAAAAGAAGGAACTTGTTGGTATTGCTTGCAAAAGAATTCATATGAATTGACATTTTTGATGGTAGGGACTTGATAAATGCACAATCATACATGTGACGCAAAAGAGGAGCTTCTTGTCCTTGAGGGCTACCATCACTTCACCTACATTAGGGGTGAGCAAGGGAGCATTTCAGTCTGAGTGCCATTTATTGCTATATTTCTCTATTTCTACACGCTGTATCTTAAACTTTTAAGGAGTGCTGATGGCTAAGAGTGCTAGCTCTGCTAATGTTAGCCACACCCATCGACTGTATATAGAATGGACACCATTTGCCTCCTTGCTAGGTGACGGGCTGCAGTATAGGTCATAAATCCCGCCTCCTCCAGCAATCCCTATGGAGCTGTGGGGGTTATTAGAGGGTTCATGTTTTCTATGATTGACACTTGATACAGCCTACGGGTGTACCAAGATTGTGTAGCTCAACTGGGGGATACGCTGTTTGAGCCGAGCGTCATTACAGTGACTCTTAGTGACTCTAACCACTGAATGCCCACAATGCTACTGCACAATAGGTGGTTTCAGGAAGTGGAGAAAATCTCGAGAGCACTTCGGCTTCAAATTTGTATAATGATGGAAGGTGAGGTTAATTTGTCCATAGTATATACAGTCTATGGTCACACCCTGCAAACCAGCTTATTGTTGTTGAACAGCGGTTTACTGACACCGTGTTTCACCATGACAAAAAAACAAGTTTTGACTGTTTTGTTTACCTTAAGACCAATCAGTTAGAATTCAAACAGATTTCTTTTAAACAATAAGAAGATTTGTCACTTGAAACATTCAAAGCCATAACATGTGCAAAAAATAAAGAAGCTTGTTTCAAAGTGATTATGTGATATGAAGTGATATGAAGATTATTACAGACTGTGTTTAAGATGTGACTGAGTCAATATAAGGGACAAAGAGAAAGAGACAAACTGCAACGAAATACAAGCAACAAAAAGACACAGATCATAAGTCCTCTGTAACATTGATGTACCAAGAACTGGAAATATGGGTGGGGACTTGACAGAACAAATGTGCAATGAGAAAAGTAAAACGTAAAAGGATTTTTTTTACAGTAAAAACTTGACAAAGAGAGAATCATACTTATCACGCATCACAAGAGCTTCTTGTCCTTGCAGGCCACCATTGCTGCACTGACAGGAGGAATGAGCAAAGGAGCATTTCAATCTAGAATCTGTGTTATTTGCAGATGTTCAGCTCTTAACTTAATTTCTTCACACTGTACCTTTAACACAACCAATATCTCTGTGACTCAAGAACTGTCATCCTAAACAGCACCAGGAGTTGTGATTACGCCAACACAGAAGAGTATTAGCACCTGCTCCCAATAACCCACCTTTGAAAGATGCAGGTTCTGCATAGTGGTGATGGTCTTGGCTTGGTACAAGTATCAGTATGGGGGATCAAAGTCTGTGTCAAAACTGGCAAAAACCCAGCACTAACTTAGTTGTGTTTATAAGACATTGTAACTCGTCTATTATGGCTGTTTTTCCCATCCTGCTTTGTGTTGGACTGAGTGTGTGGTCTGATAAGCTTGTTTTTCTGTTTTTCAAAGTCCCTGTAAGGAGTTTTTAACCGGCTGGTGCCACTTCATGAGCTTCAAAAACAAACCAGACCATCCAAAACAAGACTGACAGTTTCTTTATCATAATTCAAACAGCTGAAGGTGCTGCAAAGGGAAGCTGCAATTGTCACTCACTGTTTGTGTTGTTATGTTAGTATTTGGCTTTTTTTTTTTTTTTCATGCAGTTGTTTGTCATTTTGTGTTTTAGTGGAGGCTTTCTTTTGTTAAACCACAGCTGAGAGGACTCTTACAGTTAACTATCAGAGCTGTATTTCACTAGTGTGACAGCAAAACAGTTCACTGCAGATAAAATCATGAAGGAGTTGATATATGTGCGTCTCTTTGCTACCATATTGAGATAATCTGAAGAGATGTAACAATACAAATATGTGTTGCAGTATCTTCCATTTCAGCCACATAGATTATTTACAGCCGATATCTGAAGCTTGGTCTGGAAATATTTATTAGACAAAGGCAGCTTCTGTTGTGGCAGGACACATTTACTTCAAGGTGGAGGTGACTGAGTGCACTGCTTTAAAGCTGGGAAGAAAGCAAAGAGGCAGCTGTGAGGCTCCAAACTCACAGATAAGAAGACGAGTGAGTGTGTCTGTGTGTGTGTTTGTGAGAGAGTAAATCTGGGTAGGATTTACCCCCACAAGGACAGCAGTGTGCTCTAGGAAACATGATGTACTTCTTGACCTGTTAATAGCATGTGATGAGGCCAGGGACTGGATACACCATGACTTCACTTAATGGAAGGGTATCACTTGCCTCCTGTTGCTTTAGTGTTTCCATAGCAACTACAAATTGTCTTGACAACACCTCTCAGGGTAACCCCAAGCTTATTTGTGTGTGTGTTCTTTTGTGTGTAGGTGTGTGTATGTCCACTGACCTTACTAATGATGTTATCTCTCCATCTCTCCGCCCTGCATTCATTTCCTCCTGTCATTCATTTAAATTTCTCCATCAATTATGAGGCAAATGCATATGCAGAGAGACTCCGATAAGATGATCGACCTCTCTCTCTCCGTCATCCATTATACATGAGCCTTACTTGACCTCTGACTCAGAAGCATTGCTCTGAATTCTGTTGAAACACACACAGACACAACAAATTCACTCACGACATATGACAGCATGTTTTGTTTGTGTGTGAATCCCCACAGAGCTCCAGCATCCCATGACAGTCCTGCAGGACCAATCTGTGAAGGGTCAGCCATCTTCAGTCAAGGTGAGTAAAAACCCTCCCCTCTTTCTTAAATTGGTTTACTCCAGTCACTGTCAGGATGGACTGTATCACTTTTGGAGGTTATCAGCATCAAAACAGTCGTCAGCAGTGCTGCCACAATTACTTTTTTAAAAATTACGGATTACTCCTTTAAAAAGTAACTTGGTTACTTTTCTATTACTATTACTTGATTTTAAAGTAAGTAAGTTAGATAACTAGTTACTTTTTGAGTTACATTCAGCAGCCTCAACATTTTCTTTTTCCCAACACTTACTTTATTTTTTTCTTTATTTTCTTTTTTTCTTTTAAAACTAAAGATAGTCTTTCTTGACTGACAAGACAAAATTTTTTTTATAGAATATAAAATAAAGACAGTCTTTACATTTATGGCTGTATTTCCAGCTTGAGAACGTGCATGTCCCTCTTCCCTCCATTGTTGTTTATATTCGTTTTGCCGCAGCTGCATTATGTGAGTGCACATGTATTACATGTGAGTGGTCCTCGTGCTGAAAACATGACTTGTCGCCGATGTGACTGACATCAATCCCCCAGATGAAAACAAATCTACCTTTTTTTTAAGGAAAATAAGAAAAAAAGTAATGCACAGTGACGTGGACATGTAACTTAAATCTAATTTCTGGTTTGGAAATAGCAACGTGTTGAGTTAAAAAAAAGTGGACTAATTAGATTGGTGCATAACACGTTACCGGCATCACTGGTCGTCACTGAGGACCTAAACCAACAAAAAAGTCTGAGTCTGAGTAGTAAAGTGTCAGAAATACAGTGGCCCTAAAGGTTAAGTGCACAAACAAACATTACAGCCGTAAATATCAATGTTTAGTTTGAGGATGCACTCACCAGCTTTGCAGCTGTTGCCTGGATTGCAGGACAGGATGTTGCTCCACTTTGAGTCATGGTTGGAGTCTTACTGTGAGAAAAAGAAACAAAAGGGAGTCTGCTGTGGTGTCTATCGCTTCTGTTGATTCCCCCTCCAGGGCAGCAGCTAAAGAGATTCATAATGACATTATAGAAATGGTTGGTCATTGGTGATTGTTTGGTTTCCTCTTTAAGGTCATATAAAACATAAGACATGGTTTTATAACCAAATAAAAATCTTCTTGGGAGCTTTAAGTGTTGCTTGGACAACCGAGCTTTTAAATTGAAAGTTTAATAGCCTGAATATTTTATGTAAGGCTTTAAGAGTCCACTTCACTGTCTCCTTTAAGATTACCAGGATTTATACTTACAGTAATAGCACTGCTCACTTTTAGCTTGTGCTTGAATTATCTGCCCATTATGTGTTTATTTCACAGTGAGATCACTGTAGCTGTACGTGGGAAGATTGGCTCCATAGCTCTTTCACACATATTATGTACAGTCTGCTCCTCAGCCTGGCTCCATCACACCCTCTGCGCAGACAACGGATGTGACAATGCCAGCTTTTAACTAGAATTATTAATAACGCATGTTTTCTTTATATGCATTAATGAGCTTTGATGATAACATTCACTTTTACAAGGAGTAAATCTGGCATTACAAAGTTTCATTGAACGATCACTGCCTGTCTTCAGATGTGAGTCATCATTTGAACTACAGGATAGCTAATGTGACAAAGTGATAACTGAGACATTTCTTAATCGCGGCATCAGAGACTGCTTAAATATATGAAACACTTAATTTTTTTCTTTGTCAATTTTACATGAAAAAAGTCACAGTCATCTCCACATGTCTACTTTTGGATCATAATGACTTTATTCTCATAATATTGAATTCCCCTTCATGGATAAATGGAGTTATTCTTATTCTTATAATATAACGATTTTACTACTTAATTTTTTTAACAATTACCTATAATAGATTTTTACACTGCAGTTTGGTGAAGATTTTGAAGATTTTTGACATCCAGAATAGAGCAGCAATGTCTCAATGCAAAAACAAAAACCTGAAGAAAGTGATTGCAAAATTAAACATCCTGAAAATCTCAAACATGAAATAATACTGGATGTAAGCATGCATGCAATTTTTGTTCTATTAGTTAAGAAATAAGTGCAGTCTCTCTTTTCATATTGATTACAGGTGTTGAGGTGTGATTTACAAGCAGCCTTGAGTTGAAAATATCTTCTCTTGATGGCAGTTCATTCAGTCAGAGTGTGAATGCGGCTGGATTTCCATTAAAGCTGCCTGTTGTTGTCTTTGTCACCATTTTTGCATGAGAGAAATAAGTGTGAAGTGTGTGGATTGAATCATCATCACACATGTGACTTGATTGCCAGAGGCAGATTCACATAAATGTGGTTATATGTGTGAGTAAGGATGTATGATTCTTTGTTGGTTTTTATCCTCTGTGAGATGAAAAATAACACTCCAAATGAAACTGATTCAAAACTCCCAAGGCAGTTTCACACATGCAGCTGTTCTCTTGGTTCTCTGTGGGGATATTCGCCTGTATCAGTGGTAAAGATGTGATGCTCTCTCTTTTCATGTGGATCACACAGGATGGGCAGAATCCCTCCAATGGCAGCCTGGCAGATAAAAGTGGCCGCTACGACATAGGCGAGCTGGCCACCTCCTCTCTCATTGGTGAGACACATACACACAGCACACAAACACTTTATGAATCTAACACACAAAACTTGGTTAGAAGCAAGCTGGGAAACTGTATTAGTAACCACAGGAGTTTAGCAATGTCCCCCTCCTCCTTCATGCCATTTTCTCTGTGACACACAGAAGCATAACCAAACAGGCATGAGTCAACAACCAGGTACAAGAACTCATTTCCATTCCCCATTTCAGTTTCTGCTCCATTTTTGAGTCTGCTCCTTTTCCCATCTATTTCCCAATCCTGAGTCAGTCTGCCTCATCTCGACTTCTCCTCTCGCTCTGCAGAAGGTTAATTATCAGAGCTCATGTGTTATGCCTTGCTGGACTTTTCCCGGCGAAAGGTCCTTTATAACCCCGACAGTGTAATTATGAGTTTGTTAGACAAATAAAGTTCAGACAGAGGGATGAGCAGCTGACACCTGCTTTAGCAGCAGCAGAGCCAGTCCAGTGGAAAATAAAGGAGCTTCTTAACATTTAATCACCTGCCAGTCTTCACTTGAACTGGGGAAGGAGCTCCTCTGGAGTTTGGCAGTCATGAAACGCAGCTGACAACCGAGCTGCTAAAAGAGCCACATGGAGTAAACTCAATATTTTACAAGGATAATCATGTTTTGAATAATATCCCACAGACAGTACTGCTGTTTTATTCTTAGTGAGTGATGTAGTTTGATGATTTTTTTTTAACCAATTAAAGTTGTGCAAGCCTTACCCAGAATTTTAAATGTTCTACAGGGCTTTTTGGACTAAACACACTTCTTCATAACAAAGAACGTGGACTTAGCATTTAAAGTTTGACTTGGTGGTTGCGGATACAGCACAGATATATAAATCAGGACAGGAACAGGATCAAGAAAGAAAAAATGTTTAAAGTCCCACTCTGATCACTTTTTGTTTACTTCTTTAAGTGTTCTCAGTGGTCTTTCAATTGTGATTATGAAGTTTTAGCCAAAATTACGTTACCTGTGTCATTTTCAAGGACTTTTCTTCTGCAGAGCTCCAGTAGCGCATTAGCAATTCACCTCTGAGTCGTGGGCAGAGACATCGCTGCTCTGCACACTCCTCTGCACGCTAGCTTGCAGCCTAACATTGCTGGTGTAGTAGAAGAAGCAGGTAACATAGGAGCTATTCAGCTCTCTGACACTAATGTCTTTAGGGACATAATAAAAGTTAATATGATAGAGTTCTTACAAGCATTGCACTTCACTAACATATGCGCTTGTTCCGCAATCGTCCTTTTTATTACTCTGAGTCTGGCCTGCATAGTGGGGCTCCGGGGGTGGAGCATGGATTTGTGACATAGGAAATCTCACTGTGGCTGAACCTGCCGTTTGGGTCTCCCAGAGATTCACAGCGATTTGAATGCAGAAATACTCAGAAATGCAATTTCACACTTATTTTTTCTCAATATGTCCTGTAGCATCAGAAAGATACCATACGAAAATGTAGACAACAAGAAAAACATGTTTTTTTATCGCAGTAGGTCTTTAAAGATAACTCCCTGTATATACTGCAGGGAGAGAAATGAATTATTCAAACCAAAATAAAATGTTAGGATGGCCTTTTGTAATGAGCGTGTGTGTGGTTTTCAGGGATTTTGCGGCCAGCCTCAAGTGGACGATCAAGGAACTGCAGTTTGTTAGCACTTCCTCATTGGCTTTATTTCTCAAGACTGAATGTACAAGAAGTTGAGCATAGCCTGCGGTGGCACAGATGGGTTTGAGATACATGCTGCCCAGGACCAGTTCCTCTAGCACAACCCCTCTCTTCCAGTCACTTGTCTAAAATTGGATTATTTGTCAGTCAAACCAAAACTCCATAAAGGTTTATTGACTTCATAGTATCCCACAGTTTTCTTTAAATTTACGACTGACCATATTAGAATGACAAGCTATTACTTTTAGACTGGTCTGCCTTGGTATGTGTCCAGTTTGCTTTACCCAGTCGATTCCTTTGGAGCACTATCTCCTGGGCATACCGAAACACAATAAAATAAACTTTCTACATTTTATTACCTGTCTGGTATACTGGTCACTCAAGCGCATCAGCTTCATGCTCACCCAGTCTGCCTAGGTGCCAAAAGGCATGCTATGCAGCAGCTAAATATATTTTCTTGTCCACAAATTTCCCTGTAGTAAACTTGAATCTTAATGCTCGGTCATATTTATCTCCTCTCAAGCAGTGCAGTGTACCAGCTGGCACTGCAAAGCCAATATAGCCTTCTATTGTATGCTTAATGATGTGGACAAAAGGCAGAAGTGGATCAAACAATGGAAGACTTGGCAGCTGTTGTTATTGTCACTGAACAAGCTGTTGTGTTCACCAAATAGTTTGTGTTGTCGTCTGTTTCATTAAAAATCAAATATATAGGGTTGGATTTTACGTTACCCGTGTTAAATCTTGTGACCGAAGCAGATAACCACTCATGCTGTTAGGTTAACACAATGCCTGCTGGGTTACAAAAACCAATAGAGCCACATGTGAAGGGTGATAACAGCAAGTTTCATGTCTCTGTTTGTGGCTGCCATTGGATGAGAGGACATAGTTTTGACATAGTTTGACATAGTTTCAAACATTTGTGGCAAATGTTTATCAGGTTAAGAGTTCAACTTTAAGATTATTTGTTGGAGGTGAAACATCAAATCCTGCTTTAAACCTCTGATCTGAAAGGTTGGTACCATAGACTCTATATAGAACGTATGTCATCTGCCTCCTTGCTAAGTTAAGCCACTGTGAGAACAGCACCCTCTGGTGACAGGCCCCCTCCTCCAGCAATCCCTATGGAGATGTGGACAAATTCTAGAAGCTAATGACAAGGAATATATTTTTTTCTTCCCCCTGGTTGTGATGTTGACATGTAGTTCGTGTAAGACTAGTTTGTGCTCAAGTCCTCTTTTTTTCTGTGCAGCTCCACTTATAAAAGTTATTAGGGGGTTCATGTTTTCTATGATTGACACTTGATACAGCCTATGGGCATACAAAGCTTGTGTAGCTCATCCGGGGGGATACGCTGTTTGAGCTGAGCATCATCCCAGTAACTTGCGGTGACTCTCCCACCAAATGCGTACAATGTTTCTGCGCCAGTGGTGGTTCCAGGAGGGGAGAAAAAATTTGGCTTCAAATTCGTACGATGACAGAAGGCGGAGCCAAGTTGTCCATAGTATATACAGTCTATGGTCAGCACACTTTGAGCAGTAAATGTCTGCTTCGATGCTTGTTTCTATGTTGCATTTACAACATCACTCTGGTGTTAAACAGTGTTGTTCAAAATAGAATCCGATGTGAAACATAAGCAAAAGGAAAGACTAAACTACAGCTATGTTTTTTAAAGACTTTTCAGCCATAAAACCCTCATTTTAAAGATTTTAATTTCTCGTCTGTTTTTTTTTTTTTTTTTTTATCAGTGTCCACCCTGTTTTCCAGCGTTGATTGCTTTAGATTCATGGAATTGTTTGGGTCCACTATTGCTTGTTAAATGTCAACTGGAAAATTAGAGCGCTTATCAGGATTATTCCCTGAAGCATGTGATTAAATATTGTTTTACAGAATTATTCCTGTGTCAGCTGGTAAATAAAGCATTCAGGGTTTGAAACACTGCATGTTTGATCATATTTATCTGGGTTGTTCCATGCAGTCTGTTTTCTTACAACATACAGCCGACAGTCATGTTCTACTTAATGCAATTTACTGATATGATCTATTTCTACAATTGAATTATTTCTGACTGACACTGGTGTCTTTATTTAACTCATAGCCTTTGTGTTTACTGTAACAATATGATTGCATGTTTGGGAAATCTGATCATCGTCAAAACAATCACTGACACTAAGATGTACTGAGAAACTGCATATCGATTAAAATGTCTGTAATAATACATGCTAGCTGCTCTAAAGTCTTACATAACCCTTTATGTTAACCCCTGAATTCACAAGGACAAAGTAGATTGTTCTTCAGGGTTCTGGATAAACAGAATCTGACCCTTTTAACACTGCAGGACAGAGAGTCCAAAATGTTCAATTCAAAAAACAAAATGAGATTTCCCTGCTGCTTTTAAGCAGCTCTAATAGATGCAGCCGAAGTTTCCTCCCCATCCACAGTCAGCCATGACAGAGTCATCACAGTGTGAACCCAGGGTAAGACAGCAGTGGGTGTCACAGTGCAGAAGGAAACAGAGAGCAGTCTCCAGGTGTTGAGCTCAAATGAAAATAACATGTCGTGATGTTTTTCTCAGTTTCAATTAGCACAGGCGCTCGGCTCCCTCCGCTCCTTCTTTTATTCAACAGTTTCCATCTCTGCTCCTTGTTTTTCCTCATCTCTGACTCTCTGCCTGGTCTTCCAGTCCCTCTCAACTATTTCTGCTTTTGCTAACCTTAAATAATTGACCTGTCCTGCAATATGACCTCCGTTGGCAGTCACGTTCATTTAAGGAGTTTATTTCCCAGGACCTCTTAAGCTCTGTCCTCTGATTAAATAAATGATGACTTCTTTGTAGTTTTACAGGTTATGAATATATTATCATTGAGATACAGGACCACAGAACATTTATTAGTTCTTAAAAGAGTCCATTAATGGGGAAAACAGAGCAGTAGATTAGATTTAGATTGGAGTCACATTAACAAGGATGATGTTTTGACTTGATTTGGCTTGAAAGTTTTGATCAAAAACATGTTTGTCTCTGTATAATTTTACAGTTTTACAAGGTCGAAGCCAGACTCTGAGAGGCTAAGTCAAAGTTACAAAGTTAAGAAGGGCACATAACGTATCCACTCTTACCTTAACAAGATGATAGACTGCACAATTTTCTGTACCCCATCTTGGAGACGCTATGTGCATCAAAAAGAAAACTTAGGGGAGATTTAAAGGGGGAAGACCAACAACGCATCTATAATCAGTGTCGCTGGTTAGTTCAAATCCAATCCAATTTATTTATAAAGCACATTTCAGAGAAAACAACAAAGTTGTACCAAAGTGCTGTACAATAGAGGAATAAAAATAAAGATATAACATAACAATAAAACTGAAGACAGTTGGGACCTTCTCTTGGATTGTCTCTGCTTCTCCTGCCAGCCTCAGTGCCAAACCACGCCATCGCTACACCTCTACCCTTCAAGTCTATAAAACCAACCATCAACTCCTGTGTCGAAGTCTGCTGCAGTCAATTTGTCACCCAGTCTACTGTTGCCTGATTTCCCCTACACCTTCAACTAAACATCTATCTATCATCCTCCTTGTAAACCTTTCCCTTGTACATGATGTTGACCTCAATAGGTTAATATTTTCAGACAGGTTTTATAAGCGGTTGAGTTTCAGCGTGCAGATGAAGTGCTGTCGATAAAAGTACAGAAAATGAACACACCTTTACAGACCTCTGGGTACAGTCACACTCTCATCTTTAATTTTGTCCGATTTTTTTTCAATGAAGCTCAACATCAGCAGCAGCAGCAGCAGTGCTTATTTTATGTTTAAGTTTATGTAAATCAGGACTATGTGCTCTTCTTCAAAGACTGAATTATGGTTGAAATATGAATTTCCTTAGGTAAAACCATCTAATGATTTTTCTCCCTCTGCATGTCTCCTCTGTCAATGCCTGTACCTTCTTTCCATACTGTGGCATTTATTTTTCAGACATATCACCCACTGTATATCATTTCACTTTATCCTTTCTTTGAATTAGCTTCTTTGTTCCTCTGCAAACACTCACACTGTAATTCCCATTTACAGTCAGGTCACCCTTCGATTCACTTTTTAAACATATATTTCTCCCGCTCTTCCCTTTATTTAGGTCTGGTGGCCACAATAAAGGACCATATCACCAAACCTACAGCGATGGCCCAGGGCCGAGTGGCTCACCTGATTGAGTGGAAGGGTTGGGGCGGAGGTGGAGAGGCAGGGGGAGCCGGCTGGAGCAGGGCCAGTGGTAAAGGAGGAGTCGGCTGGGGAGGAATTGGAGCTGAACTGCATGAAGATGAACAATTTTATTCCCAAATGACGGATGAGATCAAGGAAGCTCGCTTCGCTGCAGGTAAGACGGATGGAAGAATTGAATTCAGGACAAATAGATGTGGTCAGAGGAGCTGAAGAGATGCTCCACTTCCACTGGGTGTTGTTTTTGTTCAATTGGCTTGAGCTAAGAGATTGTATACAAAAATCAATAATCCTTTATGAAGAACTGTTGAATGTGACTTAAACTGAGTGCTCCTATTGAATTCCTTGTGTTTGTGATGAAGGTAGACGTGAAGGTGAGCTCTGACTGCAGGAAACCAACATCAATTGAATTTGTGCACTTTGTTTCACAGGAGTGGCAGAGCAGTTTGCTCTAGCTGAAGCAGCAATGAATGTGTGGTCCATGACCGACAGCCTGGAGCAGCCCTCCACCAGCTTACAAGGTGAGTCTGTTGCATTGGTTTACGGACATATTTCATTTCAGGGATGCATGATGTTATTTGCATCTGCAGTTATGAACATTTCAGCCATTACAACAATCGGCCAAATGCGATGCATGAATAATGTGCAGGTGATTGACAACACCTTTTGTATGTCAGAATATCTGGGCTTTAAAATATCAGCTTTGTCTAGTTTCCAATACATGTATTTTTTGAACAGCATGTAAACATACATGTGTGTGCCAGGTAAAATAGTTTGCACATGCCTGTCACTGCCTAGTTGACTGGTATCAGCATGAGATAGGTAAATAATTAGACGAAATTATAACTGTGAGTAAAGAGGAAGAATGTGTTGAACATAGCTGCCATAACAAGCAGCATTGCTGGGTGAGCAGCCGGCGAGCTGTTGCAGGGAAAGAGGGAGGGAAGGACCGCACGCGAAGCCACAACACCGGACCCAGAAGCCACGAACTGAACTGCACTAAAACCTGAAGTGTTCAGCTGTGTATCAGTTCAGGAATTTGGAGTCACAGGCTCCTCCTGCCAAGTGCTGAATGATTCGGTGATTTGGTGAATTAATCTTTTGAACAAACTTTTGAACGAACTTTTCAGTGAACTGATTCTAGTGATTCAGTACATCTCAAAGAACCGCCGTGCCCATCACTAGTAGAATGGGTTACAATAAGGGAGAGCCTTAACCAAAGTGGTAGCATTGGCAGATCTGTACACTAAACGCCTGACACCATGAAAGTCAATAGGGGCTTGGGATTTCACCAGAATTAGTTTTTCCAATATAGCAGCCACTATCTTAAAGCCAGATTTAGACTCCTGCCTCATATCCAAACCTTGACATGTGACATAACAAGCATATTTGGATAGCCTGACATGCACCTTTTACAAGATGCAACTACAAGTCCGAACAACACAGGCATCAAGCCCTGTGATTTGTCTGTTTGATAGCTTTGTATTTCCTGCTTTTACCACATTCAGAATATATCTGTATACTCTGATTTAGTAACCATATATTCCATCTCCTCAAAACTGTATCATTATACTGTTCTAATGGTTTTCTGTGCACAAAGAAGGGTTTAGCAGAACTGAAAACTGGTGACATGACCAGCACAGAAATCACACTTCAAGCTAGCGGTTGGGTTTGTTGTTTATAGACTCTATTCATGTGACCTGCTGCGATTAATAAAAAAAGCTATGAGTGCAGCAGCTGCTTCAGATTACTGGCATCTTCTTGATGAAATTATAGCATCAAATGTATCTGTAGTGTTTCGGCATATAAAGCTGCAGCTGTCAAAATCTTTACTTTCAGAGAGCACTCAGCTCTCTTGGTAGTCAAGTCTTGCATCTCACTGACTGACTGACTGTGAGATTTCCTTCACAGCTGCACAAAGCCACTACCTTTCTCAGTTTCTGCTGGATGGTGGGAGCATCAACGTCCCTCAGCATATGTACAGCATCCATCCCCAGACTTACGAAGACAACAGGACGTCCCACCTCATCCCAGTGCCGATGGCTGACTCCATTTCCCCAATGTCCAACTCTCAGCGGGACAGGGATCAAACCTTTGAAGACAGAAGCCCTGGGACTGGAGAGGCTGCTGTCAGACACGTAGACAGCAGCTCGCTATCAGAGGATGATGTTTTTTATAACTAGACTCAAATGGAGCACAAGCCAGCAATCATGGTGGTAATCTCTAAAATGACAGAGACCCAGAGGACATGACCCCCAGCCACCAGCAATCACAGACTCAGAATGGAAAGGCAGACTTATGAGGAATATCTCAAGAGGCAATTTGTCAAAATGGTGGGTCTGGAAAGGCCTGAACTCCGGGTCTTCAGAGATAAAGACCCCAAAGACTCTGAATTGTATTTCATCTCTTGGTGGGCAAACGCTTCTGTGAATGTTACATTTTCTATCTCATGTACAGAGGACACTTTCATATTACATGTAGAACTGAACTGTGAAAATCCAGATCATACTGTTGTAAATATCTTGATATAAAAGTTACATTTTAATAAATGTGCTGAATAAGGTTGTCCAGGTCTCTCTGAAGGGTCTAGTTGGAAAATCTGACAAAAGAAAATGAAAGTACATCTTCATTCTGAGTCTAAAGAGCAGAAGAAGTCTGGTGTGAAAAAAGCATTCAGCCAATTATCTGCCTGAGACCAATCTATGATTAGCTTTCATTCACACTTTTCTGTCTGAGGGTGCAGGGCAGGGTGCGGAGAAAAAAACAGGAGGAGAGGAGGGCACAGAGGTGTGTGTGGTCGTGTATATTTCTGCATGTGTGTTAACATGAGAGAATGAAAGCATTATTGTTGTCTTCGGTATCAGTTTTTAAACAGAGGTTTGAAGCGGTGGTGTGGTTGTTTTCTGTTTTTTTATCTCGGTGCAGCTCTGGAGGGTGTTCAATCAATGTTATACAAGAGATGCAACAAAAAACCAGAGCACAAAACAAAACACTTGAGTGGGACAATCAAATGATTTAAGCTTTAATTACAGACGGGCAACAACAACAGCTGGAGTAGATTTCTCTGCAGCAGAAGAGTAACAAAGTAGAAAAGGACAGGTTTGAATTGGACAGTTACACTCTTCATAGTTGTTGCAGAGCAGCATCTTGATGTCTGAAGGAGGGCTGTCAGCATTCATGAGTCAATTACAAAGCCGTTGAGGGGTAAACTGTGTTTGATTTGATGTCTTTTTAAACATCTGCTGTTTTGTTATAAGAGTTACTGCTGTGGCTCTCTGCTGCAGCTGTGATGGAAAACAATGACACCGCTGTGCTTTTAGATGGCATATTTCACTTTAAAAACCAGGGGTCCACTGCTGACCCTTTTTCAGGACCAATACCGATAATCAGTAGGTCATGGGTCTGATAACTGACATTTAACACAGATATGCATTAAAAAATAAGAGATTTTCTTTTAATATGTTGGAGTATGTGTTTGAAATTTTACCACAAAACTTTGTAATTGCCTTTTGTTAATATTGAATTAAAACTCAAACTTTGAACACAAAGGAGTTAATAGTTAAAGCTCCTGTGGGGAGTTTTTTAACATTATAAAACTGACTGAAATCCAGGGAGGTGGAGACAAACCAGCAGCAAAACCAAAGTAGTGCATTTTTTATATTAATTAATTTGATCAAAATCAAAAGTTGATACAGATAATTGGCCAAATGCCAAATTTCAGCCCCTGACAATCAGCCGGGCCAATAATTGGCCTACCTTTAGTAAAAAAAAAAATCCCTGACAACTTAATTGACAAGTTAAAGCAGGGATGCTTTCAACCTAAAGATTAGTCATCATAATTTAAGTAGAAGCGGCAGCTCTGGTGTGGAATAATGGCACCAATGGATGGCAAAATCTGCACTTCCTAAAGTATCCACTTGAGGCTGGATGCAAAAGTCAAGCTCTTTGGTCCCACATTAAATTTCTTTACAGCAAAATGAAACATGTATACAGACTGGGTTATAAAAGCTGATTTTGGCTTTTTAGCTCATTTTCTTAGTTGCACACATGGGTTGAGGTTGAGGTAAGGTTAGACTGACAAGATGTGTTTGTCTGTTTACCAGGGGGCTAAAAACACACCTTTGCTCGACCTCTATTCAAATTTACAGCTAAACTGCTATTAGACTTATTAAACCACCCTCCATTGCTTGTGGTTTACTGCAAGGTTCAGTTTTAGGTCCAATTTTATTTTCTATCTACATGCTGCCCCTTGGCCAATTAATTCAGCGCCACCAAGTCTCTTTTCACTGATATGCAGACAACACACAAATAAAACTTACTTTGAGACCTGAGGACCCAAGAGGCTTAGCTGCTGTCATGGACTTTCTAAATGACATCAACTGTTGGATGGCAGGTTTTTGTATTGTCTAGGTTCCTTATGACATACGAAAAAATGGCCCTCAATTCTGAGGCCTTGTTTATACTGAGCTTTTGTTTTCATATGTTTTTATTTCTGTGTTCTTACGTTCTGTGCTTTATGACTATTTGTCAAAGTACTTTGTAAATCTCTGTTTTTAAAAGTGCTATAAAAACAAAGTTATTTTAATCATTTCCAATATGGTGGCCAAAATCGACAAACTAAGCTCAGCAGGCCAAAGATAAAAAGAAAACTGTTTGCATATTCCTTTTGTTTCCATCAGACTTGGATGTAACTCTTCAGAGGACACAACAGTAAAAATGCTGTGTCACTTGGTGCAGATCTATGAATGAGAAAGTGTGTCATCAACCTAGTGGAAAGGATTCTGCTAATTACAATAACAATAAGCTCTGGAAACTGTTTACCGTAGTAGTCTCCAGCTAATTAGACTTTTGTTTGTGTGGAAACACGGTTATGCTTGAGCAGTGAAGAAGTCAAATCATTATTAGATACAGGCTAATCTGACAGAGATGGATCCATGGTTGCTTCAAAGGTCAGGGGATTGGCTTATTTCCTGTGTGTCTCCGCTGATGTCTTTAGCCAAGTCCTCTAATATTCTTGTCATCTGGAGAAGGGGATGGATAAAGATAGAAAAAAAGAGGGAGGGAGGGGAAGAGAGAGAGAGAAACAGTTGGAATCTGTAAAGAGGGATTTTGCCTCCCACAGTCTGCGTAATATTAACAAATCCATTCAGGGACCTGGCCCACAACAGAAAAATGAAGCTTCAGAGGGAAGTTCCCTGTATGATAAAGAGAATATAATAGATCTGATTAATTACATTTGTGTAAGTTTTAATGTTTAATGCTCATTACCTCTGTCCATGTGATGACTCCAACCAGTCTTCCCCTGTCTGCAACAAACAGGCTCTGAGGTCTGATCAGACTCAGGGTACTGTGGGCCTGTGAGGACACAAATGCAACTGAACCAGAGATAATTGTTTTTTCCAGCCACTTTAGGGGAAATGCTTTTCCCCTTACTCCCTCTTTTGACTATTTTGTGGTGAGAAAATGGTGTGAATCAGGCTTTCAGAGTATTTTGCTGAACACAGCTCAATTATTGGACCAAAAATGATGCTAAATGACACAAAGTTTTGAATGAGGAAGCTGAAAATGAGATAAGTTGCAAACTCAGGCAGTCATTTGTTGTGATCTGATACTTTGCATAAAGACAAAAACATAGCTGCAATCGGATTGAATTAGAGGGCTCACTTATTTACATGCTGTTTGCAAACAACAAAGTAATGTACCAGTGTACTTTTCTGAGTCTAAAATATAAAGCACAAGTTTTTAACTGATCTACTTTTTAGTGTCTTACCTCCTGTACTGTGTTGTGAGGTGATAACAGGACAGAGGTCGGGTAAATGCAGCAGATCTCGTCCAGGTGTTTCTCAGGAGTCTAAATGAGACAGCATTTAAAATAAGTCAGTTTTACCCGTTTGTTTTGGGGTGCAGAGAGTAACAGATTCACTTAAGATCCAAGCGTACTTGGTCTGCAGCACCCTGTTTTCATCCAGTCCATGGACCATTTTCAAGCTGTGATCTGGCAAAACAAGGTTTCGCTGTCTCTCCTTCGTCTTTGACCTTTGACCTATCACTAACATCAGCTTTGGGCTCTGTTAAGTAGTGTTAGTTGGGTTTCAGGATGATAAGCAATATGATTTTCAGTCTCCACTTCAGAAATTACAGGTGAATAGAAAACTTTCTAAAAATCTGCCCATTGGTGCGCTTTGCTGACAAACATTATTGTACATCAGGACTAAGACTGAGTTCACCGGCCACATGATATAACCACTAGTGGGTGTTAGCATTAGGAAGCACCAGCACATACTACCTTTAGTATTTCACATCTTTTCTAGTCACATTTTTAGATTTTTTATTTTATTTTATTACCGGCATTTGTTGACCACGTGACAAAAATTATGTAGAGCAACTCTGATCCTTACAATTGTCTGGAAAAGTAACAAACACAATGATATTGATAGTTATCAGGTGATACTGAATGACCAAATAAATCAAATTAAATCAAACAAATTGGAATCTTATTGGTCCTTATTGTGTGAACCATCCGTAGGTCAAGTTGTAGACATCAAGGAGTAAACAGATCACAGAGTGCTTTATGCAGCAACATTCAATATTTCTGTAGGAATTATGATGAATAGTCACGTTTTGCTGAAATGAACTAAACTAATCTAAACAAACAAACAAACAAACAAACCCTCATCATTTCTCTGTGCTTAAATGCTGTTCTCTAAATCCATTATTGATAATCATCTCTTTTCTCTCTCTGTTGTTTTCAAAATGGGTTTTTAAATCAGCCAGAGTTTGTACATCCTGCTCCAATCCTCTCTTTTTTCCCACTCTTTAAAATTCAGTCAGTGTCACATGGATTGTAACAACATGACTATTTTCTTTTTCAAAAAGCATTCAGCACTTTTCTCCTCCACTTTCCTCTGAACCCTGCAGCTACCTGTCTGACTCCATCCCAGTTTTTTACCTCCATCCTCCAGTGACGCAGCAGCATCAGCAGCTCTGATCGGAGAGCGAACCCCAGCAGAATATGAGAGTCTTTAACAGAAAGGAGAAGAGGATTTTCAATTTTCTTCACCATGGTCGATACTACAGTGAAGACCATGTGTGATCCTTAAGTGAACCGAAAACCACCTGCTTCAAACATAAAAAATCATCCATATGATTGCTGAGAGCTGAGCTGACAGATAGGCTATCCTCTCATACCCGTCAACTCTTCACTCCTGCACTTTTGCACTGCTGAATTGCTGCTGCTTCTGCAATTTTTCATCATTGTCTTCGCCATTTTCTCGTCTTTCCTCAAGCCACAAGGTGTCATTACTGTGTGCTTGGCCAGCGTGTGTCTAAAACTCTTTTAAGGATCATGCTGATTTCTCCAGCTCCAATATTCCTCCAGCATTATACCTTTTTGTGAAAAAGTTTAAACAAAGTATCACTCCTTACAATCAGAAGACAGGGGTGAAATATTGTGAAATATCTCTGTCGGCATACCATGCGAGTCCACCACAGGGATTTGTGTGTCACTGCTGGTGTTGACAGCCTGCTGAACCTCCTCTAGCTTGGCTGCTTTTTGAAGCTGCACTGATGTTGCATCTAAAACCTGTCCGACTGGTGTGAAGGGGAGCCTGCAACAGAGACGATTCACGTCACATACAGAATTTTGGCTAAAACTAGATGCTGTGTTACTGCACACTTTTAGCAATTAGGTTTTCAGGGCTGCTCACTTTTAGCTTCTTCTAAGGTCCTATTAAAGAATAACAAAGAATTACAGATAATAATTCATGTTAATAGAAAAGCACGTCCTTATGAAAACCACAAATAACATACAGGACATCACAGACCACCCTCACTGCGCAAACATGATCAACAGTAGAGACCTCACAGAAGAGCAGAACAGTAGGCTATCTGTTGTTGGTGGCCAAAACTACTCGAAAACTGTTAAAACCATAGACTGTATATACTATGAACAACTTGGCTCCACCTTCTGTCATTATACAAATTTGAAGCCAAAAAGCTCTCGGTATTTCCGTGATTTTCTCCACTTCCTGGAACCACCAGTTGCGCAGTAGAGTTGTACGCATTCGGCGTGAGAGTCACAGAGTCGCTGTGATGATGCTCAGCTCAAACAGCGTATCCCCCAGGTGATACGTAATCTTCGTACACCCATCTGCTGTATCAAGTGTCAATCATAGAAAACATGAACCCTGTAATAACTTTTAAAAATGGAGCTGTACATTAAAAAAAACAGGACTTGAGCACAAGCCAGGAACTACATGTCAACATCACAACCAAGGGGGAGAAAAAAATATATTCTGTGTAATAAATTTCTAAACTTTGTCCACTGGTGCTGTTATTGCAGTGGCTTCACCCAGCCAGGAGGCAAACGCACATTCTATATACAGTCTATAGTTAAAATGGGTAAATGTATGAGTATTACCAAACTTTCACGGGTTTTTAATATTTTGAGTATTTTAGAAAGGTATTGTCTGCCAATCAGGAATCACAAAGGTATTCTCTTAATTAAGAAAGTGGTGATAACAAAGACATGTTTGTGCCCAAGGATCGTTGCATCATTGTTAATGCATTTGATATGCTGTGTTTAGCTGTTACCACTAAACCATTTTCAGCATAGAAAGCAGTGAGAAACAAACTGAGAGATATGAGATGGGGTATGTATGTGGCTGTTGATGTTTTTGTTCGATAACTCAGGTTCAGCCATTTCTGAGCTGCCTGCTGCGACTCCCAGCTGTGAACAATCACACAATCCATACCTTCACCTGCTGTGAGTGACTGCCAGGTGCATTGCAATGATTCAGTGAAAGCACAACAGCATTTCAAGTCACTCTATCAAAATTTGAGACGAGAGCACAGCATGTACACAGCTCCATGTATTTCCAGATGCAGAGTACTTGATTAAAAATTGCTCATCGTAAAGCTGGAGATGATTTACTATGCAGATGATTGAAACTCATTTATCTAGTTTATGCATGAGGATGTTAGCATCATATCCCATCATATGCAGACAGACAGTGAAGTAACAAGTACACAATAAAATTAGTTAGTTTTATGTACAAGCATTAAACCTGCAATACAGCCAACAGAAAATCACAGGAATTTTCCTTTCATCATTTAAAGCTCACGTCATCTTTCCGTCACTCTGTCTCATACTCACTGTGGGCATGCCTTCTTCAAAGAGGGAAGGTGTGGGAGATTTTTGCAGATGGAGATGGCATCATAGAAGGACGGGCGGTGTCCTGAGCGGGCCAGAGCGTTGGCCAGCAGAGTAGTGAGGAGGATGGGGACAACATGGCTGAAGTGACCCGTCAACTCTACGGCCAGGAGAGCTGGAGACAGAGTGTGTGTGACAGCTCCTGAGAGGGCTGCTGCACCTATGAGACAAATATCGAGGAACTATTTGTTATGGTTACACTTTTTATTGTTACTTTCTCAGATGTGCAGTATAATATTTACATATAAATATGAACTCTGTCTTATTTTGCAAGACTAAGAGATTCCCAGTTTACTTTGACTTTTGACGATGCTATTGTTAACAGCTGGTTTACAGTAATTGTTAAAGTTATATATTTGCGTAAATAGCACATTAGTTGCAGGTGAATTTGAGTTCACTGGACATCTATTCTGCTACATGTAATGGACTCAATTTGAGTTTAACTTAAATTGGTAACACCAGATTCAACTCCAGGTTTGGTGACTTGATTACAACACTGATTACAGGACAAGTCACTATAAAGCTCTTTGACCTGTAACAGGTCAAAGAACAGAGAAAGAACAGAGAACAGAGATGAGTGTGATTCAACATTTAAGCACATATTGACTCCCCCTTCCCACTAACATATGAGAACAGTGTGTAGATCCATTAAACCAACAAAAAAGGGGGTCAATTTAGGGCTGCACAATTTTGGCCAAAAATAAAATCCTGATTTCCTTTTCTCTAAGCTCAATTTAGATTTCGATTTTTAATTTAGTGACAACTTCACTAAACTTCACTTAAAAAATAAAAAATAAAATTCTATCATCTCTCAAAACGAAACCACAAAAAATGATGTAGTACATATGCCAAGCCAGTAAGTTGCGCTGTAACGCTGCACAGGAAATGCACAAAAGACAGAAGAAGAGTACAGAGCATGTGTATAAAGGCAGTTTTGGCTGGACACACGCAGGCGCCATAAAAGAGTTATGCTGTGTGTCACATTATCGTTTCAAGAAATGCAGATAGGCAACCAAACGGAGATGAAATGGTAGTTGTTTATGGATTTATGCACTTTCGTATCCGTTTTAAAAAAGGACCATTGACAGTTAACCGAAACGCCGTTTGCATGTGGATGAAATGCGGATATGACAAAATTGTTTGCATTTACTCCTGTTTTCATTTCATGCCAGGGACATGTGGACGGGTTGATTCCGCCTTCAGACAGACTTTGCAGCAAGACGATAGAGGGGAAAATCAATTTGATGATTTAATTTTTTTAACATCATCATAATCCAATAATCTGATTACAATTTAAAACTGATTAATCATGCAGCCCTAGTGCATTCATTTACATTCATTACAGAGAAACCATAGGCTGATTCATAAATAGACCTAGCATTGGTGATGTCACCCATTTGTTTGTGAGGTGAAGTTTCATAAAGTTTTTCTTTTTTTCAGTCTGAATTGGCTAAAATCAGTCTAAACACTCCCTGAAAGTTCCTGTACATAAAAAATTAAAAAGTATGCATAAAAATTGCCAAATTTTCTAAATTTCTTTCAAGTAGAATCATGAAGAAGATTTAGTGTAAAAAAATCTGTTAAAAAATATTAAATTTCCCTTCGGGGATCAATAAAGTTCTTCATCTTCAAAAAAAAAAAAAAAAAAGGAAAAAAAGAGAAAATTTACAAAGGTAAGTGCAAAACATCCAGAATCATAATGAGACACAACCACTGCACATATACAGGCAAGACTAAATGTCATCGAGTATCAACACTAAAGAGTTATTGATCTGTTTTTCTACCAGCAAGTGCGTAAGCCCCAGGGTTTATAGATGCCCATGGCTGGCCTGATATCGCTCCAGTGAAAGACACATAAGCTACTCCCTCTCCAAGCAAACGTCCCAAAGCTGCGCCTGGAAAACAGATAAGATTAAGTCAACCCTGATCGTCCGTTTCATGTGAGAATATGCAGCAAGACTTTTTCCTCATCATCAAATTCAATCTTGTGCCGTCCAGGTGTTTAGAAAAATACAATCATCTCCCTCCACTCACCGTAGATAAACACGGGCATGAAGTATCCAGCTGGCAGAGGCAGAGTGCAGGCAAGGACCAACATCCAGATCTCAGAAACAACAGCACACATGCACAAACATCACACATGCACAATACACACCGTAAATCTGAGCCAAAACAGCTTTAGTAGCACAGTATGACTCACAGTTGATCCGTGTGCAGAAAGTGTTTGCACTGCTCTCAAATCAATTTTGCACAAATAAATATTGAATCATGCCAATTTACATTTCCATCTGCATGCAGTAATGGGAGAAAAAACACTGTCACGAAGAGCAGACCTCAGTGAATGAAAAGTACAGAGCTGAGAGACGCTTCAAGAAACTATTCTGAGTCAGAATACCTGATACCATGTTTTTTTTTCAACAGTGAGAAGCAAGACTTTCCCTCTAATTAGGTGACAAATAGGAGTAACTGATGTACGGGAGGTAGGATGGGGTTTCTTGACGAATACCGATGATTTCTGTCTGCATCGTTGCTATGGGAGAGGCCTAGGTATCACAAGACATTACAGACTCAAAGGTTAACCGGTCTTTAGCCAGCTTACTCTACAATGAAAATGTCAATTACTGCATGTCAATTATGGTCCGCTGTGACACAAGAGAACAAGGAGCAGGAGGCTGAGCTTGGTGTCTTGTTCCCCTTCAGGCTGGTTATCAGTGCAGGGATAAAGGACTCCTTAATTAGCAGCTTCCATTGTGTGTACCTTCATAAGCAGAAAGACAGCCAGAGACAGGTAGACAGGACTCTCTGATGAGCTCCACTCAGACAATGGCTGAACAGATGCATTGTGGGATTGTACGATCCATTGCCTGCTATCCAGTAAGGAGGTGAGGAGCTGCTTCATAGTGAGCTGTGAAAGCGATTACAGCAAATCAAATCAACAAATACAAGACTATCAGGAATAAACAAAGGGAAGGGGTTGGACTATATTTTACTGTTTGACCATATATGATTCAATAAAAAAAACAAGGTGTTTGACTGTTGCTTCACTGTCCCCAAAGGAAATCTGGTTTGCAGGCTGACGCTGATTCATTTATGAGGGTTAATGTACAGAGAACAGGTGGTTATGCTTATTAAAATCCCAACTTAATTAACTTAATTAAAATTAATTTCACATGACTGTACATCATCCTACTTACAATGGACATAACCAGCTCAGCACTATAGTAGGTTTGAAGATTATTCCTCTACTTTAATAATGATTTATGCACACAGCTGAAAGAAAACAGTCCTCCCAATTCCATATTTAGTGGTGTTACCTTGGCAACAAACTCTGATCAGCCTACTTGTGGGACGAATAAGCGTCATACAAAATATTTTATTTTACAGTCAAGTCAAAAACAATGTTTGACTCTTAGATTTTCAAGACTATTCATGAACGATGTGACAAATGTCACAGTTAATGGCCATCATAATCAGGACACAGATGTGGAACCTCAGCCACAGTTTATCCAGCTTACACCATTAGTTTACAATTTACCTTGGACCTGAGTACACTTTTAAAAACTCACTTTTACAGACTTGCTTTCATGTGATGCTGTCTTTTATCTCTTTTCTCTTTTACCTCTGTCTGTAACTGTCTTTTTAGCTTTTGTTATACATATATACTTATCTATTTTATGTTTTTATGTTGGTCCTCATGGTCTCATTTTATGTTGCAGGGTTCTTGTATTGTCTGGGTTCCTTATGCCATATGAAAATGGCCCTTAATTCGGAGCCCTTGTTTTAACTGAGCTATTCGTTTTTAATAGTTATTATTTCTGTGTGCTGATGTTCTGTGCTTTATGACCATTTATCAAAGCACTTCGTAAACCTAAAAGTCCTATTAAAAATAAAGTTATTATTATTATTATTATTATTACAAGCAGAGATGCTTACAGGCCACAGTTATCTCACTCGCAGTCAGATGAAACAGGAGCAAAGTACATGAGGATGGTCCATGATGTTTACTAAAATATTGAAGTTATCGTATCTGTACAGAACATAGGAATAGTGTGCCATTATTGAAATGACTAATAATTGAAAATTGGCCATTATTCAGTCTGAAGGTGTGTGATCCCCATTATTATAAGGGGCCTGAATGCTGATTGAATCCCAGTCTTTCCTATCCCATCCTATATTTTAAAATAAAAACTACAGGAAGGAAGACATAAATAAATGAATGCTCTGATAAGTTCCCAAATACACATCATTTCCTTTATTTAGCATGGCTTTAAATGTTGATTCCTACCTTAGAAGCCATATATTGACCAGCAGAGTGAGGAAATGTCAAAGATGCCAGGAAGAAGACCACCAAGCCAGAATACAGAGCCTTCCTACAGAGAGAAGTTCAGCAATAAGTTGCACTGTGACAGTTTTACAATTTTGACAATTTCCTTCACTTCACGTAGAGTTTGCCTTAATCTTGTTTGACGGCAGCTTTCTTTGACCTCTAGATCTATAGCACATGAGCTGCATTGTATATAGTGTTTTTTTTCCGTTAGATCTGCTTGTGATTGAACAAAGAAAACCAATAAATAAGAGATAAGATCCTTGGCGTGGCTTCGAAGGCACAGCACAGTCATTAATCCTAATTTGTGCTATACATAATCTATTTTTGAAGTTGTAAATATGATTACATAACATGAGTACGTTCAATAGATAATCTCTCCAAGAGACGCACTCTGTTTATCCCATGAGCCTGTCTTACACAGAAGATGACTCATTCCTGCATCACAGTCTGACTTTCACTTTACAAGAGGCGCTCACTCTGTCGTCAGCATCTTAATGAAGATTGGATTGGTTTTAGAGAGTTTCAGGATCCACCGGTGGAGGAAGAGGAAACAGCAGCTCACAGCTCCACAAAGCAGCCTGAAAGCATTTAGACAAAGGAGCTACTTTAATCAGCAGTAGACAATCAGAAGTCATTACGCATGTGGAAGTGAGGAAGTGATGATCAAGACACTCCTGAAAAAAAAACCCTAGAGACTAATACTATAATAAATACTTCACATCAGCTTTTGTATGTCAGTCATAAAACAAATCAATCACCATAAAGATGAGGTCAAAAATCATCTTACCCGAGGAGAGTAAACAGCAGGATCTCCAGTGGGTAGAAAGATGAAGATGTGGGGAAATTAGTTTTGAACATGACCTGGAGCGTCTCTGTGGACATGAAACAAATCAAAGCCATCTTTCTTTCTTTTTTCTGTATAATTACAAAAATAATAACCTTATAAAAATGTTTTTATTCTGTTCTGCTCTGGAACGTACTATCTTTCAGCCTTTGGCAATCATGCCTGTGCTAGTGTTTCCGGACATTGTAATACTACGTAATTAGAAAGCTGTCAATATCACTAACAAGCTTAAACGTCTGTACTGTAACATGAGTCAAAGCAGGGTTTCTGTCTATGAAGTTGTTAATGAAGATTTGTTGGCCCAGAGTTCAAAAACATGCATTCATGAGAGCACAGGGCATGGATAGCTTGAGAAGGCACTACTAATGCTGAACAATATGTACAGGTGTTGTTAATACAGGGCCACACCATAGACTGTACATAGAATGGACGCTGTCTGCCTCCTTGCTGGGTGAAGCCATCGCGAGGACAGCACCCTCTGGTGACAGCTGCAGTATAGGTCATAAATCCCGCTTCCTCCAGCAATCCTTATGAAGCTTTGGACAAACTTTAGAAATTAATTACACAGAATATGATTTTTTTTCTCCCCCCTGCTTGGGATGTTGACATGTAGTTACTGTAATGGGGCGCTCACACCAAGCGTGAGTAAAATCATCTACTTGCTTATTTCACACAAAGCTAGATGCAAGGATGAATAGTATTTAACCGCTTCACTTGTGCGTCAGTGGTAATTTCAATGGTACTCCCTGCCAATTAAATCAGCTGGATCAAATGATATACAAATGTTTTTTTACATTTTACCAAGTAATCTGACCTCCTCACTCACTGGCCTTCAGGTGAGCTCCTTTTTATTCCAGTTTTGGTAATTGAAAGAAAATGTATCATATACTTAAGGGCACCCACACACCGACACGATGGGTTTGTCCTCCATTTTAGATACCAGTGAACAACAGTCTGTTTTCATACGTCACCCGGCAACCTTTGTGCTGATAAGTTACCATGACACAAATATCCGCTCAAGTTTAGACAATTTCAGCTCATGCCAAATTGCGTCATTCACGCCGCCAGAGTAGTAGGAGCGGCTAATCGCGTCTTAGCATTGACTTAACAGGTAATTCATCCACAATAATGATTTTACAGTTGTGTGGAGACAGCTAGACTGGTTTGGGCTGAAGTCCTCTTTTTTCTGTGCAGCTCCATTTTTAGAAGTTATTAGAGGGTTCATGTTTTCTTTTAATTGACACTTGATACAGCCTATGGGTGTATGAAGTTTACTTAGCTCACCCAGGGGATACACTGATGAGCCGAGCATCATCACAGTGACTCCCAGCAACTCTCCCTCTGAATGTGTACAATGTTACTGTGCAAGTGGTGGTTCCAGGAAGTGGAGAAAACCCTGAAAATGCCAAGAGCAATTCGGCTTCAAATTCATATAATGATGGAAGGCGGGGCCAAGTTGTCCATTGTATATACAGTCTATGGGCCACGCCCCTCTAGAAATGCTCCTGGATGCTGTTATTTTAAAATTACTTGGTAAACTGCTCCAGGAACTTGCAAACACACAGTACCAGAAAATATGATTGTATGCTCAAATCAAACCTTGAAACACATCCTATGTACAATAAATGAAAATGATCTGATGAGAGATAATGTAGTTAGCTTCCTAAACATATTCATGGCACTTAGGACAAGTTCTTCAATGTGTTTCTGAGCAGACACATCATTGAAAATTATCCTTCTTACCAGGAATGACCATGAGGATGTGTGAGGAGCTCTGATCAGGGTCTGCTTTACCTAAATCTCCACTCCACACTGGGAACAGACGAAAAGTCAGTGCCCCGCAGATACCTGAAAGAAACATAACCTGTTAAGAGCTTTACCTTCTCACACATTTACATTACACTGAAAGCAAAACCTGAAGGAGGAAGAGTGGGCAGAGAAAAACACAGAGGGAAAAACCATGATGAGTTTCAGAGAGTCCATTTTGACAAAGGTAGAGAGTTGAACCCACAGGACAGCTGTCAAAAACTTTCTGAAATGTCATTTAAAAATGTGAATGTATTTTCATTGTTATCAAAGGTTTTCATTTTCTGATAACAACCCCTTATGAGGGCGAAACTGGAGCTCAAATATCAGATGCTAACCCCAAAAAAGGCTGTAAAAGTAACAGTCAAAAAAGGACAATCAAAGTTTGATGCATAGTGGGAATCAAATACGAGGAGGTGAGAGATAAGAATAAAAAATGGATGTGCATAGAGCTGTGAATGAGGATGATAAAAAAGCGATTCAAGGGAGGTGATGTGCTGAGCAGACAAGGTAAAGAAAATGGATACAGCTTGAGCAAACATACAAAGATTATGGACACTAAAGCTAAAGCTGTTGCAGCTCTTCCTCACCGCTGACTGGAGCTCCGAAGCAGCTCGCCACGCCAACAGCAGACGCTACAACCATCATTTCTCTGGCAGATTTCTCCTGAAAGAAACATAACCTGTTAAGAGCTTTACCTTCTCACACATTTACATTACACTGAAAGCAAAATCATCATGCAGTGTGGTTTTTATTTTTATTAGCACATGGGAAATTAAACTCTTTACCATCATTTTCACAAAAAGAGAATTAAAATTTGCAAGTTAGTTAGAACTATTTCACTATGACATTTAGGACCACCTCAATAGCTGTTTGATAAATATTAACTCAGTGAAATGAGACCATTATAACTTTGTGCTTATGGCAAATGCCAAAACCTTAGCTTTTTGTTAAAGCTGCAACACTTTTTGTCCACTTGGGGGCATCGTCTCATGAAATGGACTTTATCCAAGATCAACAAACTTCTATCAGACTTACAGATCTGAAACATGGGGCAACATTGCCAATCTAACAGGAGAGAATTTAATTTGATGGAAAATCTGCCTTTTTTGTCTTTATTCTGAGTTACTGGCACATTGCCGTGTTCAAGTCAAAATCATATTAATTTGGGAAAAGGAGTAAATTAATATTTTACGCCTGGTCCTGCATCTCCTGAAGAGTATCCAGAAATTCCCATTTCCTTAAAAAAAGGATCTTAACTTAAGACGTACCTGCTGCCTTGTAACAATATGTGACAGCCTTCACCAGCAGATGGAGGCCAAAGCACTATTTACCTTAGACCAGTATTTACTTCTTTTCCATTGTGCCATTAAATTCAATAGACATGTGGGGGTTATAAATACCATCATACCATCATATAATAATATAATATAATTAAATCTTTTCTGTGAAGACATAGCTTAAAGGTATATTTTAGCATGATGCCAGTTTTGTTGTGTTTTGTCACCTCTATTGTTCATGCTTTACACTAATGACTGAAAGTATTTTCAACTCAAGGTTCATCATAAAACTTGCAGATGGTTCTGCGCTTGTAAGCCTTCTGCAAGATTATGAGAAGGGACATGACATGGTCCTGTGCTTGACTATTTTGTTAGATGGTGTAACGATTTTTATCTGCAACTTAATGTGTCAAAAACGAAAGACATGATTCTTGATTTTCGTAAGAATCAACCCGTCACAGCCCAAACCTTTGTTTATGGTAAAGCTGTAGAAATAATCAGTCAGTACAAATACCTAGGTACCATCCTGGATAACAAACTGTCCTTTGAGACCAACTCAGATGCCATCTGTCGAAAGGCAAATCAGAGGTTATTTTATCTGAGGAAACTGAGGTGTCTTAATGTTGACAAAAAAGCTTCCTTAATTTTTTTACTCTTCTTTCATTATTTATTCTATTATTATTTTATTTTAACCTTTTCTATGTTGTGTTTTTTGGGTAACCTCACCAGCTAAAATAAAAATAAGCTGAGGAACATTGGCAAACTTTACCAAAAAAACTATTGGCACAAGTCATAATGATCCTGACTGTGTTTTTAAATCCAGAGTTACTCAGAGGGCAAAGGCCATTCTGGCAAACCCTCTCCATACAGAATTTTAGCCTCTCCCTAACCCTAAGAGAGGGTTCACTTTCACTTACAAGGCAAATCAAACAGGTATCTTAAATCCTTTTTCCCAACAGCCAGTGGTTTTTTGAGTAAGATGTAGGTGAGCTTGATGGGAACACTGCACCCATGAAATTGTGCTGACTGTGTATTTACATGTATTTATTTGTAATGTTTCTGCTGTAAGCTTTCTGTGATGTGAGAATTGTATCAGTGTGTGGTTTAACTTCTGTTGCAAACCAAATTGCCCAATTGGGACATTAAACATTTTCAAACCAATAATTTAGTTTAGCATGCACCTTGCATTTGCCTAGTAGTCCTGCTTTCTGTTCATTTACTACTTAAACACCAAACCTTTTATTGAGATCCCCTCACATCACGAACTCTGTAGCTCCATTCGAAGGCAGCATTAGAATCGAATCACCTGTTGCGCTAAAACTGTCTTGATCCTGGTTAAATTCAATTAAAGTGGAGTCAACAGTGGAAAATCAACTGTGACAGCCAACCACGCAACAACCAGACATTTTGATGCGGCAGACAATTTCTCTTTAGTGTTAAAAGCTCGACTGGATGAATGGAGCTTAACATTGCCAGTGCTGCCAAAATGCACATTTCTGATGATGTGAACAGTTCTATAGAAATATCATATCAGCCTGTTCCTCATGGGAGTGTTAAGTATCTATGATAGAAGTACAAATGTGACAACTACGGATGAATCTCATCCCTACATTGGTTTTACCTTCTTATTTGCTTGAGTGAGGAAGCACAGGTTGCTCAGGTAAGCTCCAAGCATGGTGGAGAGATGCACAAATGGACCCTGATGTTCAGAGACAAATAGAGACATCTGTGTTTAAAATGGCGGTAGTTCATGGCATGTTTTATATTCGGAAAGGAAAAACTGTAATATGACTCTCACCACTTTGCCCAGAAAAACAGTGCTGCCGGCTGACAGCGTGCAGATAAGGCCGAGGAATTTAGTAAACATGTTAGTGAGAGACAGGTACTGAGGCATTGTGACTCCAGATAGCATCACCCTTACCTCCGGTATCCCTGAACCTGAGGAGAGTGGCAATCACAGTAAATGTTTGTTTTTCCAATGACATGCCAATATATTTGGGCCTGATAATATTGCTTTGGGAAACATTGCTCTTGTTTAATCTTTATGGCAAAGATCATTTTTAGTGGCAGGCAAAAAAGACTTGAAACAAAAATCCAAATCAGGATTCACCTGAAAGAGAAGACATACAGAGAGCGAGTGAGAGAGAGAGAGAGAGAGAGAGGTTAGGGTCATCCCTGAAAGAAAGCTATAAGCTCCTCTCATTAATATCAGAAACCTTAAAGACAGATAATGGATTTAAATACTGCTCATTTCTCTCTTCACCTCCGGCTGACATGTGCCGTTAATTAGGAGAAGATGTCTCTTACAGCGGACAAGAAAAAAAATCTTCATCTCCAAGAAAGTATCTTTAGAGAGGAAGCATGCAAGACTGGCTATCTGACTGCCTTTGTCCAGATTTAAGTCCAAAGCTTTCTGTATGAACATGCATGATAATCATAAATCACTGTAAGATATATATCCATGAGTAACTCAGGGTTTTTTCCCCTCAATGGTTTTGACACTAGCCAAACTCCTGTGACTCCTGTGTCCTCTACAGAGTCTCCAACCTCGCTCCGGAGTTTCATGGTGGAGTAGAATCTTTCCATACATTTAGGTAAAGAAATATAGAGTGATTATCTTTTATCAAGGGGTTACAAATAATCTGGGTTGGCCTAATTATGCAGCCTCATAACTGAGAAGTTGTAAGCAAGGGTGCTTTGCAGGGACCGAAATTTATCAGCCTGCCAAAACATTTAGAGCTAATTTCTGTGAACGTTAAGACTAATCTAAACAAAGTGGTGAATTTCAGAACAGAGTGTCATGTCATTGGTAGCCTCCAGGAGGATAGCTATGATGTACCCATGATGAAAAAACATGCACCTATACACACACACACACACACACACACACACACACACACACACACACACACACACACACACACACACACACACACACACACACACACATTAGAGATAAAAGCAGTACACGATTGTATTCAGATAAACACCTGGCAGCATAAAAGGGAGTAGGAGAAAAGCCTCTGTTTGTCATCTGTACTGATTTCTACATCTGTACAATAAAAGACGCCCAGGCTAATCTCATCCTGTCTCCTGTGCATTGTTTTACTCAGTATATGTTGATTCTCCACAACATGATTGGCAAGCCAGCCACTTCATCAGGGAGTGATTCCTCCTTTTGACACAGTTCACTCCCATGCTTCATCTCCCTACACACTCCACGCACACTGGAGGCCAAGTCAGGATGTAAATCCCTCACACACTCTCACAGCTCTTCTAAAAATCCTCCTCTAGGGTTTTCCTGTCTTTTACTATCTCCTGATGGAGAGCCTCCTTTTTCTCCACAACCTGGTGTTCATTGTGCATTTGGTTAATTTTCAAATTCCATAATACTATTAACTATTAAATGAATTTAAAGGATCTCATTACTTAAAGGTCAACTGCTTTACATTAATCATTAGACTTGGCAGCCAGGCGCACCCAGTAAACACACACAATGATGTTCATTCAGGCTGAACCAGAAATTGTCACTCATTACTTCCATTCAGGAACTTGCAGAGCTCTGTTCAAACTACACAGACTCTAAACTTTTTCATTTTGCTTGTTGCTGGACTGACCTGCAGAGAATGGACAGATGTTGTGGGAAAAAAATGCTGCCACGGCACAAAGACATGCTGGGTAAAGAGTCCAGCAACAGAACTGCAGCAGGCTGTGTCCATCCAGCTTCATATACAACCACTGGTGAGCTGTAAATGGGAAAAGTGGGGCATAATCAAGCTGTTTTTTTTTTTTTTTGTCACCCAGAATATAACTGAATTTTGAATATGTGTGTCTGTACTTTTCAGCAGTTTCGTCACACTCAGGTCCATGAGGAAGCTAGAGGTGGCCATCAGAACACCTAAAGCAGCGTAGCTGTACCACTCCAACCCACACACTGAGCCCAAGCAACAGCTTAGCTTTAGGAAACACTCTGTGGACAGAAAGATGCAAAATGTTGTACATTCAAGCATTTCTGATGTGCTCAAAGATCTCCCTTAACCAATAACATAACAAAACACTAATGTCTAATGCCTATTTAAGGACATGAGACTGCATTGCTGTATGTACTGTTCCCTGTATATCATCGTCATGGTCTCAGTAATGCCATCTATTTTTTACCTCAGCTCAATTTAAAGCTTATCAGTAGTGGTCACTAAAACCTGTAATCTTTACATGTTACAATAATGTTGCTCCCTGTAAAGTGTGAGCGGATCCTTGAGTCGTGGGGACCCACTGCTGATGTTACAGAGATGTTAATACTTCTGAGAAAATCTTCAGCAGCAATGTGTTTTGTAGAAACAAGAAGCATCTATATCAGAGTTATCAATATTTTAGTCTTGAACATGGTTAAAATCTGGACACCTGTCTAGACTTCCCTTCTGGTTTTAAATATCACAGAGCGGTTAATCCTGAAGGCTGAAAACCTGCAGCTTGAACTTTGATTAATGAAGAAATATGAAGGAGTCACTCTGGAGAGAACATGATAATTCATCTGTATTCATCATACTGCCTGTTCACATTGACCACGTTATTATAATCTCACATTGAGGCTACACAAAGCTCAACTTCTTGTATGATCTCACCTCCATAATGCAGACTGACTTCCAAATACCTTCCCCATGATGTAGATCATATCAGTATTGATTGTATTGTATTGATTTTCCCCTTGAATCTAACCTTTGAAAGTAGCTCGGGTTCGTTGGCATGGTTTCCATCGATCAGGAAGGAGCAGACTCTTATTACGGGATGTCTCGGATTGATTTTCCCCCTCACCGTAGATGTTTTTTCCTGCAGAATGGCCCCCAGGAGCCTCGTCTAGCCTCTTCATTTTGTCCTTACATTGTTTTATTGTTTAATTAATACATTTTTAAAACTCACCAGAGATCCACGAGTGACTCACTAAGTCGACAAAACACAAAGTAAAAGACAGATATACTTACCCTCTGTCTGCATTCGTCTGTGTGGTGCTGTACACAGGTGTGTTTGCACCACCATTGACCTCTGTGATGGTATTAGCATACAACCAGTCATGGTTGAAGGGTGGCTAATATTAACTCTTCGGAGAATGTTGGTCGTTGCCCTTCATTTGTCTGTGAAGCAGAATTACAGAGTGAATAATTTCAATTTCATGCCCCTCAGCTTTTTTTTTGTTGATATTATCAAAACTGAGTCAGAAAATAATGAATCGTATAATACCTGATCCATTTCTGTATAAATCCATAATGTAAACACAAGTTCTACCAGCTAGAACTACATTTAATTATAGAGTAAGTTATTAGTAAGATATCGTTTAAGCAGACGTGTTAGGATAGACGAGATAGCATAAGACAAACTTAACAAACCCAAGCAAATTGTCCTGTGGTAATATGTTGTTGTGACCACTTACAGTTTTAATCTCTTTTATTATTTTTGCACATTTTTATGATCATTTTCAGGTTCTCAGCTCAGATATTAAACATGATAGCAAGACTCCTACATGCAGGCAAATCAGTTTGGAAAAAAAAAATGTAACTCACCAAAACCTTTATACCCTGTGTCAGAAACGTTTCAGTCTAACATGGTGGAAAACGATTTTCAGCCCCAATGGTCCCCAATGGCACAGGAAAAGACAGAAAATTTGCTCAGGGCTTCAGTAGAAAAACATGTCTCACACAGTAGTGTAGCCAAGTGTTGGGCATGGTCATCATGTGAAACTAGGTGCTCTTCAGCGTCTTTATTTTTCATTTTCATTATATTTAAGGTACAATTTCCCAATCCAAAAGCTACTGCCAATGGTACCACACATTACATTGTTGTTTTTAGAAAGAAAGAAAGAAAGAAAGAAAGAAAGAAAGAAAGAAAGAAAGAAAGAAAGAAAGAAAGAAAGAAAGAAAGAAAGAAAGAAAAAGAAATGTATTCATCCTAAGAATTTCTTCTTTGGGAAGCGGGAGTATCCTGGATGATTTTCATGGGAACATTGATACCAGTTTGCACTCCTGACATGTTTATAAGACATGCACTCTAAAGTGTTGTCACTTTTTGTCCAAAACTCAAACCTGTACTCAAACAATGGAGAAAAAGTTGGCGCTTGAATTGTAATGACTTCTTCAAACTGTGACTGGCAGCCAGAAGTAGCTTGCAGTATAATCCAGCAGAGAGCGCTCTCATTGTAACCTGGCCAGCCAATGCACTCTTGACCTAGGTAAACTAATACAGAAATGTTAATCTGCAAAAATTGAGGACATGGCTGGGCAAAGTCACACCCAACAGAAAACCATGACACCAAAATGAGAAAAGCAGTCCGGATGTATTTTGGGTTCTACACAGTCAATGGAAAAGTGGAAGACAAAGATAGGGCTATATGCCGACTTCAGAGAAAGCAGCTGTCTTTCTTGTCAACAATGACACATTGAAGGGCTCACCTGATGGTTTGCCATCCACACAAAGCTTTTAGTTATGAGAGGCTCCTTACCAGAAGCTCGGAAAAAGACCATCACTGATAAGACAGTAAAAAATTCTGGACATTTACACATTGTTTTGTATTCATTTAAAGTTCATTCCAGCATATCCAAAAAAATACAAAAATAGAAGACATGCTTTTTCTTATACCAATAGATAGATAAACAGATAAGGAAATAACTATTTAATTAAATAATTGAATAAATGCATAATAAGGAGCAAACTAACAAAAAGACTGAACCTGGCAAAAAGACTGGATAGACTTTTGCTGTATAGTTCAGTCATAGATGTTTCACCAACAGTTATAATACTGCAAAACAACAAGCAAAGACATGCTTGGCATCAGAAAAAGAGCAGGAATTCCACTTCCCCCTTCCAACGTACTCAGTAACCTTTCTCTTAATGTACTGTTAGCTTGTGGCTAATGGTGTACATGCTTTCAAGTGAATGTGCAACTTGCTAATACACACAAACAGCTTACACAGCATACCACTTCCTTGTTAAAACCGGTAACTCCAATTAAAAACCTGTAATTATGTACCATTCAAGGGTCAAAAAATCCAATAAATCTGGACGAAAATCATCCCCTAGCCAAGGTTAAAGGAGGGGTTACATATTTACAGACAGATAGGAAACCGAATCAGTGAGAGAGATGTATAAGTCCAAACTCTAGAAAAGGCAGAGCAGGAAAACACAGTCCAAGTGTTTTTGTATCTGACTGAATCTATCTTATATTAGATTTACATTTTTTTTACCTTATTCCTGCCACTGCTCACTCAAGGTCAAGGTAATCATTGCTCAGCTCCTTACACACACTTCAAAACACACTTCAACCACACACAAGACTTTGATTTGGCTCACAGTTAGTGTTTATTTTCCACGATATCCCCTGCCCTTTCAGTTACAGCCTAATGTCACAAAGATTTAAGAATCAGTATGCTGTGAATGTCAGCCTATCACACATATGTGTACATGCTGTCGAATTTACACACACAGACTGCTTTTCCAAGTATAAAAACACGTTTCCATGAGAACAGCTCAACGACAGGACCAGAGAGCCAGGCAGGAGGTTACATTACTCAGATAAGAGAAAAAGAGCAAATCACAATCATGGAATACTGTTTCTAGATTCTCAAAGCAAATATTAATACATTGATAACAAAAAAGTAATTAGGGGCAAATGCAGAAACTTAATGTCTCTATTTTATTCAAAGGAATGTGCTTTTTTCTTTATAGAGCTGTAAACTGAAAAGTTATTGGTTGGTATAAGTTATAGGTTTACGCAGCATCTATTTGCCTTTTTGAGCAGGACCAATCAAACCAACAGAAAGACTGGACCTGCTGCTGCAGATGGGTATAATTTGCACAATCCTGTCATACATCTGTGCACACCGGTTACAGCAGTATTTGCTGAAGTATGAGGGTTGATATGCCTGCACGGATAAGAATGAATTACACATGCTATGACCTTACTCTCCTTCATACCTGGCATACTTGTTTGCACACACCCTGATTGTCAGAGATAACGATAAAGATGGACCTTGTTGGTTTTCAGACTCCCTCGATAGTGCAGGAGCAGACGTAGAATCCTGCAGATTTATTGTCTGCCTGCTGGAGGGTGCTGTGATGACATCTGTGTGACATGGTACATATTGTAAAATGCTGAGAGGATGTAATGGTGCCCTAAAGTTTTAGTATGACAACCTGAGAGTTTATATGCTGGACCAAAAACTGCACTGCTGTGTCACACTCTTGTTTTAAAGATTCCAGAAGGAGCAGTGGAAACCTCAGGAGTTCATTCTTTTATTCAGTAAGAAGTGATTCTAACACCTAACTTTGCTCTTTTTTAGAAACTGTTATCCAAACACTTATACTGATGAAAATGTATCTCTGCAATATTTACAAATTTTCTCCCACTTATGTTGCCGTCACGAAGCCCATTCTGTTTTTTCTAACACAACACATACATGTTCTCCCACCTGTGGCATATTTAATTCATGATGTATCAGTCATTTTCACTTTTACCAAGAACACTGATTTATTGTTCATTTGAAAATTGAAAAATAATTTTTGTCTATTCAGTCTGTCAGTCTATGAGGCATCTATGTAAATTATATCTATGGGGTGGCCAATCAGATTGCAGGAGGCCCAGGCCACCCCAAGCCACCAATCATATCTACCCCTGTCTGTTTGCCGGATTTAGCTTCTTTATCAGTAAACCAAAAAAAAAAAAGAAAAGAAAAGAAAAACACTAAATGCCAATATTTACATTAGTGTTTTTATTTGTATATTATTTAATGAATGCAATATTATATCTATTACTGTATTACTGTTTTTGAGTAGAATCATACATTTGAATAAATTTACCTGCAGAAAAGTTTCACATAGCCTTTTCAGTAGGAGCCAGCCTAATACAGAGGGTTTTCATATTAAGGTCAGAAAAGGGAGTTAATGGATCCCCCAGACTTAGTGGCTCGTTATTCATGAATACCTGCATATATATATTTTTGTTCATAAAAGTCAAGATAAACAGATTTATTCAAATCCATGTAAATATGTGGTTAGCAGCAGGGAGGTGACCTTCAGCTCAGACACAGTCTACCTCAGTGGAATTTGTCTCACCACATGCAAACTAATGTAGCAGCTGTGGGACACACAGCGTTAGCTCAGGAGTGTGTTTGTATGTCAGTGCTCTGCTGTATTTTGGAGGATATGACTGCACACACTAATGCTCATATAGAGGTAACTCAATGTCAGTGTTGGGACAATGTGGCTTACTACCAGCTGGATCAGATTCACTCTGTTATGCTCCTCATCCCTCCTCAGGGCTTATTTTTAGAAACATGCCATCATTTATTTGTTTGTATTTGTTGTGTAATTGTTTTTCACCCCATTCTTTGTGCGTCAGTAAATCACTGGACACACACTATCAACCCCAGTGATGCCATGATACAGCAGTTATTGTTTACCTGTCAGCCATCCAGATTTATGAATGACGTGATCAGTCTGGCAGCAATAAGGCCCTTCTGTTTTCTGTGATCATGTAAGACCAGATTTATTTTAATCCACAGAGGGAAGTCATTTTGTGTTGGTGTTGCATTGGTGTGACTTGGTCTCGCTGAAATATGCAAGGTTTCCCTGAAAACAAGCAGCCTGGGTGGTAGCATATGTTGCACAGAACGTCTTTAAAAACCTTTTTTTTTGTTTGTTTTTTTTTTGTTTTTTTGTCACTGTCCCATCTTTTTTTTAACCTTATCACTGGTTTCATGTATACCAGCATTTTTTTGTTTTTGTTTTTGTTTTTTTGTGATCATTTAATATGTTGTCTTTACACTATAATTAACTGTTTTAAATTATTTGCAATCAGCCAAAACCTGTTTTCTGTTGCATTTTAGACAGCATCTGAACTGTTTTAGACATGGGGTTGTAAGATGTTCATGTTGGTCGCTCTTCCAAATGCATGAGGGGATGTTTTGAATATCTCTAATAAGAGATTTCATCTTACTGTTCATTTTAAAGCTACATTGTGTTTGATGTCTATAATATTTGATCTTATTTTATAGTGTGCCATTAACTCATCATTTATTTCTTTTCTCTCTGCCAGTAACACAACTCATAACTAACCACAATAATCCGAGGTGGCTTATGATTAGCCACAAATGGCTGTTTAGAAGGGGGTTACCAAACATTTGAGCTTTCTGCTCTGTTTTTTCAGAGTCCCAATACTCATAACAATGTGGTGCTGAGGTCCAAAACATTAGGAACACTTAATAACCAGACCCTCCACATTCCTCACTTTGGTACAAGCAGCTAGCTGCTCATCGTAAACCAGAACTATGACTTTATCACCACTTTATCCCCATATCATAATAACTTTATTTTTTTAATAATATGCCTTTAATCTCGTACCATTATGACTTAATTTACCTGGGGGATTTAACCTTACCATGACTTTATTTCCAGTAAAACAATTTTACTGCAACATATAAGATGTAAAGACATGACTTTCATTGAAGTTTGAATTAGTGTGTGTTTACACCCTTTACTCAATTTTACTTTACTTAAAAAGCACCTGTAATACATACAGGTGTGCATCTCAAAGTGGTTCACATTAAAACAGAGAGAAAATAAGAGTGGTAGGTCCTATAGTGAGCGACTATAACAGTAATAAAAACTCAATAAAAGATGCTTGTAGTGTGAAGCAGTGCAAGAACTGATGTGATCTGAGTACATCTGCTTTTATCTTTTATGATAGATGTTGTAGTAAAAGACGCAGCCACTCCCAGTTTTCTATCTGAATACAGAGACAGATAATGATGTCTATTCACAGCCCTAAAAGCAATGTAAGGACAGTACTGATTTTACTAAGGAGGTGGACCACAGTCCTGTGTGCTGTCTATGAGGGAGGGGAGTTGCTGGGCTGGATTTAGATCTTCAGTGGGGGGCAGAGCTAAATAAACTGATAAGACTGGAGGCGCTGTGTGGTTGTGTGGTGTCACTCGGAAAGCCGGGTAACCTTTCAAACACGACTTCACAACAAAAGACCTCAACCTTTGAGTGTTTAGCGGCAGACTGCCTTGAATTTCAATTTCCAAACTGACTGTCGTAGCAGATCCTCGATGTTCAGGACTCAGGCTATCGGTCAGTAAATATGTTCTGTGCCGCCTTGCATAGGTCATGTGGAAATTATAGGCATCTTTCTCCACACTGCAGACACAATGCAGAAGACGCTGAGCCCATAAATGGATGTTATTGGATGAGCTGTCAGCAGTGACTGTAAAGGAAAGCAGTGAGTGTGCTCTGATCATGACGGGCTGTATGTGCTGTGCTCTCTGTACAGATATTTATAGCTACAAAGCAATGTCACTACTAAAGCCCCTGCACCCACTGACGGCTTTGTTTTGGAGCACATTCTTTCCATCTTTGTTTTGCTCTCAACTTATCCTGTGAGATAAGAAACAAACCCCCCTCCCTCTCGCCAACCTCATATATCCCCCTCTTTACTCGGCTCAGCAGGAGAAAACTATATTTTCCAGAGAATCGTTTGGCGTAAAAGTGTTCAGGGAGTTCATTATATTCATTTAATAAACAGATGTGGGATTCAGCTGAAAACCGAATAACAGAAACCTCTTTAATGAGGTGAAAGCATGCTGTGAAAATGCTGGACGCCATGTCAATTACTGGCAGAACCATGCAAGGATCCAATTTCAGGACAAAATGTTACTTGGAGTTAAAGCTGCTGAAAAACTAAGTCTTTAGTCAAGTCAAGTCAAGTTTATTTATAAAGCACCTTCAAGAAGACAGTAGCCAATCAAAGTGCTGTACGTGGGATAAATAAAAGAAGTAAATAAATAGATAACAATAAAACAATGAAATTAAAAACAGTGGATAGAAATTCTTACAGTAGAAGAATAGAAGCTACTGTGCCTGTGATTTGTGTGTACTCATTTATGAAACGCAAGGGAGAAAAGGTGGGTCTTTAAACTTCTAAAGTATGACATGACCCCCCAACCTCATCTGATTTTTTTAACACTGGGTATCTGCCAATAGCAGTTTTGTTTATTGGACAAGACACCATTCTTTTGGTTTCTTTCTGTCACAAAAATAACAAAAGTAAATTAATTAACTATAAGAAACTGCAGGCCTGAACTCAGAAGTAGAGGAATCACTCCAGTGCACAGTAAGGCTGAGGAGTGAAATGGAGCCAACGTCACAGCTACAAATGTCTGCTGTAAAACTTAAAACATTCACACTTGTGTTTTAGATCATCTCATTGTCACAAACTTTTCAGTACAGCTACAATAAGGTGGTGTCTGGAATGGAGCATCGAGACAGTAGGACAGGCTGTGGATCTCAACGCTCAAAAAGATATCACAGTCCTAAAATCAACCACCTTCTCTGTGATCATTTGGTTGTTTTTTTCTTCTCTCCATTCATATCCTTCCTTTTTGAGTTCAGAGTGTCTTACTTTGGCGCAGCAGCCTTTCCTCTGTTGCTTTAGTCAACACGTCATCTCCTATTGCATGTTCAGTTTTTAGATGTCAGAACAAATTAGTAACATTAAACTGCATGTAATACTACTCAGCTTAGGATTGCTGAATTCCTTTATTTTTAACCATTTATGGTAGAAAAATAGTTCCAAGGAGATTTTTAGGCTTGTATCCCTGGTGATGATTGAAGACCCCCAGGTAACGCTAAGGTGTCTGTTTTGTGACCGGCTGAGAGTCACCAGTCAGCAGGGTCACCTTTTAAACTGTAACACTGATACACTTGTGCAACACTTCAGCATCACTAGTGGTAAATTCAGGCTGTTTGACAGGCCAAAAAGGACACCTGCTGTGTGCCATAAAGAGTAAACCCTAGAGTATAACCCTAATGATATAGATTTAAGCATGCAGTATAAAGGCAGATCAAATGAAGAATATAACCATTCCATGTTTTATTTTAGCGCGCATTGTGTTTTCTCCAGTAAAGGGACATCCAGAGGCAGTTTGTTTACATTTTATCTACTGAATAGGAATTAAAATGGCTCTCTGTTTATATTATGTCTACACAAAGGGCATCCAGAGGTCACTCTACTTACATTTCTTACACTTTCTCTGGAGGAAGGACATCCAGAGGGCACTTTGTTTTTATTTTATCCGCTGCATGAAACTAAGAGAAAACTCTGTGTATCCACTGGAAAGGCATTAAGAGGGCACTGTGTTTAAGTTAGATATCCTGAAAGAGTAAAATAACCATACAAATGCATGTAAGGTAAAGATGTTTATTAGTAGAGTCTATAGTTATATGTTGCCTTTTTAAAAATTGTCTGACTGTGTTGTTTTATTTTGAAGTTTTTTCATCATCATTTCAATAATATCTTTATCATGATATTTTATGGCCACAATAAATCTCTATAGAAAAAGGGGAAAATGTGATGTGGTGACAGCCTTAGCTGAAAGTATCTTTCCATTTACAGCACAGGAGCTTGCACATAAAATGGTGAATATATCAATCAAAACTACTACTTAACTACAGTTGGACAATGTTTTTTTTACATAGAGGTTTTCTTGGAAATTAAAGGTAAATTTTAAACATATTTTGGGTATGCTAATTAAAATGATTAGCTTTGATTCCATTTTTTAAAGATTAAACATTTCCAGCTGAATGTCCAGGGGATACAAGGAAGCAGAGGACGCAGTAATGAGGTATGGGGAAAGCTAAAGAGCTATTTAAGGGATCATGTATCTACAGTCAGAACTGCTGTCCCCTCTCTCCCCCTGCTCTCCCTCTACCTCACTCTATCAAATCCTGCTCTCTCTCTCTCTCTCTCTCTCTCTCTCTCTCTCTCTCCAGCTCACAAGGGCCCAAAACTTTTTCCAACCACAGATCCTTCTCTCCATCACTTTGTGCGACTCATGATAAATATAGCACACTGTTACCCATTAGCTGGGACACTTGTGCAAACCGCCCACCTACTCAGGGGAATAAAGGGTGTATATAAGGGTGAGAGGCTGCAGGACAGTGAGGAAATAAGTGATATTACATAAGACCAAGGAGAAAAAATAAAAAGGACAAAAGCAAGACAGGAGAAGTGTGTGCTGTGTTTGTCACTTATAAGCTTTTAAGCAGGCAGAAAAAGAAGAAGAAGAAACTCTCTCCACCTCCCCTCACTCTCCTCCTCTGCCTCACCCAGAGCTCTCAGCCATCCATGAGTGTGACCAACTCCTCTGCCTATCGATCGGAGCGCAGTTTCCACCAGACTTCATCCTCCTCCTCGTCCTCTGGTAACCCATACATGGAGAAAAGCCGAGGACTGTTCGCTGAGGACTTTGGCTCCTTCATGGGGCCTGGGAGCGACGCCTTGGGGTTTTCCAGTAAGTTGAGAGGACATATAGAGACTGTATCTGATTTTGTAAACAAAAGCGGTTTAAAAATAAGTGCAACTGCAGGTTGAAGTGACAGCTTTGACTGTGACTTGGATTTATGTCTGTGCTAAGAGGGGATCTGTTGAAAGTGTGGTGGTTTTCCTCATAAAGAAGCGATAAAACATGTCTGAGTCAGATCAGAGCAGTGAGAGAAATTGCAGGACTGAGTTCAGGAGGTGAAAGGACTGTAGTGTGGTTGATGTGTTTGGACAAATGTGCTCCCAAGAAAGATTACAGCTAAGATGGTGTTGTTTGATGGAATAGCTAGCATTAAACAAAAGATAAAGAGCAAAAGGAAAAAGCTTCAAAGTCTGAGTTTATTGTTGGTAATAAAAGGACCTTTCAGCTCTGCCTTTCAGAGTTTTACAGGAACTTTTGAGCCTAGAACACACATTAAAACCAGCAGATATTTCACTTCTAAGTGCCTGCGGTTCATCCTCCATCTCAGTAATGTGTGGAGATGGTGTGAATTGTTCTGTATCAGTTCTCTGCTGGCACACATAGAGGTGTGAATGTGTGACATCTGAACTTTAAATGGGCTCACAGTCAATGTCATATATGCACCAAGGCAGGGGAGGAATTGTTTTTGAACTATTGGTGCAGCACACTGCAAATCCTGAGGGTGGGTACATCTGTAGCGGTAGACAGGAACACATACACACACACACACACACACATCCATGCAAAAAAATGGGGACTGCTGGTCTGACTGCCAGCAGTGTGACTTCACACACAGAGTATCTGCTATGACGCCTGCATGAGGAATGACCAGATGGTTTCCCGGTGACCGGTGTGCACACAAAACACTCAATCGCAATGACGTTATGCAATCAGGCTAAGTTGCATATGTCGTGCGCACACACACAAACACACACATATAATATTATTTTGAGTCAGGAGACAAGTATGAGGTCATGTGTTACCACGTAGTTTCACACTGAGCTCAGAGTCTCTGCAGACGGACAGCTGTCACTGAATTGACAAAGCCTCAGACTGTGTCCCATTACAGTTTTCTTACTGTTTTTTCTTTCAAATTGAAAATACATCTCAAAGCCACATGTATCCATATTTTAATTGACCAATCATATCCAATGACTCTATTAAAAGATGTAGCTCATAGTGACAACAAGCAACTGAATTATCACGAAGCTCTGCTGTTTTCTTTGGCTGTAAAGACCCGTTCAGCCATTTTAGCTCCTTGTTCTGATATTACGGATTTGATTTATTCATGCTTTAATCATAGTCCACATCAGGGTTGTGTCCAGATTCAGACTCTTAGTCTGAGGGGGCCCAACTCACTGAGCAAGTCACTCAGACGTGGCCTGATGTTTGTGTGCTCTCTCACAGACAAATAAATACCATTTATATATTTATATAAAGTTAACTGACAGTATTAAACTGAATTGAAATAGTAAAAAAAAAAAAAAAAAATTTTTTTTAATCCCATTTAGGCCACAACTTTTTTGCTTGGTGGTGATAGCAAAAACTTGGCATCTTGTGTAAATGGGGTTATATCGCAGTGGAAGAAGGTCTGGAAGATTGATATACAGTGTGGGGGATGGATTGGATAGACACATTTGGTGGCTGAGATGTGACATCAACCAAATTGAAGAAAACAGACAAAGCAGCTAGGAACCACGAAACAGACTACCATATAAAGGTGCTTTTTTTCAGGTGATGACCATGATAAATATAACATCCTATTCAAAAAAGGCCAGTGAGAGCCTGAGTGTCTGTGCCAGTCATTACTATCATCATACCTGACAAGTGAGAGTTTACTCTGTAACAAGCAGCAGACCTAGAAGTTCTGTGAAAACTATCAAACAAAGACAGACATACAGATTAACTCTGTTTCCTCCTGCTCTCTAACAACCTCTCTCATGTTTCTGTGAGTTCAGGTGGAGCTGGAAATATCAAGACTCTGGGGGATTCATACCAGTTCACAGTTGATGTGCGGGATTTCTCCCCCGAAGATGTCATCGTCACCACATCCAACAACCAGATCGAGGTTCATGCAGAGAAGGTGGGAAGCCATTGTTTTTAAAAATTTAGAAACATTGCATAAGTCCCAGTGGTGGCAAAGGGGTATTCCTTTTTTTTTTTCACTGAAATCGTGTTGTATGGGCAGAAAAACCAGAACAGAAAGTACTGCTACAGATGAGGTCAACCCAAATTCCAACCCCAAAAGTAATTTCAGTATACGTGAATGCTATATTTAGGAATCTTCCAGCACTCTGGTCTCCCACAGCAAAGCCTATTCATTTTTGCACAATTGCAACATCATCCAAAAAGACAAACTAACCCTTTGAAAACATGAATGAATGAATCCTTGTCACATGATCACTCAGATTAGATTTTAAAATAATACTCTGTCTTTGGCAGCTGGCCACGGACGGTACGGTGATGAACACTTTCACACACAAGTGCCAGTTACCTGACGATGTGGACCCCACCTCTGTGACATCATCACTGGGCGCTGAGGGAACTCTGACAGTCAAGGCCCGTCGACACCCGGCCAAACATGAGCTTGTACAGACGTACCGCACTGAGATCAAGATCTAAAGAGTCGCATATCACAGACCTCTCTATTCTTTTGTTTTTAATAGTTATTTCTGTGTCGTCTATCTTCACTAAAGCAACATGTCTCGTCCTTTCATAGCAGCTGCAGCTTTGCTGTATCTGCTCATTTAGTTCTTCATATATGAATATTGCATATATTTCAAACACAGAGGTTTAATATGTACAGTATCAACAAACTTAACAATAATACAACAATTATAAGTCAGTTTCATCACATCTGCTCTTTCTTCCAGCACAGATTTAAGATGAAGCCTTCACTTTGAGTTTGATGTTGGCACATAATTTGTTGTATATTATTTTTTGTGTGAATAAAATTTTCCAGCTTTGACATCTAACATTTCAATGCTTTGATTTTCATAATGCATGGGACATTGCATTTTGAGGGGGCAATAAACAGGGGGAAACAGCCAATAGCTCCACTGAAGTGATTGACTTGGTATCCTACATTATTGTATATCCACATGGGATTATAAAACCATTACAGGGCTGTAAATCAGTGAATGCCACAGGACGAACTGCTCTGAAAATCAGTATAGAACAGAACGGTCCACTCATCATAAAGTGGGTGCTCCTGCTTGGCCTTTTCATGGAAGCTTTTATGACACATCTTTCACATTTTGATGAGAAAAGACATTCAAAAACACCATTCAGGCAAAATGATTCAGAGGCCTCTTCAATCCAAGTATAATAATCTTCTTTATGTTGAGACATGTGCTCTAGAGGGGCTTGAAATTGTACCTTGATACATGTAACTGCATGATCCATAATGTTATATTGTACTTTGAAATGTGTCTTTTCTCAAAATAACCCTTGAAATGACTCTTTCATCATTTTTCTATCTCATATTTAGTAGTGGACATTTGTAGATTACACTATCCACAGTTTCCATTTTCAATGTTCAACACTAAGTTAAAACAACGACAACAAGCCATAAATGGAGAAATAATGCCTAGTAGTGAAAACAAGCAATTTCTTTCTATACTAACATACATTTAGATAAAGTCTGCAGGTGGACTACAAAGATAAATCTGTAACTATTCTGTTTTTCATGCAGCTTTACAGAATTTTTTAACAATGATTGAAAATGTTTACAATCCATTCTTTCTCTGTTGAATGTAACTTACTTATTGGAAATATCTGACATTTTTCCCCTTTAAAGAGACACATGTAAAAATGATATTAGTTTAAATAGGAAAGAAGTCACATTTTTCCCAAATGATGAACATTATAAACCTTCACAAACTCTATTTCAAACATCTCTGAAAATTCAGTGTATACAAACATGGGCCTAAATGAGAAAACGTCCCATTTTTGTATTTGTAAAGAAAATATCGTAAAAATATCATCTCAGGGTCATAATCAAAGATGACAAGATTTTAGGTACAGTACCAGAATTTATGATAATTACTTCATGGAAATGCAATCAGACCGAGACGCTAAGACAGAAGAAGGCAGAAGGCAGAACTACCACATCTGCAGTGTAAAATGATTATTATGATGATATTACTTCATGGCAATGATTGCATTTCCATGAAGTAATAATCATAAATTTCCTTCCTTAAGCTGCAGAACCCTGCTGCAGTTGGTGATCGACTTGTCAGGGCTCCTTCACAAACAAGCAGCTGCTGGAGGAGAGTGGGTGAGTTGCGTTTAGTCTCTTCGCTAAAGAAATCAGGCAAAGCTAAAAAGATGTGTGATGGCTAATTCTATGGCTGGGACCCTATATGTACTGTTGATGAAGATAGGTGCTGTTCTGAGCATTATTTGTGGCTATAGAGTGACTTTTTGATTGAGGTTAGCACGTGGAGATATGGACTGCTGTGTATTGCTATTGTGCGGTCGTTGCTGAAGTTGGACAAGCAAGCAGTCTGCAGCATTCATCTTGGGGGGGGGGGGGTCTAACTTAGTGTTACGGTGTGTTTGACCATAATTTTAACGTACGCCGTCCCTTTATGTTTATATGTTTATAACATTATGTCCCACAATGTTTTCTTTATTGTCTGTGTTTAACTGTGGTCTTTGTCTTCGTTTATGATATGGAAATGACTAAATTAGACTACAAATCACATTGCATGAACAAAAATATTTTCAGTGTTTTTATCAAACAGCTCAATAACGTCTTTTGTGCTTCTGAGGGTGGCTGTGAAACCTGCATTTAGCCTTCTTAAAAGAAAAAAATCTTCATTAAAAACTGTAAACTGTAATACACAAAAGTACAATAATATATACATTTTTAAGATTCAAGGTAAAAATAAATAAATAAAAGCAAGCAAATGAAAAGACAAGATATAATTTAAGTATTGTCATCACTGGAAAGTTGACCTTTAACTCATCACTTTATTTCTCTATATTAAAAAAAAAAAAATGTTTTATGATGCATTTCTTATCTAATGGCTTTATATTACCCCGTACTATGATCTGTTTAACCGGATGATAAACTTTTTGTGAAACCTAACGTTAACCACTTATCTTAGAAAAAATGAGTAGCCCTAAAAATGTAAAAATATTAACAATAACAGTACAGTTCACAGCCCCCTCTTTGTTTTTTAAGTGCGGCGTATCATTTTTGATTAATCAACTTAATGTGTCGGGCTCCTTTATCTTTGTTTTAATACAAAACATCGAGTTTAGCTGTTTATATCTATAAATCCAGAGTAATAGGTCAATATTAGAACATAACTCGGGTAAATTGCGCCATCATGTGGTCTACGTCAGCGCCGCACTTGTCCACACTGCGCTTGCTCCAGTGGCACATCCGGCCGGTCCCTATCAATCGATCAGAGAGAGGAAGATGGCGGTGGATAGAGAGAGCGGGGTATGATCGATCACCGAAAAACTCGATTGGGTTTGTTTATCCTAAGTAACTTGTAGACCCCGGAGCGCCGTCTGTCCCTGTGATTTATACTTGGACTGGAGACGTAACGACGGAGAGGTAATTCAGACTTTAGTCAATGCAAAAATGGCGCTGACGAAAGCTCTAGTAGCGCGCGAGCTGTGAAAACAATCGGGGGTAAAGACGGGCTGGACTCCATACTCCGCCATCTTGTTCCTTCACTACATGCATGTCAAGGCACGCTAAATTAATCCCTGATAACAAAGCTGCAAGGATGGAGGAATTGTAATCGATCCACTGTGGAACCCAGCTGTTAAGGCTATAAGACAAACTTAATTGGCTCAAATATCACCAAAGCTGTTGATATGTTTGTCACTTTAGTCCCGTGGCCATTATTTGGACCTATATTCTGGCGTTGCCGTGAATTTACATTCTGTGGTCCAGTGAGCTGAGTTTTATAATTAATTTTGCTTGTTTTCGTTAACACTTGTTACAAGAACCCCTGCGGTTCTTTGTTTCCGTTTCTCTCGAAAAACGAGTGTGACACCATTGGAGAATAGCAGACATAAGATTCCAGTTGCAATTTTGGACATACAAAAAGCAAGAAAGCTAAAAATATCCATAAATTATTAATTAATGCTCTGTCTTTATGAGTTACTCTTTTCATTTCGGCATCTTTGTACACATTACAAACCCACATTTTGAACAGACTTTTATTTCCCTATCTAGGTTTCTTGTTCATGAAGAATTTAAAGCAGCTCATAGGCCTACATTTGCATATAGTTTTCACAGAAAATAACTGTTTTCCCACATGGATAAATGAGGTAATAATACAAAACTAGTCCAAAAGTGCCTGACAGGTATAACAGAAAGACAACAGCATTATGAATGTTAAATAAGGAGCCTCGGCTATAAAGAAAAGACATCCAGTAAATTCAACTTGTGTATAAGACAGATGGAACCTGGCATAATTTTGAAAAACATGCAGAGATTTAGAGTTGCAGCATATATCCTATTCAATTTATGGAAGATTATGAAGTGTTTATAATCAAAATACAATTCTCTCTATTTAGTTTGTTCTCAAGGTCAATTAAATCCCTGATTATGATATGGGATGTGCTTAGCTCCGTTAAAAAACAGCTTTTATGTGCTAAAATTTCGTGCCGTACTGTGAGTACATTTCGAGCTTTCAACTTTTGCAATTTTACTTCAGTGAAGGTGTTTTATTCATACTTTTTCTTTACCTGGAGTCTTATACCTGTACATATTTGTATTACAGTAGGAGACTTGTGTACTTCTGCCTCTGTTACATCTCAAACACTTTAATTTAACTTTTGCATTAAACTAGTATGTTGCTTTGTTTTGCATAGGGAGAGCCCATAGAGCCTGTTCCCACCTGTCAGCGCCTGCCGCCACCCTCAGGCAGTCAGGCGAAAGATGGAGTTCCCCTGGCACAGCGGGAAGGTTCTGGAGCAGCTGGACCGCCAGCGAAAGCAGGGCCTGCTGTGTGACTGCACTTTTGTTGTTGATGGGGTCAACTTCAAGGCCCACAAGGCTGTGCTGGCAGCCTGCAGTGTCTACTTCCGCACTCTGTTCCTGGACCAGAAAGATGTGGTACATCTGGACATCAGCAATGCAGCCGGTGGGTTCCTCATTCGCATGTGAACACATATTTCTGCTCACTGTATATTTTTGGATTCATTTAATGAGTTAAACCATTTTAATCTTCTCTAGCTTGTAGTTTAACATCAAGGGGGTTTACCAAAATAAAAGCAGACCTACCCAGCCATTTCATTTGCATTTTTACATGCTGTCTTTCTGATTATTGTTTCAGGTTTGGGGCAGGTCTTGGAGTTTATGTACACAGCGAAGCTGAATTTAAGTCCACAGAACGTAGAAGATGTGCGAACTGTCGCCAGCTTTCTGCAGATGCAAGAAATTGTAAACGCTTGCTCAGCGTACCAGTCAGTGGCAACTCAAGCTCCATCTCTCATTACACTGGATTTTGCTGTTGGTGAGTTTGATTTTTACTAAGAGCTTCACAAGTCTATCAGTCACATGCTGCACTATCAGCAGCAGTGCTGAACTTGATCAGTTACGACAGAATAATGAAAACATTTCTGTTTCAAACCAGATGGAAAACCAGTTGAAGAAGAGCAAGAACAGAAGCTGGAAAATGACTTAGCAGAAGTTGCTTCACAAGCAGAGGAGGAGAATCCTTTAAACGTCCCCACAGAGGATGCAGAGCCCCAACAGAGTCAGGAAAACTTAGAGGAAGACATTTCACCTGAAACTCAACAAAATGCTCATCAGACCAACACCACCAGATCTCTCTCAGGCCGAGGCAGACCATCCAAAAATGTCCTGCTTTCTGCCCAAAAGAAGGTTTCTGTAAAGAAAGAGGAAGAGAGCGCTGCACAGGTGATATCAGGATTTCAGGACGACCCATCAGACACCGACTACAGACCAAGTAAATACAGATTTTCAGAATGCTTCATGTGATACGTTTGCATCTGAATATTTAACATACTGAGTAAGAGTTTGTTCGCTTTATTCCCAGAATCACAGTTGAAATCTGCTGACAGCTCCTCCTACATGAGTTCTCGTGGGAGAAGAATCAGAAAACCTCCTCGACGAAACTTCCCACCTGGTAAACCCAAACATCTTTCTAACCCAACTCTTGTTAAGAATATTATAACAATAATATCATAACTGTATTACTAATATAAATCTTCTATCCATGTATAAATACTTGTACGTGATGTTTGCCGTTGCTGTTTCTGACCCTGTCATGACAACCGAATGAAAAGTTTTAAGAAAAAGTAGTTCAGAGGTTAAATAAAAACCCAGGCAGGAACATTTTTAGGAATTGTTACACAAGAAACTTCCATGACACTACTTTTATTATTCTTGTGTTTCTTAGGTCCCAGACTGCCAATTAAATTCAAAGAGCAGTCAAATATTTACTTTTTTTAAAAGTACATTTTAAGTATCCTCTATTTCTATTTACATTGGCAGACCATGACTCTGAAGATGAAGGCCCATCAAAGAAAAAGACAGCAAGGAAGGCGACCGAGCCAACAGAAGTGACAGAACAGGAGGGGAACAACCCTGTGGAGACTATCAATGTAGATGCTGATGATGAAGAGGGGGCTGGAGAAGGAGATGGCGAGGCCAGCAGCCAAGCAGAGGGACTCGATTCTGGCAGTGAAGGAGATGGCACACAAACTCAGTCAGTGTCTATAAGCAGCCGATCAGAGTCGAAGCCTTACAGCTCAGTGACACACAAATGTGAGGTGAGAAATCTGGGTATCGGGATAATTAAAGAGTCAACTTGAAGTTTGTAACACATTGTATTTGTGTTGCTGTTTATCTCATAGCGTGGAAGTTGTTATCATCACATATACCTACAAGCCAAAAAATTACTGTACATCAGATAGTCACAGGCAGCCACCCACTTTTCCTCATAGTGTGTGCAGATACCTATGCATTAAAGTACCACCCCAAATGTTTTAATTTTTACTACTTAAAGTGTTCTCAGTGGTCTTTAAATTGTGATTCTGAAAATCGCAATTACCAAAATCACGTTACCTGGGCTTTTCTTCAGCAGAGCTCCAGTATCTCATTAGCGATTCGCCCCTGAGTTGTGGGCGGAGACAGCGCTGCTCTCCACACTCCTCTTCACGCTAGCTTGCAGCCTAACAATGCCTGTGTAGTAGAAATAGCAGGTAACATAGGAGCTATTCAGTTCTCAGACACTAATGTCTTAAGGGACATGATGAAAGTAAATATCATAATAAGCTTTAGTGGTGCAACGGATCACAACACTCACGAATCGGATCGTTCCTCGGATCAAGAGTCACGGATCGGATCATTTTTCGGATCAGCAAAAAGCAGTTTTGTCTGTATATTAAACACTTAAATGGTTGAATTAAAATATCTAAAAGTAGTGCATACGGCATAATATCTTCTTTTCAACATAATTATTAATGAAAAACAACTTAAAGTGCAATATATAGGCATATCTCCTTCCTTTAAAATGTAACAATGAACCAAAAATGAAGTATGTGCGCGGTGGGATATTGTAACGTGGCTCAAGCACTTTCAGCATGTTTTTAAAGCCCTCGTTTGCACAACTGAATATGGCCTCATGTCTGTAGCTATAAACACACCGATAGCGTTTGTGATAGCTTTAACCCGGTCGGATTGCGCAGGAAGAGGCTGCTTAAATGCTGCGGTGATGAGCGGTTGCTGGCCAGCTTTCGTTTTATCTCAGGTGTTGTGACATTGAATGCACCCCTGCCGTAGAATGCACCCCCTGACAGGAGCGCGGTTTAAAGTACATAACGAGGCGAAATAATCCAAGTTTTTCTTACATTGGATGGATTCAAAAGCGTTTGCCTGTATTAATTTCATTCAGGCTATTCAAAGAAGCCAAAAACAACAGCCCTTGGAATATTGCTGTCCCGAAAATATAATGCTCTCTACCTGGACAGCTTTCTGTACAGTTTATACCCAAGTACACCTGTATATTTGCATTTTTGAGACACATAAAAAGAAAATGAAAGTTTACTGCTCCATTTGACATGTTGTCATGATCTAATACTCGTGTTTCTTTAAATATGAGATCATTATCTCCACTTTAAGAAGCTAACGAGTGGAGGGGATGCAGGGGTGCGTTCTACGGCAGGGGTGCAGTCTACGGCACAACACCTGTCATTAAAACACCCGGGTGATGTCGCTTTCAAATGCGTGAACATGCTCGATGTGTTTCCACTGTCATATGGCTTTCTTATGCCACAGTGCCTACACACCTTCGCAGTTTTGTCCACTGACCTCTTTCCTTCCTCATCATAGTTGACAGGGAAGCCAAATTTTTTTTTTCAGAAATCGAACCGCGGGTAACGTGTGTGCCGAACCGATGACGTCGATCCGAACGGATCACGGATCAATGATGATCCGTTGCACCACTAATAAGCTTTCTTACGAGTATTGCAATCCGCGAACGCACACGCTTGTTCCATAATCGTCCTCTCTGCTTTTCTGAGTGTGACCTGCATAGCAAGGCTCTGGGGGCGGAGCTTGGCTTTGCTACGTAGGAAATCTCACTGTATCAAATCCTGCTGTTTGGGCCTGCATAGAGATTCACAGCGATTTGAACAAATACTCCGAAATGCAATTTCGCACTTACTTTTCTCATGATATGTCCTGTAGCATCAGAAAAATGCCATATGAACATGTAGACAACAAGAAAAACATGATTTCAATAGGAGTGGGTCTTTAAGCATAGAAATACTGCACACAGAGTTATTGCAAAATGTGCAAAGAATAAGCAACCTTGGCCCTTTGAAGCACCATAAAAAAACACAAAAGCAAACCAGGACATCATCGATAAGAATGGTGATGCATGACACAGATGCCACCAGGTGACTGGTGACAAACAAAGAGCGTGAAGATAAACTGCTGAAGAAGCTGCTGTTTACAAGGAGTCACAGTAAATGATACATTTGATCGATTAAAGACAGCAGGATAAGACTCTTCACTAGAAACATTGACAGATGACCAGGATGTATTTGCAATAGATTATAGTTGTTTTAGTAAATGAATCTAAAGGTTTAGTCAGCTCAGTCTTCATGCCTATTACTTCTTTTTTCAAGGACTGTGGGAAGAAATTCACTCACACTGGTAACTTCAAGAGACACATGCGCATCCACACAGGAGAGAAGCCCTTCAGCTGTCGAGACTGTAACAAAGCTTTCTCTGACCCCGCAGCCTGTAAAGCTCATGAGAAAACACACAGGTGAGTTACAACACACATCGAAGTTCATCTTCACTCAGAGCTCAGTCAGAAGTGAGGTTAAATTTGGATTTTGTTGATTTGTAGCCCTTTGAAGCCGTACTCCTGCTCCACATGCGGGAAGAGCTACCGGCAGATTAGCCTGCTCAACCTGCACCGCAAACGCCACACCGGCGAGGCGCGTTACAGCTGTGACATGTGCAGCAAGCTGTTTACCACATCTGGAAACCTGAAGCGCCACCAGCTGGTGCACAGCGGTGAGAAGCCGTACCAATGTGACTACTGCGACAGGGCCTTCTCTGACCCCACCGCCAAGATGAGACATCTGGAGACACACGACACAGAGAAAGGCAACAAGTGTCCTTACTGTGACAAAAGATTCAACCAGGTAACAACATGTCCTAAGAAAAAAACTGCATCACTTTTTCCTCCAAAATCTAAATAAATGGTGCATTTAAAGAGGACTTCAGCAATATTTACTAAATAGTTAGACAGCGGAAGTTCTACGTTTATTCTTAAACTGTGTGGTGTTGTGTTTTCTTCAGCTGGGGAACCTTAGAGCCCACTTAAAGATCCACATCACAGACGGGCCTCTGAAGTGCAAAGAATGTGGGAAACAGTTCACCACTTCAGGTAAGTGGACTGTACAGACTATGTTTCATTGACTCTTATCTGTCCTTGTCTACATAAAAATCTGGAATTATTAGAGATTTGAATTTGTATGAAAAAAACACCAGTTATGATTTTTATTACTTGGCTTTCTTACTCGTGGCCCGCCTGTTATAGATTCTCACCTCTAGTTGGTCACAATCCCATAACACTGGTAAATATACATGGAAAGCAAGAGAAATGCCAGGGACAACCAGATCACCCCCATTGGATTATTACTTTGTTCTGTTTTCAACCAGGAGAAAAAGACTCTATTTCAAAGGTTGACCCGGGAGGACAGACAGCAGCACGATAATAAACGTTTCTGACAGACAAGAGCAGCCATACAAACTTAAGTCATACAAAGTACATAGTACACCTATAGTACATGAAAGTAAATGAAAGCAAAGTCTTGTATAAACCAACTAAAACCATAAGAATATAAAGCAGAACAAATGCAGCCAAATGTGCTGGCCTTCAAACTGTTAAGGATTACCCAATAGGAGCAGCACCTTTAGCTTCAGCACTTGATGATAATCATGCAGGTAAAGGGAGCAGCCAGCTTAAAACATCTTTCACCGGTTCACGTCCGACCTCCCAGACAGACAGGAAGAGAAGTTCCTGGGTCTAAAGATCGTTTGTTCCTGTGCTTTTCAGTCTTTTGTAGGTTAGACATTTTGAAGGAAGCGGATCTTATACAGACTTACAATCAAGAACACACCAGTGTTTGAGTCTACAAGCACACAAGCAGCCAACATGTTAATAAAGCAAATAGGGGTGAGTGAGAGCTCTAAACTCAGCGATGAACCTCTGTACTTTTAGTGTGCAAAGTATGAGAGCAGTAACAGGAGGTGTTCATATGCAAGTCATCGTTTTAATTCAGTTTTGACCCACAAGTGGCAGATGCGGGTCTATTCTGGGCTGGAAAGAAAGAGAGGATTTAATTTTGAAATAAAAAAAAACCAGCTGAAGTTTAATCCTCCCCCAGCTGCTCTATTTGAGATGTAAAATTATTATTCATAGTTATCTGCACTGATGCTCATATTCTTAGTTCCTTCAGAGGTGGAGATCAAATGCAGATCTGGTGGCTTGAATTCTACATCAAACCGATCTGCAAAGAAGCCTCTAGTACATTTCTAAAGTGAACAAACATTTAGATTCATAGTTATTGGCCAGTCAAGGTTAGGGGAAAAGAAAAGAAGAGGAGGAAAATGGTGCAGAAACTATCAAGGGATGTAAAAAAAAAACCAACACAAACCAACTATAAACGTGAACAAAAATATGAAATTGTTAGGAACACTGTTGTTTTTAAGATGTAACTAACTTTTAGATCAGAGGGACTGCCTCTTTCAGCTGCATGTAAAAATTACTGTAAAATCAATAATATCATCTTTAGATCAGAAGTATGTATAAACTTTATCTCACCCTGTCAGGCCTCTGGTCAGCATGACCACACACTACACAGTATCCCTTTTTTATCTTGAATGCAGCAACATTACTGTCTGCATATTTGAGAAGTAATATTTGGCTTTCATTTTCAACATTGAGCAGATTGTTGAAGTGCCCTCCGGCCTTGTAAGAGAAGGTAACGTTGAAACTTGTTGCATCTCAATTAGACTCTGAAATAATTTGTCCAACAAAGTTAAGTGAGATCTGAAAATGAATAGAAGTTCAGAAGGAAGGAAATAAACAAGGGAACCTGTCCCAGAAGATACACAAGCGAACAAACTTTCCTCTGCTGTCATCTTGATTGCACGTTTTCAAGAGTACAAGAGTTTCTTTACGGTGTTGTGTCTTTGCTTCTGACCCTTTATCCTAATCTAGAGTGATTGTACCTGATTTTCAGGAAATTTGAAGAGACACCTGCGGGTTCACAGTGGGGAGAAACCATACATCTGTATGCACTGTCAGAGAGCTTTCAGTGACCCTGGAGCTCTGCAGCGGCATGAACGCATCCACACAGGTACTCATTTATATGAGGAATACAGCTAAAGAAAATGAGAGTAGCAGGGTTTTTATTTTTTAATCTCTCATGATATTTACACTCAAACATGCTGGAATTGATTCTTAACAGGAGAGAAGCCCTGTGTCTGTCCTGTCTGTAGCAAGGCCTTCACTCAGGCCAGCTCGCTCATTGCCCACGTACGGCAGCACACTGGGGAGAAGCCCTACGTGTGTGACCGCTGTGGGAAAAGGTAAGTAAGGAAATATATCAGTGATCCAACACAACACTTATGATTGAGACACAGCAAGATAACCTGAGTAGGACTAACAAGGATATTTGGAAATATTTAAAAGCTGAAAGTGTAAAAAGTGAGGGTCACAGTTAAATGTCAGGTCTTTGGTTTTTCCAAAAAAGTGACCCTGGAATGCAACAAAAAACATGTAATTTTCCTTTTACTTTTGTGAACTTTTGATCTGGTTCATTCACAACAGCAAAAGGCTCTTACATCTTGTCTCTCGTTCTCTGTGGACAGGTTTGTGCAGTCCAGTCAACTAGCCAATCACATTCGTCATCACGACAATGTCCGGCCGCACAAGTGTCACATGTGCAACAAGGCATTTGTTAATGTTGGAGACCTCTCGAAGCACAAAATCATTCACACAGGTATGAAAAGTTAAGAGTCAGATAATAATACAGAGCTTAGAGGTGGTTGAGAGAAGTATGACCATTGAAGCTTCCACTCTTAAATATTCAGTCCTCTTTCTCCCTGTCTCACTTTCCCAGGAGAGAAACCGTTCCTGTGTGATAAATGTGGCAGAGGGTTCAACCGCGTCGACAACCTGCGCTCTCACGTCAAAACTGTCCACCATGGCAAGGCCGGCATGAAGTGGTTAGTGCTCACCGAAGGAGGCGTAGACGATGGGGTCGATGAATGTGCGGTGGCGTCCACCTCTGAAAGTGAGATCAACATAGTCACCGTCACCACAGATGACATCTTCCCACTGGCAACAGAAGCTCTGGCAGCAAGTGCTGTTGGCCAGCTGACAGGTGAGAGAGAGCATCTACAAGTCTGAGTCTGAAATTATAGAGGAAATGCAGAAAACTCATTGAACTTCGAAAGATTTAAAAATATCACAAAGATAAAGAAAGATTAGCTGAATGATGAGACGTTTTTGTATTGTTTCATTTTCAGTCGTGCCAGTCGCTGCTTCAGTGTCTGCAGATGAGACAGAAGCTTTAAAAGCTGAAATCACCAAAGCTGTGGAGAAAGTGCAAGAAGCAGGTAAGACAGGAGGACACTCACTGCAATTAATTTTGAGACATCTGTGTTTAATAGCATCTATATTAAAAAATCCAGGAATGGGGTCGGGAGCAGCCTGTAGAGTATGACAGGATGTGAGATTTGGAACAGAATGGAGAGCAGGACACAAAGTTAGCAACCTCATAACCACATATTTGAGAATGAAATAAACAAGAAATCAGGAAATAAGTTTATATTTGCTGTTTCAGCATTAATTTATACTGGGCCATGAGATAAATTTGGACACATTTTGTAATAGTGGAGTTATTGTGATAGTGAACTTCAATTTATTAACCATTAAAGGAGCCACATCTTAAAGGCATCTCACAATTTCTTATAGTGTTTTAGGGAATTGCTAAATGAACTTGAAACCAACAATAATCCTGTCATGTAGTCACCCCTGTCTTTGTAAAGCACACTTTTTGCACAATAAAAATATATTTGAAAAAAAAAAACAAAGACACACACACAATAAACCTTGTAGTGCACAAAGCTTGGTGAAAGAAATATGGCTTAGAGGAAACTTAAAAACAAGAGGCCATCACAAGTGCATCAAACATGAAAACCCTTACAAAATTTCCCGTTGAAACACAAGTGTCACTGATGCTCATGAGATAATACCATCATACTGAAGATGTGCAATTAACAGAGCTTTAACTCTAACACTGATACAGTAAATAACGGCTTTAAAAACAACAGTAAAACAAGAAGCAAAATCTTGACTCCGGCTCCACATTCTTGGATGGCACAACAACAAAATGTTGTTTTTATTTTACAGAAACATTTTAGAAAAAGACACAAGGTTAAACTTACTTACAAATTTTTAAAAACTTACTTACAATTTTTTTCAACACTGAGTTTTTCTATTACGGTAGTTTGTAGTGAGTAGGGGGTCAGAGAGAAGCATTCAACTTCCTGGCAATCAGCAACTCATACATGCACTTACCAGCCCTGCAACCAAAGCGCAGATTGCAAGATGGCATTTTCAAGGAGGACTAACTTTGCTGTGAACTTCGCTTGTGTTTCAGACCCAAACACCCAAATCCTGTACGCTTGTGATTCATGCGGTGATAAATTCTTGGATGCCAGCTCCCTCGCACAGCACGTACGCATCCACACAGCTCAGGCCCTGGTGATGTTTCAGGCGGACTCTGACTTCTATCAGTACACAACAGCCAACACTGCAGAGGGGGATTCTGCTACAACATGGCAACCCACAGCGGAGCAGGTCATACAGGAAGGAGAGCTGGTCCTCCAGGCTCAGGCTGGAGAGGGAGAAGGAGGGGTAGAGGGAGAGGGAGAGGGAGAGATGGAGGATGGGGGCAAGAAGAAAGATCAGGAGGAGGATTCATGAGGAGGATGGAGAGGTGGAAAAACACAGGCCCAGTACAAATCTCTACACGGCTTAGAGAAGTTCAGTACATTATTTGAGAGGATATGGTGTTAAGAGGAGTCTTATCTGTTGTCATAACCTTTTTCAAACAATACTATCCAAGGGTATGTGGTCATAAACCAGGTCTTTGCTGTCTTTTTTAGAAGAAACAAGGTGAGATCCCAGTATGAGGTCATTTAATTCAGAAACAGTAGAAATACTTTGTATAGTTTGTTTATTTTTAGACTTAAATGCAGGGTTATGCATTGTCTTTTGTATCAAATGTTCAGGTATCATTCCTGTCTTATCCTTTCCAGCTTAAAGAAAGAACTATGTGTTATTTTCCTTTCACCCAGATGAGATATGTATATTTCCATAAACTGTCAATATTTAAATATTTTCTTGTACGTAGTGAAGCATTTTCTTGAAAATCATATACAGAGATATTTACTTGATCATTTGAGGGTACTAAGAATCAATAAGAAGGTTATTAATTGTTCTTTTTTTTCTAGAGGTGGGATGTTGTAAATTGATGTACTTTCAAACATGCAAAGCCTGTGCATGTGTAATATTTGTACATTTGTTATGTTTCCTCTAAAAAGGTCTTAGCACCTATAATACAAGATTAAATATGTGACAAGCTAGTCAACATTTCTCAGCTTCTTGGTTTGTCATATTGGTATGATGGTGGTTAACTGTCGATAACTACTTTTTGTTATATTTTCTGTTAATATTAACATGTGTTGCAAATCTCATATAATATTAGAAACATGTTTCACTCATCACTTGGTTAATAAATTATCCTTACACAGCTTAACCAGATTGCTGAGGTGGTTTTATTCCAATATGATTAATGTAGTAATAGTTGTGTTCTGGAAGTTTTCCTGCAGTTTTTGGAAATCCTGGATAATTGCAGAGATTTGGAATTGGTTTAGCAGATTGATTATTAAAAAATATATATACATTTATAAGGCAAATTATAATTTAACAGGAAAAACAATGTTATTCTGTTTATTTTGGATTAAATGCATGCCAGTTTTACAGAATCTGGGTCTACAGCATTGAATATTCATAGTTTGTGGCCCTTCCTCTCATCATGATAAGGCAGAGTGGTTATTTGGTGATTCAAGGTTCAAGGTGAGCACTTTTTAAGAGCTGGAAGCTCATGACAAAAGATGTTTTTTTTTAGAATAGTAAAAATCAATAGCAGGAACCAAAGAGTACAGCTGATTTGATCTCAAGGAAATGCAAAAATAAGGAAAGACTGGCTTTATGTCTTTTTTTTCCCTTTTTTCAGAGATGATCCCATAAAAAAAAAACCCTGAGCACACACCGGTGTGTTGATTGTGACTTTTTGTGCCAAATGTACATTAGACGTATATTTTGTATGCGATATGTACATATATGAAATTTCCTTTTAGTTTTTTTTTATTTATTGTTTTATTTTATTATTGAAGTTGTCGCAGTATTGTTGGTTTTGTTTGATCATAGTGCTTTTATGTACATATCCTCAACAAAATCCGTAAATCAGGTTATTATTTTCAATGCTCTGTAACTAACTTGTTCCGTGATTGTCCGCCTCATAATAGAGCTTTCATATCATTGGCGGAGACGCAGCAGGAAGGACGCGTTCCTCCCTCTGATTGGCTGAAATCTTGGGGTCAGAGTTGACCGGCTGCTAACGCTGACGTCTACTACTTCAGGAAAATGGCGTCGTTGACAGCGATCATGCAGACACACCGGTCTGGTTCATTAACATCATCCAAAAAACGGACCGAAATGATGCCCCGAAGGACATGCAGACTGTTGGACAACAAAGTTATCTTCCTCCTGTCGTTAGCCTCCATGTTAAACTGCGCTTTGGCTGATGGTAAAACGCTGGTTCTGCTGGACAACCTCAACATCAGAGACACCCATTCAATCTTCTTCCGCAGTCTGGCAGGTCAGTCCAGATACCAGTTTTTTCAATCATTAACCTTTTTTTTGCAGTTAAACATCCTTCTTGTTTGGTATAAAGTGTCTTCAGGAGGACATATACAGCCCCAGAGGCTTAGGTCTGCAGAATGAAGTTCCCGTTTGCAGCAAAGCAAAGCTGCAAACGGGATCTTAGCTTCATTGTGTAGCCAAACTCCATTCAAGCCACTGACAATTACCATGTTTTACTTCAATTACTGACGTGTACGTATTTTACGTCACAAAGTGAATTTAAATTGTACAGATCCAGGGCCAATTTTCAGTTCGGCTTGTTTCTTTTACGTAAATAGCAAAATACTTCTTACATATTATGATTAATTAGGTGGCATATTAGGATAAAGACACTATTATAATCATTATCCAATACAGAAGTGCTGTCCTGTATTTGAATAACTTGATTTGCATACACAAGTTGTTATCTGCAAACTAACATATTATCCTACATAGTTTACTTGGTAATACACTAAAGATATGCTTACCAGTGTATCTGCAGGTAATTTGCAGGAAGGATTTACAAGTACGTACACCTTCCATTTTCACGAACCTCAGACAGGTTTTTCAAATCTAAAACTGCATTTAAGAGAGTCTGATCCATCTCTATGATAATGAGGGTCAGATCTAGAAAGTCAAGTTATTGGGGTTATTGTGGCCTAGACAGGAAGTAAGTGGTTGAAGAAGAATTTGCATAAACAGAGGAAAACTTGACATATTGTGTTTTGAAGAGACTGTCACCTCCCCAAAATAATCAATGCCAGAATTCAGAAGTCTAGTTATCAGGGTTTTGAATCGGGTCCTGTTTCTTTCATCTTCTCCATAACAGCCAAATCAGAGGCTGTGACTAAGATTCTAACTTCAGAATTAGTATATGCTTTATAGTAGTAGGGACAGTAAGTACAAATTTTATCTGTAAATGAGATCTTTTGATATAAGTGTGATATATGACACAACAGAACTTCAGTTTTCTTAATTTTTTTTTATTTAAACTGCTGTTATAATCACTAACAGACCATTTCAGTACATCACTAGGGGTTTATTGTACTGTATAGGTTCCTGGTTCTTCAACTTGACTGCATTTCTCTACCACATTCTTCAAATGACCAGTGTTGTTATCCATATGACTGGTGATGCATGTTTTTTTTTTCTTTTCAGATCGAGGCTTTGACATCACATTCAAGACGGCTGATGATCCCTCCCTTTCTCTGATCAAATACGGCCAGTTCCTGTATGACCACCTCATCATCTTTTCCCCTTCAGTTGAGGGTAAATGTCATGACATCATTCAAGAAAAGTCAGCTTTATAAAGGTTGTGAATGTCTTATTTATACAATCTTATCCCTTTCATCCGCAGACTTTGGAGGAAATATAAATGTGGAGACCATAACATCCTTCATCGATGGTGGAGGCAACGTCCTGGTTGCTGCCAGCTCAGATATTGGTAAGTTAATTTCCAGTGTTTTTGCTTAAATGTGAACAAAATACCATGATATATTCTCATGTGAACGCCGCCTTTTGCTTTCACAGGTGATCCTCTGAGGGAGCTAGGAAGCGAATGTGGCATCGAGTTTGACGAGGAAAAGACTGCTGTCATTGACCATCACAACTATGATGTGTCTGACCCTGGAGAGGTGAGCAGTTTTGTCCAAACAAGAGACACAACCTCTTTGTTTCACATATCCTGTATTAAGAATTTACCTCAGTCCGTAATAAGCAGTATGTTTTGTCCCCAGCACACCCTGATTGTTGCTGATCCTGAGAACCTCCTGAAAGCTCCAACTATTGTTGGGAAGCCCACCAACAAGCCAGTTGTATTCAAGGGAGTTGGGTAAGCATAAGGGAACAAAATTGAAATGGATTTTAACTGTACCTACAGAATCTCTCAGGAAGCAGGGACCTGACATTTCTATTTCTTTTAGTAAGATTTTCACTGGATCTCAGGGTCAGTATCGACTTTCCTTTGACATAAGTTTGAGAGCGTGTCTGAGATGTTTGACCAGAATAAGATAAGGATCTTTCAGGGAGCAGGGACCTGACATTTGTATTGACTACAGTAAGATTTTCAGTAGAACAATGCAGAGAAATAATCATACCCGCAGGAAAAAAAGCAACAGGTGGAGAAAGAAAAAGAGATTAAAAAAACAAAAACAAATAAAAGTTAGAGAAGAGCTTAGTTAACATGTAATTTATATATCCTAGATTTTGTACATGGGATATTTCTGCGCATAAAGTCAGTGCATGAAGGCAAACAAGGTGAAAGCATTAGCATGGAGGAGTGAAAGCAAAGGGAGGATGGGAGAAAGTAGAGGGAATTCAGAGGGCTTTTGATCTAGAGTGCTGGCATCATATTTGCATAAAAGTCTGGAAAGGAATGCCAAGTTTATATAAACCTTTTCCCTGAGCCGCACATCTCATTTTCCCTGTAATGGAAAAGGGAGATGTGATTGAGGGGTTGGTGATTTCCATCTAAACAGAATAAGCCCCATGGACTAACATTGCTGAGGATATTATTGATGCCTGGAGATCTCATTGCTGTGAAACGAAACCACAATAACTGCGATGACAGGGTCTGCATAGACTTACCTTGACATATGTTTAAGAGTGTCTGACCAGGATGGGTTAAAGTTTGGGCATGACAGAAACAAGTCAGGTCTGACCCAGGATATCCAGGCCAATTTAGCTTTACAGTTATAAAGATGTCTTACACAAATTGATAATATGAGTTCTTGTCTTGGCCAGATTTAGTCAGAAAGCTCCATATTTATTTCTTTATTTGTTGAGGACAGATACAATATTCCAAGATAAATCCAATGCCAGTATATAATAGTTTACAGCAGATGCAAAACCTGTCCCTAGAGGAGCTTGAAAGGTTTTTAAAAAGTCAACAGTAAGCTGACTACAGAATAAAACTACACATTTAGCAGTGACAGACAACCTGACTTGAGTACAAGTTTGTTGTTTAAGGGATCAGGATTTGGTGAAATCATGGATTTGTAAGTACCTGAGGGGATGTGAATTTGATAGACTGTGTTGCCGTACAAAAAGGTCAAAGGAGCCAAAAAGACCATCCAAGAAGAGCCCCCCCCTTTTTCAAGCCACTTCTGAACAGATGAATCTATCAAAGAGGATTTGAAATGAGAGTTTGAGGTGAAATGTTTGATTATTAAAGCTCCTTTGGGGAGTTTTTGACTATCAAAAGTCATAAGAAAGAGATTTTCTGTCAAAGGCCCAAAGTCTCGCCATAAGTATGTGCGTCACAGGATAAGCAAGACTGCTTTGTCGATAGAGGGCATAAGATGCAAGTTCCTCACAGGAGCTTTAAAGTATACATTTGGCCAAAATGATTATGAAATTGTGTCTGTGTACTTAAGGCAACAACAAGATCATCACAACACAGTTTTAACCCACTACAAACGCAAACCACACTTGTGTCCTAATTATGTCACCTCTTCCTTCTTTCCTCCAGCATGGTGGCAGACCCAGACAACCCTCTTGTCCTGGACATCCTTACTGGCTCTTCGACCTCTTACTCCTATTTCCCTGATAGACCCATCTCTCAGGTAAGGAGACCCCAAATAGTCTTTTCTTATCATGATTCCTGATGAATTTTATTCAGAAATGATTGCAAAGATTTAAATATAGTTCAAACTGAAGTTTTTAGCCTCAGAGGGAACATCTCATTAAATGAGAATCAAATCACTTGTGGCCTAAATGAAAAAAACTGTCATATTTGCTTGACTGTAACTGAGCTTTGTGAGTGTAAAGAGTTTAGAAAGATAAGTTATTTTCCAGTTTAAAATGTCATTCTTTACTAATAATACTTCTTCAAAGACAGTTAGACTACGTCACTTGTTCAAACTATTTTGATGAGTTTAGAAAATTCAATAATGTACATATAGGGACTTTTCTCAGTAAAAAGTTCACAACATTGTAAGTTAACACCTAATGATGAAAGTGAGATCCACCACTTCGGTGCAGGAGGATCAAAAACACAGTAGAGAGGTACAAAAACATGTGATATCACCTGACGGCATGACCTCCAATTTGACCCTAACTTCAAAAGGCTGTGATTATTAAACTTACTGGAAGTTTCTTTGAGGACTCAGGAAGCATTAATCCCCATCAACAAACTAATTCTTTAAACTCTTAACTATCTGTGTTTTTTTTAACCTCTTCAGTACCCCCATGCTGTTGGAAAGAACACCCTGCTGATCGCTGGCCTTCAGGCCAGAAACAACGCCAGAGTGGTTTTCAGCGGCTCTCTGGACTTCTTTAGTGACGCCTTCTTCAACTCTGCTGTGCAGAAGGCCAGGCCTGGGTCTGAGAGGTAATCCTCACTGCTGGTCACATCTGTTTATGTCTCTTCAGGAACTGAATTTCTGCTTTCAGTTCAGAAAAGCTGACTTTATCAAACTTTGTATACATGAAGTATATGTGCAGATCTAATCCTCATGCTCTCTGTCTTGAGAAAAGATGTTCTCATAATATCAGACTATTATTAAAGACATTGTTTCCTGATTTTAAATATGGTTAAGTAAGTGTTAAAAATGCCTGGAGACACATGCAGTAATCTAGGGCACAGCTGTGAGATCTTTTGTTGTTTCTCAGTAAAACTGCAGGCTCTTTCAGCTTTTATTCCCTGTCTTTGCTTTTGCTTGATATATAAACTATCTGCAAAACCCCATATAAGCAGGGAAAATATGAAACCAAAGGAGTCATGAAGGTGGACTCAATTTGTTATTGTTTTTGCCGACTCAGATACTGAGCCAAGACATTAGAACCATTAGCATACAGACACAGAAATACAGCTGAAAAAGTCACAGTGGTGCAATGCATCCTGGTAGATGTTACCTACAGAGCTCTGCATGCAAACTGAGCAGTTTGGGTAATCTAAAACATACAAGGCAGTATTCTTCCTTCGACTTGTTTCAGCATTCATACTACTGTGCACAGTATGTCTAATCCCCTGACAGCTTTCATGAGCAATACAGTGCAGGTGAAAAACTAGAAATGCAAAATTGGTCGGCAAATGGACTAGAGTAGAAAAGTAGTCAGAAACTGTGATTCTACATTGTATGTTTACTTTTTAGCTTAAAAAGGCCATTAAAGTTTGTCTTAAACCTGGGGCCCTGTTAAACACTTCTCTGTGATAAGAAATGTCTCTGAGTGGTATCAAGCTGATTTTGGTTATCACACACCCGTGGTTGACAGCCTCCTCTTCTCATGTCATCAGGCATGAGCAGACAGGAAACATGGAGCTGGCTGAGGCTTTGTCTCGCTGGGTGTTCAAGGAGGCTGGAGTCCTCCGGGTGGGAGCTGTCACCCATCATCCTGTCGGAGAGACCACCCCCCCAGCAGCATACACCATCACTGACCTTGTGGTGAGTTTGAAGTTTCAGTGTCTAAATGACGTTCACCTTGAAGTCTTCATTAAGGGCGTGCCTTTTGTAATGTGTGTATCTAAATCCGTTCATAACTCTTTGCCTCAGGAGTACAGCATTGTCATTGAGATGCTGTCAGAGGGCCGCTGGGTCCCCTTTGATGGAGATGATATTCAGCTTGAGTTTGTGAGGATTGATCCATTTGTCAGGACTTACCTGAAGAAAAATGGTATGTTGCTGTGGTTACAAACAAGGCTTATTCATTCATTTTTATGCTGAACTCGCATCCTAAATGTAACCCTTTGTTTTCTACCTCAAAGGAGGTAAATACAGTGTCCAGTTCAAGCTGCCCGATGTGTACGGAGTCTTCCAGTTCAAGGTGGACTACAACCGCCTGGGGTACACACACCTCTACTCCTCCACTCAGGCAAGTTGTACACATATCTCCGTGCATATGAAGTCATAAATGCAAATGCAATGACAGAAATAGATACTTCAAGTCTGTTTATCTTTTAATTGAATAAGATGATGACAGCTGTACTTTTTCCAAAGACTACCCAAAACGTTGATATGTTTGTTTTGTCAGTGCTTTGGCTTTGCACTCATTTCCAACACATCTAACAACTGTTCTGTTTTGTCTGACGAGCTTCTACTCTTTTCTTCGACACCACAGGTATCAGTGCGCCCCCTGCAGCACACTCAGTATGAGCGTTTCATCCCCTCAGCCTACCCGTACTACGCCAGTGTCTTCTCCATGATGGCAGGACTCTTCATCTTCAGCATTGTCTTCCTGCACATGAAAGAGAAGGAGAAGTCTGATTAATACAGGAGGAAAGAAGTTATACAAATGCAGGATGAGAGAACTGAGCTAGTGGTGTGAAGAGCTGAATCTGAAGGTCTGGGTGGCTTGATTCTTCACGCAGGGATTTGGACAGAAGTTTATGTTCAGTTATTTGAACTCAAGTATCAGCTTTTGGAGGGTAAAGGGTTGATGACTTTAACTCAATGCAGTGATTTTGGTGTTTTTTTGTTTTTTTTTGTACTTTGAAATCACTCAAAGACCTGTAAATGTTCTGAATTCAGTCAGCGTTTGTAATAAATTGTTCTACATTTGATAAAACGATCTCCCAAGATGGGCACTTACTTGCCTTCCAAAATGAAAATGACAATGAATTTGACCCACATTTTCTCAGTCAGGAAAAGTCATTGTGGTAACTACGTGCACTGAAAATACCACTGTTCATTTGTAATTGATAAGACTAAATGTGTTTCCTAAAAAGATTGGAGTCATGACAATAAAATACTGACATTCCACTGGACTGAAAATTCACGTCTTCTCTGTCTCATAATTACATCTGATGAATCCCACTCTGCAGCTTAGGAGAGAGTTTCCAGGACTCATTGAGTGGCATTTACTTAATGACAGTGTCAGTGCAAGACCATGAATGCCACACACAATGTTTTTGTTGTACTCATGCTAAAAAGTTTTGACAAAAGTTTGTTGAGCAACAAAAGGAAGAATCCTGCAAGAGACTTTGTTGACTCATAAAACCTTACCTTTCCTCACACAGTCCCGCAATTGAGATGAAGGGTGTGAACTAGACAACAGAAGGGGCTTGAGCACCTGCTGCTTTTGCCCCATGGGTTTGAATAAATGGTTTTTCTTTTTCCGCAAAGCCTGGCCTGTCAAATCTTTATTCAATCATAGAAGAACATCAGGTCAAGGGATATGTGATCCAGGCCAGCATATTGCCTTCACCTGCATCCTCTTCCTGCTGCAGCTGCTTGTGCCCACTCTGCCCACCTTCGAGCCCATTTGTGCATGCACAGTAAGTATATGTACGGCAAACATAAGCTATATGACCAAAATGTAGTTGTAACCTTTTTCATGCCAATGGCCTAGAAGGTGCAGTAAGTAAAATTTATTTGGTATATCATCTTTCATAGAAAAGATTCACAAAGTGCTTCACAATAAAAAATTTAAAATACATTCATAAACATCAAAATAAAATCATAGAACAGTAACAAAAGTGGCATAATTAGAACAAGGAGAGATAAAGGCCTGTTTAAATAAGTGTGTCTTTAAAAGCTTTTTGAAAGTGACAACAGATACAGCTGAAAGAATAAGCAAAAATAATAGGCAACCTATGACAGAGTAGATTTGTACATATGGGATATTATATCCATGTTTAGATTATTATAACTATGTAATTGTATGTCCCTGTCCCTAAAAAAAATCCTCTCTGTGGCTGGGCCGATTAAAAAAAGTAATTTGATTTAGAAGTAAGTTCACTTGCCGAATTCAGGCAAAAGTATTCATGATTCAAAGCCAAATCAAAATAATGTCATATATTGTTTCTTTCCTTGTCATCATGTGATAAGACATGAATTTTCAGACTTTTTGAACGCTGTTCGGCGTGAGCGTCTCACTCATTCGCGCAGCGGCTGGTTATGACGTAACCCTTTGCTAGGCAGTTGTTGAGGTTCTGTCAGAGCTGTTGGGCTGCACAGAAAGTCACCCGAGCAGCCGTTAGTTTATATTTTACCTGCTATAAGGTCATCGACAACAACGCGGAAAAACGTATGTTCAGCATTATCAATAGTTAACCAAGGTTATTTGAGGTAACGGTCGGTGACATGATAAATGCAACTGCTGCTGAAAGTCTCTATGGTCGGGTTTTGAAACTTACTAGCCGCCCCCCAGCCTGAGCGTAAAAAAGTCGAACGGCATGCTAACGCGTAGCTAGGCTAACATTAATTGGCTAACCGGATCCGTTGGAAGACGTTGACTTATCAGCTGCTTCTCCGGCTTTACTGTGACAGCTGTGAACTAGTTGTACATCCGTATTCAATGTGTACACCAGACAGACAAAGCACTGTGTCCGTTTGGCACTGTGTTACTGGACAATATAATGTTAGCTAGCTAAAGCAGCGTTAGCTTTAGCAAAACAAGAGCTGTAGTTGGGGAGTCAGCTGACAGTCTGCTGTAAGCTGCCAACAGATCAGTGATGGATCAACTGAAAGTGAAGGATCGCATACTGGAAAATATCTCTCTATCTGTCAAAAAGGTAAGCGTCTCACAGTTCTTTTTAGCACTCATAATGTTTGTTTCAGCATTAAGGCTTTGAACATGTCTGAGTCACACAGAATCTCGTTTGGTCATCTTTTGTCTGCCAAAAGGGGCAACTTTTAAGTCGGGGGGACATAGGAACACGCCGTTAAGGAAGGGCCTTGCCCTTACTGTCATTCACTATCAACAAAATCATCTGTTTCATTCGGATTTTCAGTCAGCACCTGTCTTTGAACACATTCAGCTTTCGGTTGCGATGTTCAAGTTTCTTTTTATAACCATGGTGAACAATAGTGGCCCCAGCCCCTGTGTTTGCTCACTGCAGCATGTGTTGTAAACACAAGCAACCATACTGCGGACCCATACTTGCGACATTAGGGTCAGACAAAACATAACATAACCTACTTTTTGTGTACTTCACGTTTAATTACAGATTTTGTTTGTCCACCTCTCTCATACAAATGTTAACTGCCTCCATTGCACCTTGTTTCCCTTCCATCCTTCTGTTTGTACATTCAGTCTCCAAATCCATGTGCACTTAAGTTTTCATTTGAAATAAGCTTTCTCATTGTCTCTGTTCCAGTTACTCGCCATTAGGATCTGACATTAGGATCTGACATGTCCATGAAGTAGTTGATTCCATGAGCACACGTCTGTGTTTTTAAGTCAGCAAGCCCTGTATAATCTTTCCTGTATGAGCGTCATTCTTTAATGCATTTCTCAAATATAATAGTCAAAGCTATTCTGTCTAATTTTAGTATATTATTCATGACTGCATACTGGATATGAAAGTATTTATGAAACTGTATGCCACATGCTTCTAAGAAGTACAGTGTTTACCTCTGACAAACATTGCTTAGTCATGTGAACAAAGTCATGGGATACAAAATCTCTTTCTTAGGGTCACAATCCTTCAAATCCCCCCAACCACGGCTTGTGCAAGTCAGGTACTAGGGTGACTTTATATTTAGATTAGTTTGAGAGAGACTTCTTCAGACTATTTTAGGAGAAACCACAGTGAAACTCAGCATGCATTATCTGCATGTTCAAATTGTACTTGTTAGTAGCCCTGAATGCACCGAGCACTGTAATACAAATGTTTCAGAAATGTAGAATTTCTCTGAGTAATTCAATCAACAAAATTCAACCACTGCTGTAGGGCAAGACATTGTATTTGCAATGAAATAAAGAAATTAATGTAAAATATGAGGGCAGAGTAAAAGTTGGATCACTGATCATTAATCAGTTATACAATGAATGATCCAATGGATTTCATGTCCCCTAGTTTAAGAGCACAAAAACACTTGGTTTCATGTCTTGTAGCCAAAAACCTATGACTGGCTCTAAGAAGAATGCAGCCTGCTTTGTGTGCTTGTCCAGTCATTAATGAGTGTGTAATTTGAAGCAATAAATTCCTCAGATCAGTGTAATACTGCCTGATAAAGCCATGGTCTCCCACTTACAGAGCACTCAGCATTCCCCCAGCCTCAATTTACTGTATTTCATTAGCTATATAATTGACTAAAAATGTTAAAACGAACATAAAATGCAATAAAAAAATACTTGGTTTTGTTAAGAAATGGTATTCTGGCATATTCTGAAAATGAAGGATGACTTTAAACTGCATAGTTTACAACACAGCACTGTCTGTAACATGAAACACAACACCACGGCTCCTTGAACTGTGTCAGTAGTACTAGAAGTGTTTGACAAGAACAAATTTTCCATATACTTAAAACTAAAGCTTTGTTTAAGATTAAAGTCCTCTCAGTATCCCCGCATGGTCAAACTGGCAACATATTAATTTACTGTACCAGCTGCCAAATCAAATCAGTGGAATTTTCCATCTTTAATATCTTAATTAGGCCAACAAATCACAAATCAGTTGGACTGCAGTATCTTGGTCAGCCGAAGCCCTGTGAAGTGTTTCCATGCCAATAACATACTCTGTCTGCATTTTTATTTCAACATTGCTTTCTCTCAGTTCATCGCTTGGTTTCACAGCTAATTAGCAAGACAACGGAAGGTTGAGGCTCAAAGCTGACGTGACCTGTGGTTCTCCTAGACCACCAACAATAACAAATCTTAGCTCTGGTGCAGTGAGAAAACCAGACTGTTTAGTTTTGCTTTGTGTCCAAGAGACACAGAAGGTGGTTTCAGCACCATTTATCTAACTCAGATAGACATAGAAAAATTTGACAATTGACAATATATAAATCTCCAACCCACAGAAACCAGCAGATACAAGGTATCTTCCCTGCTGCTCCTTCAGAGTTTGGTTGCAGCAAGTTTCACTGACTGGTGCTTTATGGGTTTCTTTGTCTCCAGTCTGGTCTTAAGCAGTAGAATTCCAAGCATAGCAGTAAAACACATAGATGGATTTATGTCAGGAAAAATTCCACTGCTTTGCCCTAAATTCCTTGTTATGTTGACTGTATTCATTTGTTGCAGAGTCATAGACCTTTGGTGTCATACTCAGTTACTGAGCACCCCCGATGCCAAGTGTCTGCACACATTGTAGAGGTTGTTTTAATTCAAACTCACTGTGCTCTGGTACTGATCCAAAAACAGACTTTATCATCAGCTTAGAATTCCATTAATGCTATTTTAAAGGGCTTACCTAATAGTATCCGTTTGAGTACATTAACCTTTTCACAAAAAGAATCATTTCTTCACCTGGAATTAAAATCAAAATGCCTCTCATAACAGCATGTCAAACTGTGTCTTTTTACAGTTGCAGAGTTACTTTGCAGCCTGTGAAGATGAAACCCCAGCAATCAGGAATCATGACAGGGTTTTACAACGCCTCTGTGAACACCTCGATCATGCTCTGCTATATGGGTAAGAGGTTTACTGTAAATAACTGCTTTCTGTAAATAAGAAGAGGGCACAGCATTGCCCTTTAGGCAATCATAAGACCTGTTCGGCTGTAGGTCATTTATATTGGTGTCAACACGTGACAGTCTCTATAAGAAGTTAGTTATGGCATAGCCACTTGATCTTCTTGGCTCTTTGAAGCCCTGTGCTTATAATATAATTGACTGTTTTCTACATCGCAGGCTGCAGGATATCTCTTCAGGCTATTGGGTCTTGGTCCTTCACTTCACCAGGAGAGAGGCTGTCCGTCAGATAGATGAGCTTCAGCACATAGCAACTAACCTGGGTCGAAGTAAGACATGTCTGTTACAAAGTCAAACACTTTTGTGAAATCAGTGAAGTCTCACTCATAATTCAAAGAGCTGTATGCATAAAAAGGAGCTCTCTCTTCTGTGTAGGCCGAGCATGGTTGTACCTGGCATTGAGTGAGAGTTCTTTAGAGAGCTATCTACGCCTCTTCCAAGAGAACCAGGGGTTACTGCAGAAGTATTACTTCAAGTAAGAAACCTTTATCACATGAAACTTATGAAAAGATGTTATTTTTATTTCAGAAGCTACTTTCTGCCCTGCAGGAGGGCAAATAATTGTGGTGGTTTGGCATTTTGTAGTGAGGAAGCATGTTTCACATTTAGCTAACACATTTTCTTCTAGGAATGCACTGGTCTGCAGTCATGACCACCTCACACTCTTCCTCACTCTGGTGTCCGGTCTGGAGTTTATCCGCTTTGATCTGGAGCTGGTAGGAACATGTTTATTATAAAATCAGCAAAAATACATCTCCTTCATATAAACCACATCAATGACGTCTCTGGTGGGTTTTTGTTGGATTCAGGATGTACCCTATCTAGATGTTGCCCCTTACATGCCAGAATACTACAAACCCCAAAATCTGCTGGACTTTGAGGAAAGGCTGCCCAGCTCTGACAGCTTGTCCCTGCACTCCTTCACCTCCTTGACCTCAACAAATCTAGAGTGGGATGACAGTGCCATCGCTCCTTCCAGTGAAGGTGAGTTGTGTAGGATGACCAGATCCTGCCTGAGTCCTTAAATAGTTATCAGCTTGTTCAGAGTCCAATCCAATACTCCTGAAATGATGCGAGCCCTCTTAATTTGCAACCCCTATTGTATCCACTTTCTTTTTTTGTCTAATTATCAAAGGTCCTGGTTTAACACAGAAGTTTATACACTGAAAATACTGATGTGTTATGAATAACTAAATATCTGGTAGAATGAATTTTAAAATGTATTTTACACAATCAGCCATGAAGTAGTCGTAAATACGTGATCAAGTTTTGAATAACTTAACTTAAGCTGATTGTAGGGTTGTGTGATATGGCAAAAATATTATCACAGTATATTTCATGGCAGGATCCCATCTCTAATTATATCATCACTATTTTCATTATTATTACAGTCACGTTTATTTCCTTACTTAAAAAGATAGTCCTTAGGAAAATGACCACAGCAGGCGGTTGGGCTAAAATATGTCTTGAATCTATTTTGTCTGTGCGTACAGTGTTGCCAAGCACAATTGAAATCAAATAAGAACCTTGACTTGAGTTGTACGACACAGCTTCAGGCATTCCTGCTCAATTTTAAAGTCAACAATGGGTTAATAATGTAAAACATCAACAACACGTAAGTTAAGTGCACACTTGCAAAAGAACTGCTAACTAATCAAGCTAGTATATCAGTCTGTAAAGTTAGCTTTGTTTTTTAGGTAGCACCCAGTATGTGTCTGTTCATTTGTGTAAGTGATTGGTACATCGAGGTAAGTTTCACATCTAGTAAGATTTAAAGCAGTAACAATCTGGATTGTTCACTCCTGACAAAGAAAATAAGCATAGAATTCTTTTTTTCACCAATTTTAAACTCGTAACAAACGATAAAGTTAGTGAAACTCTGTCTTTGCGTATACTTTCTTTGCAGTACACTGCAATAACTTTAAAAATGTAATATTTTTAACATAGCAGAAATGCTTCTTGTTTAAAGCCATGGTCTGCATCCAAAAACAGTCACCTTGCCTCCTTAGAACTCCAACAGATAAGACATGCTAATGCTACAGCCTCTCTGGATTTGCAGATTGTGGACACATTCTAATCCCTCATGATCCAGTATCATCCCATCGCACAACTTTAGGTGATACTGAGCCATAAAATGTGATATGTTATCATATCATAGGTTCTGGTACTGATCCCAAAGGTGGATTCCATCAATTGTTTTGGTACAGTAATGTTAAATATCAGAGCAAATGTAAGAGGAGATGCATCAATGTTTTTGCAGCCCAAACTTTCTCCAGTTGAATTTTTAAAGGAGTAAAATGTTTGTAAAGCAGGGTTGATATTTCACTGTCATCATGAGGTAGCATAAGTAAAACAATTTTACAATGTTATATAGCAAACACTTTTTTGTGTGTGCATACAAGAGCAACACAAGCCAAGATCGAGACAAGGGGAAACAAGATCAGTAAGAGCAACAAGTGATTCAAGTCCATTTGGACACAGGTACTGCCATGCAGTGTAAAAGGCAATGCTTCTGAAAAAAAGAGGCATTTAATTTTTTTTCTTCATGGGAGCTGAGACAGACACCCAATAGCTCTAATTTACTTGTCTTTGGAAGTACCTTTTTTTGCACATCCAAATGCTGCACCATCATGCTGTTTATCACAGAAGACAGAAACATGATTATTTTAACCAGCTCGACAATCATTTGGACCCACACTTCCTCGTAAATTGAATTATCTTGGGCCAATCAGTGTTGCCCCTTGTAAATAAGCCCCATCAAATATCCAGTGCCAGTTCAGATGTGAATGTGTGACCCTCTTGCTGAGTGGCAATCTTTATTTTGGGTTTATGATTTCATCAGGCCCTGCTGCAGTGCAAGTACACACTCATGTGCTTTGTCACATTCATACAGCGATGCCGAGCCAGTGGCATGTTGAAGCAGAATTGGGATTGATCCTTGCAGACTGTGTTGATTCACAGATTGCAAAGTGCATTTGATCAAATGGACCAGTTGGCGGGCAAAGCCTCATTGGAACAGGATGTTCTCATTGGGTTGATTGCAGCAGAGTTTCCTCATTGCTCCCCACAAAGTATTTGACCAGTTTCCCCATTTTAGTTCCTACATGTCTAATCTTTGTCATTGGTTCCTTTGCTCCATGAATCATGCCATGTTATTTTTTTGTTTCTGTCATTGTCTCACTCTTCTCTCCACAACACCCCACTCTAATGTTAAATGTTATCCCTCCTTTTTTTTAGATTATGATTTCGGTGACATCTTCCCCGTGTTGCAGTCATTGCCAAGTGCAGACTGGGAAGGTGGGACATTGGTTAACCCCTCCCCTTCCTGCATTTCCCTCCCACCCTCTTCTCACTCATATCTGGCATGGCTTCCCAGAGTTTGTGCTAAAAGCATGTTGGGTATTTTAACAAGGAAATAGAGATGTTACTGTGTGAAATACAAGAAAATGGTGAAAGGAGACTGCTAGTTACAGGACATGAACACAACCACGATTAAAGGGACATGGGTAAAATGTTTGAGCTGGGCTAATGGGTTCAGCTAGGAGACTTCAGGTTTTGGTTTCCAGGTTTTTTGTCAGTGTGAAAAACCAAGAGCTTTATTTATTGATGTGTAAACAAACAAACAACAAGCTTTATTGACCATCCTAGGAAAAAATCATAGTTAAAACTCTCACAGACTCACTCTTGAAACAGCAGGTTATTTATAACAGGACTTGAGAGTCAGAGCTGCAGCTAACTTTGGCTCAGCCTTTTTCTCAGAAAATGTATGATTTGATTAAGAATCCTTTCTCAGCCCAGTGTTCTGGCTCAAAAATGACACTAATCAGCTTTAGTTAGCAAGAAATGATCAAATTGCTGGTGGCTAGCTGGAGTATAGCTGGCCAAAGTGAAAGTGAGAAACAAGACTGAAGTTGGACGAATGCAGCTTGGTGTGGTGCTGAACTGGAAGTAAAAGGAAACAGGTTGTCATTGTACACAGTAAGTTTGTTTGGTTTGGGAAGATGCACAAAGCCTAGGTGACTGGAGAATCAGTGTTGGGTGGGTTCATGGGACTGTTGTGTTTGCATGTGTCACTCATGGGGATGTTCCTAATGCTCACTTTGCTTTATTATTTACTACAGTGAGAAACAAGCCTGATGTTGCTGGTACTCACCTTGTCCAGTCTGTCTCCATTACATTGTGTTAACTGTTTGTCTGGTGTTTTGTTTTTGTATGTAATAAATCTTCCTGTGTAAAATGCGGCACTGGCCTGGGTTCAGCACGTCTGCAGTGTGAGGTATCAAGCAAAATTGTGACTTTTCTCAACTACTTCAGCATTTGTTGCCATCAGCTGATGTAGGGCTGCACGATTAATCAAGTTTGAATCGTAATCGGATTATTTGGTTATGACGATATTAATATCGTCAAGTCGATTTTCCTCTCTATCATGTCTCGCACCTCTAGGCCACTGTAGGCTCCCCCTTCCTGCAGGAGCGCTCCCCAGTTCTCGCACACACCAGTGTAAACAAACATGGCGTTTGCAAAAGAAGGCGATAATTTCATGGCTAAATAGGGCAAGAGCAAATCAGTCATGTGGAATTGGTATGGCTTCACAGTTTCAGAGGAAGAGCAAACACTCCCTGCTGCAAAGTCTGTCTGAAGGCGGTATCAACTGTCTACGCAGACACGAATTAAGTAAACGCAAAAGTTTTTTGTCATATCAGCGTGCGGATGCCTATCTGCATCTCTCGAAACGACTATATGACACAGCGTTACTCTTTCATAGCGCCTGTGCGTGGCTTGGCATATGCACTACATAGTTTTTAGTGGTTTCGTTTTAAGAGATGATAGAAAAACTTATTATTAAAGTGAAGTTTGGTGAAGTTGTCATTGAATAAAAAATCTAAATAGAAAATTGAGTTTTCAGAGAAAAAAATCTGGATTTTATTTTTGGCCAAAATTGTGCAGCCCTAGCTGATACATAAAATATGTACAGATTGTAATTCTAAAAGAAGCCGTGTTAAGCTCTAATACTGATCACCTATTAATGAACAATTCAATTCTAATTCCTGTAAATATGTGTATGTTTGTGTAGCATGATCCACCTCTAGCTGCAGGAGTAATACCTGGCCCAGGCCTAAGCCACTGCAAAGGAAGCTGCTGCTGCCTGTGTACAAACTTGATGTCCTCTGCATTGCATTTCGTGCCTTTCGCTCACTGCAAAGAACTACAGAGAACACTGCAGCCTCTAACATTTGTTTATGTGCCAAGTTGACAATGCCGATGAAGAAATACGCCAAGTTTTTGTGAAGCTGTCTCGTTGGTTAACTTTACTGAGGAAAGAATTTGAAAACGCCAAACTCAAAGAACACTTAAGAGAGGAGAAACATCTGTGTGTGAACTGTTTCCTTTCACTTTACTTACAACGAGACAGTGTCAAAAATGCAGTGTATTTACTTCTAACTCTGGGAAAGTGGTGCTTTTTTTAAATTGGATTTTAATTGGTGTCTTGGTGCTTCTCATGGCAGAAGGGGACCTGACTGACCAGGCAAGCTGCCCGAGATCCAGTGGCTCTGATCCACAGACAGTTATTAGTGACACAGTGGTCATTCCTGTCGGCTCTGTCAATGTGAAGGGTGCAGCTCATCCCGCTGCCCACAGCCCCACTTTCAGACACAACCCTTTCAATGAGGACTCAGACACCAACACCACCAACACCTCGGCTGACATCACGCCTGTACACGTGGCCAGCCGTCATAATACCATCACCCCCACCAATGGAGATGACACAGAGAATGCCAGCAATGAGCTGGAAGTCATCAGGTACAGCACCATTTATTATTTATGATACAGTTGTATTGTCTGGCATCTAGTCTCATATCCTGTCACTGTGAAAGACCCAACCCAGCAAGTGTGTCATCAATGCTTCTTTCCAAACTGTTAAGGAGGTATGGTAGATAGAAAAATGTGAACCATTACCACGGCCACCGTTTTTCCAATCTGTCATGCTCATGCATCAGCTCAAGCCTAAATTGGATCGCAGTCTGCTGAAGCAAAGTTATTGAATTTTAGTTGGATTTGACTCTTGATGCTGCTGAGCAGTTGGTGAACCATGGCAGACAGGATAACCACAGTAAGGAAAATGAATGTCAGAATTTGAATATAAAAAGAACATTTTTCAAAAGTTTTAAAGTTTAGTAATTTTTTGAGAAAAAATCCCAATACACTATGAAGTGGATCTTCAATTACATTATGGTCAAACAGTGTACTGTGTGCTGACAACACGCCAGATGGGTCATCTCTTCTTTATAGCACAAGATCTGGTCCATGTTTCCAAAAAGAATGTCAAACTTTGATCGGTCAGGCCACAGTACAGTATTCCACTTGATCCTAAATGAAACTAAGAGATTTTCTGGCATGTCTGGATCATGGATATGTATGTTTTAGCCTTTGTACAGTTTAGTTTTCACACACATTTACGGATGCAGCGATAAACTGTGTTCTTAGACAGTATTTTTTGGAAGTGGTTGCGTGACCATGCAATGATGTCCACTGTAGAGTCATGTCTATTTCTTATGGAGTGAAAGCTGAGGGCCTGAAGATCATAACCATATAGACTCATGTCTTTAGTGATATCATGCACCGTAGATGATCACCTCCAATCTTTATAATTTATGCTGAGGAGAATAAACCTCGAATTGTAGATAACACTCACACAGTGGTGAAACACTTTTGATCTCTACTGCTGAGTGTCTCAGCCTCTTGGTTGCTCTTTTTAAACCCAGTCATTGGCTAACAGTTTTAATAGCTGTTTTTTTTTTTTTTTTTTTTTTTTAAGAATAGCTTAACATTTTCAGTGTTTTGTCGTCCCTGCTCCAACTAGGGGTGAGAATCATTAGTGGCCCCAAGATACTTTATCATCACGATACTTGGGCCACGATTCGATATTATTATTATATTATTAAGTTTACTATGATGTCACCTCTGCCAACCTCACTGGACAATCAGTTGATTTTATTTTTCCATTATCATAGATTTGACTTTATATTAAAAACTAATTTGAAAAATCAATACTTGATGAATGAGAAGATACGATATATCCATAGACAAAATATAGCGATACAATGCTTTATCGATTTTTTTCTCTCACCCCTTGCTCCAACCTTTTGAAAATGTTTACTACCACTACTTGAACTTAGATGAAGATTACATTGTTCATAAAACGCTGCAATTTTTCCAGTTTCATTTGATGTGTTGTTATTTTTTTGTATTATTTTCAATCAAAGGTAGGGTTTTCATGATTTGCAAACCATCAAATAAAACCACAATAGTTTCAACCTCATTCTCTTAACTGGAGTGTGTCTGAGTACGAGTGAGTTTTTAATCAGATTATGTTGAAATGGAAAAACCTAAGCAAACCTCTCTGATCTTTCAGGATGGCCAGACGAAAGAAACCAGCCAAGAAGCGGCGAGGGAAAGGCTCAACAGATTCTAGCAGCAGCATCCATAATTCTGTCTCCTCCGAGCACATGGAGATAGACAGCAGCCTCCTGGCCTCAGAGGATGCAGAATCATTGACTTGCTCTGCTTTTCAGCTGGAAACCGAAGGGGAGGTGAGGAGAAGCAGAGTGGGTTCAGAGGTTGTGGAAGGAGGAGATGAGGATGGTGTGGAAGGCCTCTTGCGGCTCCCTCAGATGACAGACACCTCCATGGATTCAGTGGGCCAGCCCCTCCGTGATGTGATGGATCGACTTAATGGGGCTCTGGACAGGGAGGAGGAGCCCTGGGAGCATCTAGAGGAGGAAGCAGAGGGGGGACAGAATGAAGGCTGTGACCATAGCACTGAGTCTCCTCCGCAGCAGCCCTTTCGAGAGGACACAGGGGGCGAGCCACCTGACCGTGCCCAGGGAGAGACGTGCCTCTCTCCACTGGCCACAAGCCCCAACTTCCTGCAGGCCTCCCCTGCACCAACAGACTTATGCTGCTTTACCGCCAACAGTCCAGACTCTGCTCCCACGGGTGGTAGCTACTATGACATTACAGGGCATTGCCAGTCGCAGACTCTTTCAGGTGGCCTTGATGATGAAAGACAAGGAGAAGCGCCAACAGGACAGAAGCCAAACATGACGCCTCTGGGACAAGACACAGAGGAAGGAAAGGAAGCAGATTCAGAAGAATTACAAGAGGAGAAGCTGAGTCCCTCTGAAAGCTCTCACCCGGCAGAGTTTAAGTAAGCTGCTCACACAAAAAAAATAATATGGCTTTTATAATATTCTTTTGGCTGTAACTGATTTTTTCAACATTCACATTTCAGGGTGGACAACAATCATTTGCTTCTTCTAATGATTCATGTATTCAGAGAAAACGAAGAGCAGCTCTTCAAGGTAAAGACAGAGGGACACATATTTTCTCTTTAAATCAAGGGAATAAATGCTAAATGAGCTTAATCATTTCTGAAGTCAGATGATCACAAACCTACAGAGAAATGTTTGTCTGTATTGTATTCCACCTTTGAACAGCTTGTTTTGTAGAGAGAGGTTTGAAGACTGTTGCATAGTGAGAGTGTTGCAAGGCTTATTGTACCAATTTCCTCTTTAACGGCTTGCTCTGGCTTCAATAGCAGTTTACAAGTCCTCCAAATTCTTTTGAAGTTTACAAAGAATGTATTTTAAACTAGTATATAATCTATGATGACAAAACAAGTGTATGCTTGGTTTTATCAATAGACTGTATATAGAATGGACACGTCTGCCTCCTTGCTGGGTGAAGCCACCGCGAGAACAGCACCCTCTGGTGATAGGCTGCGGTATAGGTCATAAATCCTGCCTCCTCCAGCAATCCCTATGGAGTTGTGGACGAACTTTAGAAATTAATGACACAGAATATACATTTTTCTCCCCTCTGCTTGCGATGTTGACGTGTAGTTACTGTAAGACTGGTTTGTGCTCAAATCCTCTTTTTTCTGTGCAGCTCTATTTTTAAAAGTTATTAGGGGGTTCATTTTTTCTGTGATTGACACTTGATACAGCCTATGGGTGTACAAAGATTGCGTAGCTCACCCGGGGGATACGCTATCTGAGCCGAGCGTCATCACAGCGACTCTTAGCAACTCTCCTGCCAAATGCGTACAACTCTAATGCGCAAGTGGAGAAAAAAAACGGAAATACCGTGAGCTTTTTGGCTTCAAATCCGTATACTGACAGAAGTCGGAACCAAGTTGTCCATAGTATATACAGTCTATGGTTTTTTCCAAAGTCTCCACACTTTGCTGCAGCTTGATTCCAGCAGTTTTGATCCATCACTCCTGAACAGGGTGGTCTAAAAAAAAGACATAATGGGGGTTGCCAACATCTGACAGCATTGATCTTTTTCAGATGGTGAGAATGAGCACAGGTCATATGGAGGGCGATCTACAGCCTCTTTACCTGCTGCTGACTGACTGTTACATTTACCTGCTTAGGAAAGGTAAGTCATTAAAAACCCAGTATGTATCAGCTTTGGGGAAATAAGGAGTGCAAAATCGCAAGTTCTAAGTGGAAATATTCTGGTGACAAAATTTTAGATTTATGTACGACCTCATAGCATCAGAAACTGGTGTGGTGCCTTCATTCTGTGTGAGCGAAGTTTGTAATTTGCTCTAATATACTGAAATTTCTGACTGAAAACTCTGAGGCACGGCACAGGATGCACCTTCAGTTGATAGCCTTGGTCATTTTGAGCAGAAAAGGGTCTGAAAAAGTCACAGAGACCTTGTCAGAGAAAATTACAACCACCAAATGACTGAAATGTCAGTCTGGAATAATATCAGAGACACTGTGTGTTCCCAAATGTGGTTGGTGATGATGTGCCACAGAACTTTCACAAATTGTAGACAGTTGGTTTGCAGAGGATTAAAATCACAGTCATCGACTCCAATTATTACTAATGATCAGAAGTCCCCAAGTGACTCCAGTTTTGTGCAAATGAGGCGTCAGCTTCTGGAGATTGAATGTGACTGGCATTTGTGGCAGTACATAAACCAAACCAGGCAGCAGTCACTGCAGATGCTTGTTTCAACTCTTGCTGCTTCGCTCTTCTCTACAACTGAATAAAATCGAAGACATACAGCCCCCAAGCAAAGTACCAGACACCTTACTTGAAGAATAAAGTCCTAAAGCTTCAGGATTTGATAAAACGCTCTTGAGTATGTGCATAATTTAATTGTTTAATTATTTTTTCACATTCAGCATTAAGTTAGTACTTTTGATTTTCCTGAAAATTTCCTTCTGACCTGAGAGCCTCTGTTGTTGTGACTGTCTCAAAAGATTCCAGGAAGTAGACATGAATTTTTGATAAGGTTACTCTGTTGGCAGATACTACTCTACACTGAAAAAATACTTACTGCAAGGCTTTGTTGTGGCTTTTTTCCATAGGTGCAGCAGAAAAGCCCTACACAGTAGAGGATGCTGTTTCTTACAATGAACTGGACTATCTGTCAGTAAGTGTCTGAGTCCAACACCCTGTCTGCTCGTGTTCATATTCATCACATCAACCCTGTTGTTGTCTTTGTGCAGTCACCCGAGGGTTATTTCTAAATAGCTCAGTGTAGAGTTAAATACAATTCATGTACATTCAGAGCTGGGTTAGTGGAGCACAGAGTCAGTTTTCTGTCTGCTTTGTTTCTTCTCATTCTGCGTACCTTTAGGTGGGCCTCGACCAGCAGACTGTGACAGTGGTTTGCACCAACAGACGGAGAAAGTTCCTGTTGGACACAGCTGATGCCTCACTAACTGTGTAAGTGGACCTGTATCTGTGCCTCTGGCTTGTTCAGACTCTGGTGCCATTGTAGACTTGACAGACTTGAAGATTTCACTTTAAAGCATTTCAATCGATCTATCTCAAGTTAGTTTTTGAGCTATGTTCATGAATTTCTGTATCCCTGTGCTAACCGACATGCAAATCTTTGAAGTCTTAACTACTTACGAAAATCTGACTTTGAGCCAAACGGGACACATAATATTTCTCCTCATCCAAACAATCCTGTTTTTTTTTTTTACCTCCAGCTGGTTCTTATCTGTGTTGAAGTCAGCCATGGTGAAGGGTTGTCGTGAGCCTCCATACCCCTCTGTTCTGACTGACGCTACCATGGAAAAACTGGCACTCACCAAGTTTGTCTCCCAGGAATCTTACTGTGAGGTAACCACATGTTGAAGTACACCTGTTCTTTTTGAGGTTTTCATTAAATACTTGGTCATAAATTCAAATAATCAGCCTCGATATCAGCAAATCAGATCAAAGCAAGGACAGATTTGTGGAAACCTGGAAATAAACTAAAACTCATCTGCAGCAAAAAAGCTCATAACTAGTGTGTGTGAAATTGTATGAAAAGACCTTGTCATTAGTGATGTCCAGCATACACTTGGTCACCAGTGTCCACCTCCTTATCAGTTTATAGTAACCTCTGGCTTTATGTGTGATGATGCTAAATTGAATTTGGATGCAGTTTAAGAGCAGCTTTATTGGTTTTGTTTCCTCCAGCATTTATCTGATTTCCAAAACAGTGTTCAATAAGAAGGTACTTGTCTTCCCAGGTGTCGGATGTTTCCATCCAACTGTATTCACTGGTTCACTGGGAGGATCCCATGGACATGGCTTTATCACCCCAGGGTGACCCATCCAGGTCTGGGGGACCTTCCAGCACCAAGGAGGGGACTCTGCAATACCGGGCTGGAACCACCTACCTGGGCAAAGAGCTGTGGAAAAGCTGCTACCTCGTCCTCAGGTGAGGTCATACTCATCCTCAACAGTCAGCTCAACAGTGGGAATGTTTCCTCACAAATACTCTGAAAACTTCTTATGTCACTTCCCAGTGTGTTTATCATTTTTTACATGCAAGAATGAAATCTAATTAAGTAATCCTGAAAGTAGTTCAGCACTGAGGACCAAACTGTGGATCACACAACACAGTACTTGGTCACTTAAATCATTTTTTTATTTTCACTGAGTATATTCTTCTTCAACTGTTTTCAGCTGAATATAAATGATTGTCCTCTTTTATTTCAGCAATGGGATTCTGTACCTGTATTCAGAAAGAACTGATGGGACACCTATAATGTCAGTCACTATGGGGTAAGCTAGCCTGCTTTCAGTTTGAATACATCTGTACTAATATAGAAGTAGTTGTATTGTTGAAGTACTTTGCTCGTTTTATCAAAAAAGATCTGTTGTTTTAGCCCTGTCTCATTTTTTAAGTGTAAGATGTGAAATGTCTCAAAGGAAAAGTCCTTTGAAAATGAAAGTGGCATATATTTTGACACAGGCTTTCCTTCATGCTCTTTGTTCTCCCTCATTATTTTGCAGAGGAGAGCACTGTGGAGGCTGCCGGCGCTCTAACAGTGGAGAGCATCCTCATGCCTTCCAGGTCATCCTGACGGAGCGACCTCCACTTGAGCTCAGTGCTAACAATGAGCAGGACATGGCTGACTGGATGCTGCTACTCTGTCAGTCAGTCTCCAAAGGGGTAAGCATTTTAGCGAGTGTCAAGATAACATTTGTGTCACATTTTACAAAACATGAGGATATCATTAAAAGTTGTTTTTTTCAATATTCTTAATGAGTTATTTACTTAAATGAGAATTTTAGATGTTAGATGTGAATTGTGTGCAAGGCATTATTCTTTGACTGGGTCAGTGGGATGAGAGATTAGCTGCATTCACATTGCACAAAATACCAAACATGTGATTCCCTTTCAGCTAACACCCTGCAGGAATGAAAGGAATCAGTAATGAATATTTGAGTCTTCAAGACTAAATACTGTTGAAGCAAGCAACATAAATAGATGAATCCATAAATACATGTAGGAATAAATAGATGAAAAGAATGAAATAGAAAAAAAGACAATCTCAGTGATTTGGAACAAACAGCTCTTTCTTTTTATAGAAATACACAAAGCATTTGTCGTGATATCCCACACACTGCTGCATGTGATACTCATCAGTTAAACTCATCAGTCCAGTTGCACTTTTTTTTATTAACAGCTTTGAACTAAAAATCAGCACGCAGAAAGCTTTTACACAAATAATCTCTGCAGGCATGCACTGTGCTAGCTTTACAAACTTGACAGGCCTTATGTTTTGTGCTCATGTTATAGAAGATCTTCCAGTTCTAAAATGCAAAAGATCAACATGAATTATTTTTGTATGTGTATGAAATATATGATCAAACTGATTTTGCTTTACCTGCAGGTTATACCCCAAGGTGTGGCCCCCACCCCGTGCATCCCATGTTGTCTAGTTATGACAGACAGGAAACTGCTTACTTGTCACCAGGACTGTCAGACCAGCTTCTTCCGTTCTTTGGGCAGCGCTGACATCTGTGATGTCACCGGAGTCAGCATAGAGGCGGACAAAGAGTATTGTGTCATTGTGAGTGTCTCAGCCTTACTTTGGTTGAATTATTTGATTATTCATAAATGTGTGATGATCAGCCCTAAAATTTAATGTAGCAGCTGTAAAGCTAAGCTATGCTGGCATGTACCGTTAATGTCTGCACCAAACAAACTGTAGGTTGTTAGCGGTAATCATTTTATGGTGTCAGTTGTCTGCTGAGAACTCCTTGACTTGCAGCAGAGATAGTGCTTGAGTTTGAGATGTGGAATTGAGTTGCTCCTAAGTCACACAGACTTGGTCTTGCCACCCGGAAGACTTGAATTTGACTCTGACTGGAGTTTTGGGACTCCCGCACAATCTTTTGTTCTGTGTTTTGGCTTACTGACATCAAGAGCTGAATGCCATTTCCTCCAATAGTGCACAAAGTTTGGCATCTGATGTGCGAGCGGACAAACTTCATAACACCATCATGAGTCACCTGTAGCTGCTACAGAACAGTGTGTTTCCAGGGTTTTCCTCTTGTGAACCATAGTTGGGCAGGCCGATCATGAATATCCCCTGATAGGGTGACCGCACGTCCTCTTTCACCCGGACATGTCCTCTTTTTTGGGGGCTGTCCCGGTTTGTCTGGCTTTGTCTGGGGAAGTTTATAAAATCCTTCAAATTTCTGCGGTTTTGTACAGAAGTTTTGAGTTTGTGTCACGTGGACTTAATGAGTTAGAAGCGCATAAAAGACACTCTAAAAACTAACTTTGTGGGACTCGGTGACTCAGCCCCCATGTAGTCGTGTCCTCTTTTTAGGAAGTCAGAATATGGTCACCCTGTCCCCTGAACAGTTTCTTAATTTCTATATGCACAAGATCACTTTCTGGATTCAACAAGTGTGGCCCATGTTTCACATATCGTCACCCTCTCAAAATATGTCTGTATGTCTTTCTTCAGGCCTATGTCCCGTCTGTTGATGCAGTGATTGCAGTCCATATAAACCTTGTTTCTGTTTAAACAGTCTGGTGCCTACGTTTGCTGCACTCTTAGTTTTGGATCCTCATGAGCCAGCCTCATCCACACACAAATGATCTGTTTTGATAAAGGAGCACAGAGCCTGAAGCCTTTTAAATGTATGCTGTGATTTGGACATACTGCTTTTGAATACTGTAAAAACATGAGACACTGACAAAGGCATAAAGAGACTGTAGGGAGCGGGTCATGAGTCAGTGTTGCTGAAAGTGAAGAGGTGCAGGTATCAGGGCGGATTCAGGGGATTGGTAAAGTGACTTTCAACATTAAAGCATAAAGCGATGATAAAGTGCTATTTTTCAAAGAACTGTACACTCACTAAATGTGGACACTAGGGTTGAGGGTCATTGGAGATGCCCTCTCTCAAGTATAGAATCCAAACATTCAATATCTTTCAGCGTTTGCTGCCTTTTAACTGAAACCATTTTCTCCCTGTGTAGGAGTTTGCAGCAGATCGGACCCAGTACCTTCCTCCGTGGATCTTGTATTTCAGCGGTTGTGATGAGAGAGATCGGCTGCTGGGGGCGTTGGATAGCACATGGAAGGCTATTTTCCAGGTGGGAAGATAAACTGTTGTAATGTGTATTTCAAAAGGAACTTTCACCACTGTGTTAAACTGAGTGTCCCATTAGTGTTGGTGGTGAATGTAGTCCACTAAAACAATAGACTGTGAACATTATGTGATGTACAGACCTAAAAAACTGAGTTCTCCTTCTTTTAGAGTCAGACATTAACCAGAGAGCAGCTGCAGTTTTGGCCTAGCCCTGATTTATTTCTCTGGCCAGACTCATCCAAATTAATAAAGAGGAATACTGCCACATCATTTGAAATCCTAATTACAACTTATCAACACTGTTAGTTATGGCCTTGTACTTGGATAGGAAAGATATTGATGAGGTATAGAAATGCTATTTCATCAACTATTCATCTGGCTGAACTGTCACACTTGTCCTCTCTGCACACAGGTTGACCTTCCCCACAGAGGCGTGTTTGATCCATCTGTACAGAAGCGTTGTGGCGAGGCCCTCGCCCTGATGAACAGTGCCTGGCAGAGAGCAGACAGTCTGGCTCGAGGCAGAGCTCAGCGTGAACCCTGGTGCTGATGGATACACATACACACACATGCGCATACACCTTACTGTGGTTGAGACAGAGTGATAGTTAGGCATTCTTACATAGCTGCGGTATACAAGGCTTCAACTACTCTGACACAACAGTCACTACAAACTGTTCAGAGTCCCGAGCTGACAGACTGAAGTAAATCAAACGCATGAGGCTACTGGTTATCGTGTTACAGCATAACCTTGTGATGCTTCCCTGATTCCCTGTTCAATCTGGATACCTTAGGAGCTGCAGCAGTCGAGGGGCACAGCTATCCAGTTATACGCGACATTATTACGAGGAATGAAAATGTTTTGAGAGAGCAAACACCAGAGTGTTGTGACAGTGGTGTCACTCCTCTGTCAGAGATTCTTCAGAATGAACAGATGCAGAAACAAATGTACTGAGAAGAACAGACGTTTGACTTGTCAGGGAAAAAAGCCCTGAAGGAAATGCACAAACGAGGGTTGTGCAATGGTTGTACTATAAACTGTTTATTTACAACTTTGTACATCTAACCTATCCTGCTGAACTTAGAGTTTGTCCACCAAAAGTAAATGTCCATCAGTTTTCTGCGAAACACTGATGAACAGAAGCTTCATTTTAGTCAGAAAGGAAAAAACAAGAAACATGTCTCTGGCAGACCGAGGACTGTAAGTGGACACAAATCTAAGAAGTCCTGATGTGTAGCTTTCTGTGCAGTGAAGTAAGAAATTTGTTGGTGATGCATTACATTCTCAAAAACGGATTCCTTTCTGGAAGAAATAACCTGCTTCCTGTGAAATTCATCAAGAAAGCCATATACAAAGAGGAAACTCACTGCTCGTTCACTCCACAGTCCCTTGCCTTGCACAAAAACGTGCTTTCTTCTGCACAACTTTAAGAAGATTCAAATCCCTCTTTGCTTGCGAACAGTTCGCAGAAGCTCTGCTGAACCCATTCACTCATTCATTCATTCATAACGCTGATGTACAGAGCTGTACAGTATTAACACATACTCCCTGACAGTTGTGTGTTTGTCTGCTACTCAGTTTAGTTCGTCTCAAGGCTCATACCTCTACACTGATCTGAAGTATCTGGATATGTATCACTTGCACTGTTACGTGATATGCTTATATACCTGTGTGGTCTATCTGAGATCTTGCTCTAACTCACTCAAAGTTATCACTCAGATGGAAACATCAGGAAATGCAACACACTTGCCTTTTTTCTCCACTTCATAGTAAAGAGTGGAGGCTTCCATGCTGACTTGCACATTGTTTGTGTTATTTTAATGGTACTATTTGTGATTTTGTGTGTCTATTTCATAACATGTGCGCATTAATTTCCATTTTACAGAAAGTGGGAACAATTGTTACTAAAATGTTCAACTGTGTAGTCACACTAAAGTGCTCTAGAACTTGGTGTCTGCATGAGCAGGGTTATACTCTCCCTTTATGATGGGATTGTATCAGTTTAGTGTAAGGGCCTGAGTAAAGACTCTTCTCCTGGCTCAGAGCCTCAAGGCTTTTGGATTTATGGTTTCATTTTGAACTATAGATTCGTGGAATTAAGACGTCTTCATCTGCATCAGTCATCATGTGGTGTTTATGGACCATGTTTATGGGCTCATAAATCACCTCACAGGTTATAGCGTATCCAATGAAGCTTATGTTGTCGGCAGAACAATGCTTTTCAATAGCCTGTAATATCACCTACAAATGAATCTTGGCGTTATACAAATACCATTATGTGTTCAAGTATCCTTTAACTGATAAAGGACTAAAGTGTGTGTGCATTACAATCTGCCCTCAACACTCACACGGTTTGAAGTACTGCTGCTCTGTCAGCAACAGTGTGTAACAGCTTCCATGTCAATGATGACAGAAGTGAGAGGTCTGTATCACACAATGTTGACAATGTTGCCTTTTTGATAATCGTTTTTGAGCAGATTTCTGTCTGTAAATGTAAAATATGTTGGCACTGGACTAAAATGTTCATGTGGGAAGAAGTATTGACCAATCACTTTTGAGAGAGCTTTGGAGGCACAGAAAGAAAGAGTTTATGTGAGGAGGCAACATGGGCCAAATTGTAATCCCAGAACCCATCAGCTGTCCAAGAATAACACTTTGGAGTTTTATTTATCTCCGTAAACAGACAACTTTTTATGAGAAAAGATTAGGACTCAGTTGTACATGTTCCACTTCTGATCTCAAGCCTCCACTTAGAATATAAACAGTGACCCCTGCAGGGAAGTAAGCTTTGTGCAGAATATCCTTTAGCTATAATGTAGACATTTGCTTTCTACACCGACAGCCCTGAAGTAATGGCTGTTACCACCAGAGGCTAAATCATCTTCAGACCTCAACTGACAGGTTCTGAGGTTACCCCCCAGGCAGACTGAACTGGTCAAACAGGCCCATATGCCTAAACTAAATGATGCAATATTCTGCTTTTGGGGAGAGGTGATAGTAATCTTCCTGGTAGACAAGTCAAAGTATAAAAGAGCAGGTTTTTAAACTACAGTACTCCCTGCAGGCACTACATTACATACAAACAGAATGGTGAAATGTTAGGAGATAATCCTCTCCATTAGACATTAATCTGATTAATTAATGATTTTGATATTAGGTCTGAGGCAGGTTTTGGTGGGAGATTGTGATTGTAATCAGCAAAGCATGAAGGGAGAATCTTGCACTGTTTGGCATTGTTGTGGAAAATCCTTCAAATAGCTCCCAAATGTCCCCTGCTTTTGTTTTCTTGCACAATCCTGTATTCCTCAGATACACTGTGTTACTTAAGCGTCAGCATTAATGAGTGCTTTAAGCTTTTCTAAGTGCCACTTGGTCTCTACAGCTTCTGCTCTTCTTCACAAAGAAATCTAATCTCAGGTGAAAAAGGTACTTCACATCACGAACCTTAATGCTCACCCCCTGTTCCTTTTAAATTAAATTGCTGCTGTTTTTAGAAGTTAACATTCATTTAAATCCCTTTTTTCTTTTTTAGTTTCCTCCCTTGCTCAGTGAAGCATTATGAAGTTATTTTGCGCACACAGAGACAGCTGCAAAGTACTTTCAAATGTGGGTAAAAGGTTTTAAGGAATACTCCTTTAATAATTTATTGAGTCCCAGAATAGGATTGGTCAGCTGCTTAGTTTGAATCCTCTGCCCCAGTGGATTACTTCAGGTCTTTTTGACCAGAGAGAGTAACAGTTGCAATAGTTGGACTTACTTGAAATGTTTGTTTGATAATTCGTTAAAAGATTAACTTCTTAATCTTGTGGCCTAAGAAGTGTACATGAAGACAGAGTTGGCATGTTTGAGCAGTCTTTTGAATGTGGGACATTGCTGGCCAATGATGGGAGATATCCTCTCGAAGATGCGTCGTAAAAGCGTTTTTTGATTTTGTTTCTTTTTTTTAACTGCATGTAATATTTGTATTTTGTTTAGCAGTTTTATTAAATTGTAAATAGAGCACTACTCAGTATAACATACTGTACACTCACATAAGACATGCATGTCCAGGAGGTTTTATACTGTTCATAATGTTCATGAATGTACAAAAAATCCTTGGTGATTGGACGGCATAACTGAATAAACAGAAACAAAAATCTTTGACTTCTTTTGTGATACATGTGCTGATGTACCGCATATTTATCTTTGTGTATTTACCTTTACATCTCTGTTCTGTATCAAAGCAGTGAAGTGATGTCGTGGAAAACATCAGGACAGTCATGTTACAGCATGGACAGAGAGTTGACAGGTAAGAGAGCAGCAGTATGTTAGGTGAAATGCGCTGCTACTCAAGCGAACATAAATAATGTCTTACTTATGTACTTATACTTAGAGACTACAGTGGAAGAAAAAGATGTTCATTTTTCAAAATGAACATGCGTCCCTCATTGATGTCTTTGGAAGATGTTGATTGTTGCCAATTCCTCAGTAACATCAAATTTGAATTGTGATATACAACCGTAATTTCGATTAGCATTATTATTCAATGCCTAAAGCGCCAGAACATTAATGCTATAGTGGCTGGAAAGTCTTGTTTTCTACCTCAAAGAAAAAAGACTTTTTTCTTTCTTTCTTTCTTTGTGCTACTGAATGCAGAAACGTTTTAGGGATGTCTGGGATTTGGGGATTTAGCATTTACCTCCAGCTACCAGTAGATGTCGCAGAGCTCTTCCTTTTACTGTCAGAAAACTGAATGTGGACTGTTACTGATATTGTTTATCAACATTTACCTCAAAATATATAATTTCTGTAAAGGGGTACATGTATAGTGAGGAATCATATTTTACTTTGTTTTATACAACAAATAAATATTAAAGCATAATAGAAATGTCATGGCTAGTAAACGTTAAATTTGTATAGGGCTGAAAAATACTTTTGCTGAAACATTGATCGTTATTTTTGTTCAGTGACAACCTGTTAGCTTCTAAAATTAATACACAATTGCAGGATAGCTTAATTAATGAAACCATAAATAGTAAGATAATTTAAATTAGAAAGTTTAACTTCTACGTTTTATTTGTGACGTAAAATAAAAAATATGAAGACTGTTTCAATTTTGATGATTTTTCCTTCAAGTCTGAAATTCAGTGTCTCAAATTATTAGAACTTTTCCTATGATCAAAAATTTTATTTATTTATTTAGTTTTTTACAGTTTTTAAATCAATAACTCCAATGTGACATATAGCAAGGTGATCCACTCATAAGATGACACTTTCAGAGCAGACAACCCAAATTGAAATATGGTCAAAGAAACCTTGAATAAGTTAGAATTTTGTACTGACAACAAGGCTCTGCCACAAAATGCATAAATCCTATATCAGCCCCCCTCCATTCGGAGCAAATCAGCCTGTGGCACTTCTCAAGTGTTATTGAAGTCCAGTCTGCTCTGACAGCGGCCTTTAGCTGATCTGTATTTTTGGGTTAGATATTCCTTGACAAATATCCCACAGATTCTCTGATAGGTTTGGCTAGCCAATCAAGCCAAGTAATACTATAATGCTCTATAAACCACAAGAGTTCTGGCGCTGTGGGCAGGTACTAAACTCTGCCAGAAAAGGAAATCTCCACACAGCTTGTCAGCAGCAGGATGTGCTCGAAAATCTCCTGGTAGATGTCTGTATTGACTCAATATTGGCTCAATAACAACACCAGCAGATGACTTGTCAAACCACATCATTGCAGACTGCACATACTTCACACTAAACTTCAAGTACCTTGGATTTTGTGCCTCTCCGCTCTTCCTCATACTCAAGGACCTTGATTTCCAAATTGACTTTAATGTGAAAACAGGACTTTGAATCATTGAGCGGCACTCCAGCTTTTTTTCTCCTTCGCCCAGATAAAACCCTTCTGATGTCCTCTCTGGTTCAGGAGTGGATTGACAGTTAAGAATAATTGGAGACGTCTGTGTGTAGTGGCTCTTGGTGCACTGACACAAACTTCCATCCACTCCTTGTGAAGCTCCCCTGAGTTCATGAATCGACTTTCTTGAGACTCCACTTAAAGCTCCTGTCATCCATGTTGCTTGTGTATCCTTTCCTACCACACTTCCTCCTTCCAGACGACTCTCATTTAATATCCTTTGACACAGCACTTTGAACAGCCGTCCTCTTCAGCTGTGGCTCACTGTCAAATCAGTAGTCTAACCCTTTATTGTGATTGCATGTTCTGAAGTAGACTCAATGATGTGTTATATTTATTCTGTTTAAAAACTAGCTTAATCTAATTTCAAATAAATATTCTGATATTTTGAGATATACAGATACACTGATATATACTGATATACTGAGATATACTTTTTACCTTCAGGTCATTTTTATTGAAATCCAAATAGAAAAATGTATGGAGTGTTTTATTTTACATGTTATGGGCCATAGTGAAATGAATTAAGAATAATAATAATAATAATAAGAAGAAAAACTTTATTATTCCCCAAAGGGAAATATAGGCTTTCAGCTTCATAAAATCCTGTTCTGGCTTTCTTTCACTCATATTCTAGGGATGCAGCACCAACCTCTCTCCCCTGAAGCAGTCCACTTCTGAGAAGCGCCACTTCAGAGTTTAGGATTAAAAACACTTTGAATGCTTGTTGACAAGAGGTTCGGAGACTTAACGTTAAACACATTTTTTTGTAATGTGAAATGTGGTTTTTATTTTGATAGTTGCCCCAGTCCAAGTCTTCTCCTCATGAAGCAGGATCAAACGGATCCCCAGTCAGTTCTCCATCAATATTATTATACAGCTTTAAAGGTCCCATATTATGCAAATTCACTTTAGAATGGTTTTCTAACAATAATCTGCATCCCCAGCCAGTCTACAAAACCCCCCAAAATAAGAAAATTCGATCCTCTCCCTTTCTTGCTTGTTCCACCTTTCAGAAAATGTCTGCTCAAATGGGCGGATTGAACCTTTCGCCCTCTATGACGTCATGGATGGCGATAACTCCCCTCCAGGTTGGTGACCCTGCCCAAGATATTTGTTCTGCCCCCCGAAAATTTCCACCCAGACACTATTTTTCTCCCACTCAAACGCTAGTTCAAAATGGCAAAGGTTTGAGCAAGGCAAGGCAGTTGCTCTGTTGTTGGTTGCACGAAGCAACACAGAAGTCTGTTTCTGTAGACTACAAGAACATTGTCACGAGAGATAACTATACTTACAAGATAGAGCATCAAGTAAGGAGAAGACAGCAGAGATGTAACCCATAGACTGTATATAGAATGGACAGAGTCTGCCTCCTCGCTGGGTAAAGCCACTCCGAGAACAGCACCCTCTGGTGATGGGCTGCAGTATAGGTCATAAATCCTGCCTCCGCCAGCAAAGCTTATGGAGCTGTGGACAAACTTTAGAAATTTATTACACAGAACATAAATTTTTCTCCCCCCTGCTTGCGATGTTGACATGTAGTTATTGTTAGACTGGTTTGTGCTTAAGTCCTCTTTTTTCTGTGAAGCTCTGTTTTTAAAAGTTATTAGGGGGTTCATGTTTGCTATGATTGACACCTGATATAGCCCATGGGTGTTCAGTGATTGCGTAGCTCTCCCAGGGGATACGCTGTTTGAGCCGAGCGTCATCACAGTGACTCTCTGCGACTGCGCGGCCGAATGCGCACAACGCTACTGCACAGCGCTGGTTTCAGGAAATGAAGAAAAATCCCGGGAATACCGAGAGCTTTTTGGCTTCAAATCCGTATACAGGCGGTAGGCGGAACCAGGTTGTCCATAGTATATACAGTCTATGATGTAACCGCTAGCAGGAGCTAATGTTACCTAGCTACATGCAAGTCACTGTGTACCGACACACCAACAAAGTAAAAAGAAAAATACGGACACACATAATATTTGTAACCATTCAGAAACGTCCTGCTGCAGCCACAGAGTTAGAATTTCTTCAGGAGCCTCTCCTTCTGGGTCAGACTCTGGATCAAACTAGTACGGCTGGACGACAGCGCTTCTACAGCACTGTGTGTAAACCATAGGTGTAAACATTAGGGCATGGTACCGAAGCGCAATCCACACACCCCTCTTCCAGAGAGACAGGGAGGGGTGTGGCTTGCGCTGAAGGAGGCGTGGACAGGTGCAGCCCACAGAAACAGCGTGTTCTCAGTAGAGCTCACTAGAGAGAGTTTTCAGGCTGGCTGATGTCCAGGAAAAAACTGGGTTTTTAGACCACAAACTTCGAAATTGACTGTTCTGGGTCCTCTGAGACCTATGTGAACCTGCTGAAAAGGACTATAATATGGGGCCTTTAAGTCAAAGGCAAATGCTACAGAGTTGGACATTTAAGATATAAAATCTTTTACCTTTCAATGATCTTTAGATCTTAAAAAAAGAAGAGTCCACAGATTCTTTTTACAGAGGGCTGAGTTTGTGGCAATTACAACCGAACATATTTGTTACCAGATGCATCGAGTTTATAGTAAATAAGACAACATGCAACACAGCTCAGAGTGGGTAATGTTCCTAGCCTCTAGAAATATTGATTATCTTTTCATAGTTTCCAGGGCAACAAGATGCTGCTTGCCTTGTTCAGATACAGTTTTATTATTTTTACTGCATTTATGGTCACCTTGGGTGTGCGTGTGCAGCATGTTACCATGGTTTCAATCTGCCATTATCTCTTATGCTTTGGTTTTCTCTGCACACAATGATGCAGAATCGTATCAAAGAGGATTAAAGGAAAATGTTTTCTCATTGTTTAAGAAGGAGCTGCAATAATAGCTGATGATTTCATTCGCTCTGAAAAGCTTCAGAGCAGCACGGAGGGAAAGTTGTATGAATCCCCTGCAGGCATGTAGGAAGATAAAACAAGACTGAGAGATGCAGATGGGTGTAAAGACGAAAAGTGAAGCACTGGGTCGGTCTGTCAACATCAAGACATCTGAACAAAGATCAGTGAAGGAAAGAGAGATGTCAAAAGAAAACCCTCTGCAGGGTTGAGAGTGGCAGTCCTTAGCTGTTAAAACAATCTGTGGTGGACACTTGAGTGAGAGTGAAACCTGTGAATGACTCAGCATGTAGTGTCAAGACAGATAAGAGAAATACTTTCAGATCAATAAGACGGACGGTAAGTGCTGTGGTGAAGGTGGTATCCCCTTAGGGAGGTTCAAATGAAAAATACGAGTAAGCTCCAATCAGATAAAAATAGTAGCAGCGGAAGATACTCTCACACAGGATTGAATCGTACCATTGGTGAGATCTTGGTGCTATAATAATGATGGAGCTGCTCTGAGGGCATTTTAAAGGGTTTACTGTTTGAGGTGATAAATAAAAAACTTCATTCTTTGATCGATGAACAGGGTTTTCTTTTCCAGGTCTGTTGAGTCACCAGATTCACAGAAACAGTCCAGTGAAACAAGAGGTCTTGATCTTACCCTTACCATAACGCTTAATCTTAAGCAGTATCTGCACATTTTTTCTTCACCTTTTCTTTTTTTTGTATTTCTTGACGTAGGGTCACCAAGATGCTCCCAGACATCCGATTTCAAGGCTGTAGGAGTATTCATAATTTAAAAATGATCTCACTACCCCTCTCCACTTCAGCCAGTGCCCACCATTTTTGCAGTACTACATCTAAGGCAACAAGCACATTTCTCTTAATAGACTGTAAAACAAAAACGCAGTTGACATAGAGGATGTGAGACATACATGGGATGATGGTCTCTGTAGTTTCAGTTTTCTCTCTGGAGCTGAGTGGAGGGAAATAATTCCCTCTGCTCCTCTGGGACTGAAACAAAACTACCCAAAAGACCCATTCCTTCATAGCAGGTCTAGCAGGTCCATAAGGGTATACAGACACCTTTCTTCTGAACTGCAAAAACTAGAAGAAAATCCATCTTTGAGAAAGTAAGCTTTATCTGTGTAGTTATCCTGACTGCCTCTAATTGCCATTACTCAGCTGGAATTTGACAGTTTAGTCATAGCACAGTAGATCAGAAGGGCCTGTATTTGCATTTATGCAAGCCGAGACTTACAGCAAGTCCTACATTTATTATGGATTATCCATTAGTGGCACATATATTGTACATAAATCAAGCAGAAATATCCATCCAGTGTGAATATCATAGTATCTCTAGCAACTGGAGTACCTGTCCCTTGAAGGGCTCTTGCGAGAATAAAAGATAATGTTAAAGTCCCACTCCGATCGATGTTAATTGTGTTTACATTTCTCAGCTTGTTAAAAGATGTGTGTGAAACAGCGTGTAGTATGAATGAGAGAACACCCATAACAGCAAAGAGGAGATTCCTCCCCCACGTGTTACAGCCCGCATAATGATGATTTTAGAGAGAGAGAGAGAGAGCTCTGACTTTGCTCTCCCTTTCTCTGCCCCTGACTGACTGTTACATAATTTATGAAGGAGGGATGAGCGCTGTAGATTTCCTCTGCTGAAATGCAGCAGCTGCTGCTGCCTGCATGCTAGGTCCATTACGGTATTCCACAGCTATCTCGGTGTGGGGCAGGAGAGCCTGACATACACTGAGTCAGAGAGGAGGGAGAGGACGGGAGAAGCACCGATTTCTGCAAATCCAGACTTCAGGAGCGGTAAATTATCAAGCATATTTCTGTTGATTTTCTCTTTAAATTAATATCTGTTGTCTGTCATCTGTAGAGTACTTTAATAATTAGCACAGACATCTTCTGCAGTGCATTCATTTGACAGTGTTTTTGTTAATCAACAGGACTATTTGCCATCCTCCTCATTATGCTGAGGAAGGGCTCAGAGCTGCAGAAGGGGGACAGAGAGGTCCTCCTGGATCTGGACTATGGTGGTGAAGCACAGAACACAGACAGTTACGGGAGTCTACAGAACGGGAGCTACATCCCGCCAAGATATGTAAGCACTGTTTGACTTTGTTCATTAAATGCTGCAGCATGGTTTTTCTGTCACACTGGGATATTACACTGACATAAATAACTGCACACAGCAGCCATAACTCTGCTGCTACTGCACCGACTTCTCTCTATAAATCTGGTCTACAGTAGTTCACTCAACTGTGAGATATTGAGCGTCATAGTCACCATACTTAAACTGTTTTACAGCCTCAGTTTCACACGAGAATCGGCACTGTGAAAATAGTGGTGTCCAATCCATTTAAAGCCCCTATGTACATGAAAACAGTCTAAAGACAACAAATTAACTGTTGAAACGGAAAAATATGAGCTTTGTTGACAGTTTGTCTTATTTTTGTGTCATCATGCAGCAAATGATCCATTGATAGATGACTAAAGTCTTCAGGCAGACCAGTTAAGCACCTGGACTCTTCTACTTCAGAGCCATGCTGTTGTATTTCAAGAAAAATGTAATTTGGCATCTCCTTGCTGAAATATGTGAGGTCCATTCTGGATGGCAGCATATGTTGCAAAAAAAAAAAAAACCTGTCTATATTGTTCAGCAGTAATGTTGCCTTTCATCAGTGGTGTGTAAGCGACCCATGCCGTGAGTGCTAATGCATTTCCATACTATCATAGATACTGGCTCTTGAACTGTAGGCTGATAACAAGCTGGGTAGTCCTTCTTCTTTTCACTGCAGTGGAAGCAGCATCCATGGTTTCCAAAAAGAATGTCAAACTTTCATTTGTCGGTTTTCTGCATCTGAATTGAGCTTGGACCCAGAGACGATGCCAGTGTTTTTAGTTCATTTAAAAAAATGGTTTCCTTTGTGCATGTTACAGTTTAAACCTGTATTTGTGTATGTAGCATCAATCTGTGTTTGTAGTCTGTGTTTTTGGATGTGATTCTGAGCCCATACAGTGAGTATGTTATATAGCAGTGCCACCTGGAGGGTTAAAGATCTTAGCCATCCATCCAGAGTCAGCCCTTTCCCTTTCTTTAAGAGATTTTTCATGAAGGAATCTTGGAATGATTTTATGAACCTTGGCTGATGAAACCATCAAATTTTCACACTGTGAATCATTATTTTGAAATTGCTGAATTATTTGCTCACCCAGTCTCTCACAGAGTGGAGAACCACTTCCATCTTTACTTCTGAGAGTTTCAGCCTTTGTCGATGCTCTGTTAGTACCCAGCAGGCTACAAACCTGTCACAAATTCACCTCATTGGTTGGGAGATGTTCCTCCCCGTGTTTTTTTAGCCTTATACAACTTTTTCACCCCTTGTTGTCCCTGTCACAACTGTTTCGAAAGTGTTTGCTGGCATCATATTTGAAATTAGCTTCTTTTTTCATAAAATATTCAAATTTTTCAGTTTCAACATTTGATTTATTTACTCTTTTCTAGGGATTAAATGATTTGAGAACCATGAACTTTTTCTTATATCTGCATTTCACATGGCGTCCCAACTCTTCTCGAATTTGGGTTGTAATCAAATGTGACATTTTTTGCAATGAGTGTTTGTTCACAGCCAGTCAGAAAAAACTCAGCGGTCCATTTTCTATTCATCTTTGGGCCCATTAACACAAAGTGGAAGCTTTTATGATGCTCTGTAATGGCAGCAGATTTCACAATTAAAGCTCATTAAAGGGAAATTAACCGTCCATGTGCAGACAAAAAAGCCAGAAAAGGGAGTATTTTTTAGCTTGCACTTTTTTCTAAATAACAGATATCCTCAATAACAACTTGTGTGTTTGGATGCCCTCAGCTTTCAGCTGCAGCTGCTGAGGATGACATGGATGGTGATGACTCCATTCATCTTCATCATGATACAAGAAACAGGCACCCAGTTCCTCAGCCGGGGAATTACTTCAGAGATGGACAAACAAAAATTGGTAGGCAGCATCAGCAGCCCAGTCATCTTGAGCTTACTGATTGATGACCAAATCTGTGTTTCATTTCACCCTCTGACACTCACGGTCCATCTGCGTTTAGACTTTGTGCTGGTGTGGGAAGTTCGCTCCCGGAGAAAAAGGCGAGGGAAAGAGAAACGGGACGTGAATGCTGAGGCGGGGGAAACTGTCCCCACTGAGGAGAGTAGCAGGTCTGAGCGAAAGAAAGCACAGCTGGCACAGTGGAGAGAGAAGTTTGTGCAGAATCTCGAGAATGTGGGACTGCTCATGGAAAAGGTTTGCAGTTTATTTGTCTCATTACTGGTTCAAAAACGTTAATTAAATCGTTTTTTTATTGACCTATTATCTTGCAGTGTCTTCATGTTGCCTCTCCCTTTCTTTTTTCAGGAGGAAACAGCAAATGAAAAGAAAACTATACATTTTCTGAAACTCAGCGCTCCGTGGGATGTTCTGGTGTGTTATGCTGAAGAACTCTGTGTCAGAGCTCCATTACAGGTCCGTGCATCTGCTTAGAACTGAATATGTTAATTCTTAATCTATTATTTATTAGGTTTGTATACCTATGACTTTGGGGTTGATGTTTCACCCAGCCTTGACTAACCTTGTGTCAAGGCAAACACCTGTGTGATGAACAACCACTGATCTTTGCACAGACATCCACAGATTTTACACAACTTATCATGTGATCACTCTTAATTTGTTAAATCCAAGAAACTGGTTTTAACCATGAATGAAATAACAACAATCCGATGCCTTGGAAAAAATCCTTTTTTTCATGTTTGCTGCAATGATTGTCACTTTTCCTTAAAGGGCAAAGATATTACATACACAATACACATTATTTGGGATAAATTATACACAGTAAACTTGGTGAAGACCAGCGTGTTAGCATTATGATGGTACATGTTTTCCCATGCTGATGTTTGTAATCACCTCTAAGCATGGCAGTGAACTGTGATCTTTTTCATTATGCTCATGTACAGGATGAATACTTGCAAACACAAATGAATGAATGGCATTTATTAAGCTATTCCAGACACTCTCTGACTCTGCAGCTGAAACCTTTATGCATGCTTTCGTCACATCCTGTCTTGATTACAGCAATGGCGTCCTGTCTGGGGTACCCATCAAAGCCCTTGACAGGCTTCAGTGCTGACAAAGCTCAGCTGCTGCCAGGGTTGTCACCCATACCAAAGTCTAGAAGCACATCACCCCAACCCTCATCCACCTCCACCGGCCCCCAATCAAATCCTACATCAGTTACAAAATACTGCTCCTCACCTGTGAATCACCCTGTCCTGTAACCTTTTAGCTGCAGACACTGGCCTTCTGTCTATCCCAAATACCAGACTTTGTGAATGCAAAGACAGGGCTTTCTGTGCCCTCACCTTCTGGAGCAGCCTCCTCTCAGACATCCATAATACCCAATCTCTAACCACCTTTTAAAAACTACTTAAACACCAGCTGTTCATTAAGCTGCTTCCCCATCAAGCGCCCCTTACGCTTTTTCCCCTGTGTAAGGATGCCTAGCCCATGTTCTCAAGTAAAAAAATGGAAGGTCCACACGAATGATCATTTTGACAAGCTTTACTGGTTACAGATCTGGGTTACAGCTTCATCATGCCACAAGTGTACCACGAGTGTCACCTAAGTGTAACACAAGCGTAACAAATTGTAACAAAGATTGGTCTGAGACCGTTCAAGGATATATAGTCGTCCACGTTTCCAAACATTCCGCTTGACTCTCGGTGACCTAAAGGAGAGTCCATATAAGGTAACAACAAAGCCCGAGTGATGTTAAACACGGGTACAAGGTCCTTGTTGAGGATGGTTGTCGGAGGACCATGGCTCCAGAAATCTAGCACCAAAGTATCTGAGGTATTTGAATGACACAGCTCCACCACTCTAAAGGCTGACATGACTGGGTAAAGAAAATCATCCTAACAGTCCTTACTTTTTTACACCCTGTCCCAGTCTTATTATAACTTTTATTATTTTATTGCTCCACTTTGTAAAGTGACCTTGGATCCCTAACCAGCCACGAAAGTCATGTTTGACATCCCTGATAGTTGATGAAATATATGTAGAACAAAACTGAAGGGCTTTAGTCACAAAAATGCGCTTTCTTTTGTCCCCCAGTAACCATAGTGACAGATTTATTTTTTTTGTAGAAAAAGCTAAGGATAAGTGTAAAAAGGATTGGATTTTCTCTATACTAAATGAATCTATGTTTGTCTCCAGGCGCAGCCTAATCTGGACTTGAACACATCTGCTCGGGTACTAAGTAGACTATGCATACCTAACGTCATGACAGAGTCTGTGCCAAACAGGCCGCTGGACTATTACACATGTGCCTTTCGCAAGTCAAAGATGAGCAGGTGAGGTCTACGAAACAAAGATGAAAGACGATCAGTCAGTTAAGTTTCAGAGTGTTTTTGTCTGAATGAATGACTCTTGTCTGCAGGTTCCTTGGCTGTGACAACCACGAAAACTACTTCACTAACACACAGAGGCATCGCATTGTGAGTAACCAAAATCACACAACATTACATGTCATCAGTGAAACGATCTCCTTATGCAGCGAGAGATTGCTCGTTATTTCAGGTGTATGAGATTCTTGCCAGGACAGTGTACGGCAAAAGGAAGAGAGCAGAGGTTGGTGTGGACAGACTTGTAAATGAAGGAGTGTACTCAGCCGCTTTCCCTCTTCATGAGGTGAGGTATCATTTGTATACCCTCAAATTTGATATCAACCTCCCTCCACAGCCAACACAGCTGTATGTTTTCTTGCTTTTAGGGCCCCTTTGAACTCCCAAAGTATGGAACCCGTCCTGAGGAGCTGAACCCGAGGCAGATTCTTTACCAGTACTGGGCCCGATGGTTAAAATGGTACAAGTACCAGCCACTGGACCACATCAGAGAGTACTTTGGAGAGAAGATAGCATTCTACTTTGCTTGGTTGGGTAAATATTAACTCTTATTCAGATGTACTGAGAAGTTTACCTTCTAAATGATCCAGTTTCTTCCTGTTTTTTTACATGCTCTGATTTAAGCCAACAAAAAAAAAAATCAATTTTTAAAATTCTATAACAATGAATCAGTTCATACAATATCTACTTACTCAACTGTTTTAAACTAGTAATGGAGATCGCCATAAAATGGAAGCCCAGGCCGGCCATGGATTTTTCTTTTTTTATGCACTGTTATCTCATGATAACAACTTATCTTGTTATCTCGCTAAAACAGAGTTTGTTTTCCTGAGTTTTTATTATTATTTTTTATTTGTTATCTCACATAACAAAGATCCTTTTCTCATGATAGGGGAAATGGCGTTTAACCCGACTTCAAATGGTAACTTTTAAAAACACCCTCCAGATTAGGATGTTTCTGAAACACTGCAGCCACTGTTGTCAACAGCAAGTCGGGGATTTCAATGAAAATCTGATGGCATGCTCCACTCTGCGCATTCCTATTACACTTTCTACGATTCGCACATGCTAGTTAAAGGTTCCCATGTTGGCTGCAGTGTTTCAGAAATATCCTAATCTGGATATAATCTCTTTAAAAGTTACCATCGGCTAAAATGCCACATCCGTTTTCTTGAGAAAACTATCTTTGTTATATTGAGATAACAAAAAATAATTCGAGAAAACTATCTTTGTGATATCGAGATAATGAGATAATAAGTCATAATCATGAGATAACAGTGCATAAAAGAAAGAAAAATCCATGTCCTTTCTAATCATCTGTACCATAAGACCTCTGAACCAACACGTACAGTGATTTAAATCAGCGCATTGATAGAAATGTGAAAGCACTAAACTTGTGACAATAGAGGGTTTTTTCAAGTACTTGGGAAATGGCACTTAAACATTCAAACCAACAAGTAGCAAATTCTTAAAAAAAGAGAGATGTGGAATAAATACCTCTTTTTGAGTGCTTGGACCTACTACAGTCAGTTGTAGCGAATTCATTTAGACATTTAAGTTAATGAATATCTGAACCAGTGTGAGCCATGCTGCGAAAAATGCTTTTTAAGACTGATTATCTCAGTGAGCTAACATTTGTATAATGACTATGCAAAAATGCTGAGGGGAGGCAGGTTTAATTTATGGTCTGTGGCGCTCTCGTCATCATTTTAGCACTGTCATTAGCTCTCTGATTTTATGCTCACTTGAGTCGAATGAAGACTGAGTTCAAATTTGAGGCCCCCATAAGCCTGTGATCAGTTAATAATACACAACCTTGTCATCAGATAGAAAAACAGTCCAGACTACAGCCAGGGAAGCTTTTATTGTTCTCTACATCTGCCTGGTAGATTTATCTAGGACAGCTCTCCCTGGTGAACAGAGATTCATGTTTTACCCTCCTTTAAAAATAAACAGCTCAAATTGTTATTAAGCACAGGAAGCAAAACACATCATGCCTCAGTAAAGAGAATACTGAAGCACGCACAGTTCCTTCCACAGAATAGTGAGAGGAAAAAGCCTTCAGACGATTTAGCACCACCCTCTGCATGAGATATACATCTTTTGTGATGCTTAACTGACTTCCTCATCAAGGACACCCCGGTATTAAACAGCATTGCAGCAGTCTTATCGCACATCCCCCCTCCATCAGCTGGGAGCTGTAGCCTAATGGATCTTTTATCTCTGCAGGTTTCTACACAGCCTGGCTGCTGCCAGCGGCAGTGGTGGGAACCCTGGTCTTTGTATCTGGAGTTGTGTCAATGGGAACCAACACACCAGCGTGAGTCCAGAAACAATTCCCATTATACAGCAAATTTCAGATGAGATTAATTATACTCATGAAACTTCTCTAGAATGTAGATGTTTCAACAACCCAAAAACAGAAAAGTCTATAAAACAAATATAGATTTAAAAAAAGAACTACCATGGAAGCAAATCTGTGTCATCTGATTTTGATTTTAAATTTCTAAAGCTGAATTTTTTTTGCATCAAAATCAGACCTTGAATTTCAAAACTATCGAATCTCAAGCATGCATTTTTATCTCTGACACTTATTTTTTTCACAATGATGAAACAAATTCAGTGTAAAAAAATTGATTTCTCAAAATATTCGTTTCTTTAAAATTCAACTTAAAAAAAAACTGTAAAAAGAAATTCAACGAAAAAAAAAATTCAGTGTCAAAAAATTCAGTGTAAAAGTGACTGACTCAATATTTGGGTAACCAGGGAGAAGCAATCGATTCCTGGCTCCATCCAGCGCCCTCTGGATACAATCTTCCACTGGGCCACATGACAAATGTAGCATTATTTGATCGGATGGATGATTGGATGGATGACTGAGCCAGGATTTTATTGCTTCTCCCTGGTTACCCAAATGTTGAGTCGGTCTCTTTTACACTGAATTTTTTTAATGTAAAAATGAATTTCAGCTTTAGAAATTCAAAATCAGATGGCACAGATTTACTTCCATAACCTACAACACAAGCACTCATCACTGATGTTTTACCTAAATATATGATTGGTCTGGGTTTAAAGTGTTGAAAGACAAAAAAACGACACGTTCTACTGTCCTGGCCTCACTAAATAAAGGCATTGTGGACTCAGTCAGATTCAAAACTGCCCAATTTATGCATAGGATATTAAATATGTATTACCTGGCAACAGTCAAAAGATGTTTTCTGGCAAAGAGAGGGGTTATAACTCAAGGGGGAATTTAAAGTTAAGGGTTTTTTGATAGCTTATGCAATGTACTGAAATGAACATCAATGCCTTTTTATGACACTCAAAAACAAATGAAACCAGTGGCAGCAAGATTGACCATCACTGTATGGTAATTTTTACTGCCTGTAACTGCTGTGAGGGAGTAGATACGCCAAAGAAACTGTCTACTTTTCCTACAGCAAATACTCACAGTAAGCGATAAAAAAAGACTACAGGAGTCAGCCAACAGCACTAAGTAAAGACGTTATGAAGGTCACTATTTCATCTACAGGAGGTGCCAAATCAACATAGACATAAAATTCCCCACTGGACCTCATCAGATTGTTGTTGTCTTGTTCCACTCTGTTGTTTAACCAGAGAGATGTTCTTAAAGGGATATTCAGGCTTAAAATTAAGTTATGGTCAAACACATTGTTACACCGAGTCAGACACTCCCTCGAGAGATAAATGTTGCAGACTGCTTACTTCCCTAGTTATACCAACTTTAGTAATGACCGGCTAAGATAAGTCTCTCAAAACAAACACAGATGGCACCGACCCATAACCTTGTGTGCTATACAAGCGACCATGTGTTATGCAATGTTAAGGGTACCCCAACTTACTTCAGTCTTACCCACCTCCCACCACAAATTCAAATGTTTTTACTTCGTCTAGTTCCAATATTGCAAGGTCACAGAGTCAAAGTAAGCTGTCAGAGGCTCAGAGCACACAAAGGAAGAGGCTTTTAAAGATGGCTCCCCTCTAACGAGCCAGGCTTGTTTGTGAGGGAGCCCTGGCGAGTCCATCACAGAGTGCAGCAGATCATTTCTTTGAAGTAATGATTATAAATGTTCTTCCTTGAGCTGCGAAACTCCACTTGGTAATTGACTTGTCAGGGCTCCCCCACAAACAAGCGACTGCTGGAGGAGAGTGGGTGAGCTGTGTTTGGTCTCTTTGCTAAAGAAATCAGGCAAAGCTATAAAGATGTTTGATGGCTAGTACTATGGCTGGGAACCTAAATGTACCGTTGATGAAGTTAGGTGCTGTTCTGAGCATTATTTGTGGTTATAGAGTGACTTTTTGGTTGAGGTTTGTGCGTGGAGACATAGGCTGTATCTCATTTCAGAGACCGCACCGTCGAACGGCGCATTTGAAGTTTGCATGATGTCATCACGCGGCGCGAACGGTGTCCCATTTGGCTCGAAATGCTGAGCGCGCTTCAAATTCTGTCTCAAAACCACACTACCCCCCGCCCCTTTTTCAAGCGTGCATTTATGCACGCTTTTGTGGCCTTGGTATCCCAGAATCCTTTGCGTGCCGCTGCTCAGCTGTGCATATCGATTGAGAGGCCGGATTTGCTTGGAGACGCAGCGCGTCTTCAAAGAAAATATAAGAAATCCAAAAACAGCAGACAGTCAGCTCAGGCTGCATGAGCGCATGATCTCTGAACTCACTAAAATTTGCAAACCAAACATTATAGTCCTAAGAGACGAACTGATCCGCTCTGCTTAAACTATCAAAAACATTAATGCCTGTGCTGACATCAATACCAAACCAAGTTACTGCAAACTGTAAGATTAGTGTTAAACTACTCCTCAAGAGAAAGATCTTGTTTCCCCAAATATTGAACTAACTCTTAAGAGGCACAAGAATGCCCTAGAAAACAGGACTCTTCTTACTCTTTTCTACCCAAATTATGCAAAGCAAGTGCTGTTTCTAAAACAAACAGGCCAGAACATCAAAGCACAGCCTGCCCTGCATAAAAGAAACCCACTGGGTATATATGTGCCCAGTTTGTTATTCATTATTAAACACCACAGTGGGCTCTGCCCAACCTGCAGAGTACCTCACAATCACTTCTTTTTCAGGCTCTGTATACCTTAGGGTGTTTGTCCCTCAATTTTGCCTTTGCGATTGTTGGGGGTTTAGTGTTCTGGTTTTATAGCCTCCTACTGCTCCCAGTGACGGAAAATTTATCTGGCTGTAAAGTAACAAGGGAGGTTAGAGGGAAAGGAAGACAAGTCAATATCTCAGGAAAGGAAACAGCTGAATGTCTAAGATTCATGAGCTTCATTAGTTCACACTTTAGGTTACAACCATTGATCAACTCAGAATAGATGGAGAGCAGTCAGTGGCAATGACAGAGTGCAGAAGTCTTGACTGATAATGGACAATTAGTGCAAAATAAGCTCCACATCATACAGCTAACAAAGAAAGAACACTCTCAGTGAGTCCAGCCTTCATTTGTTTGGCTGATCCCATGTGTAGCTATTCTGTCAGTAACTCAGTTTCTGAAAGTGCTTCCAGAAAGCTGTTAGAAAGATTTCAACACCTCCCATCTCTTCTGCTTTCTCCCTCGTTCAACATACTGCAGTTTTATGTAAGTGCTTTATTCGATTAAAGGCCAAATCAATCTGTTTCTGTCCATTCTGCAGAGAAACCTGATACATTAAAATGGGAATATTTTCTTAGTTTGAAAGATTTCAAACATATTTTTAGCTAGCTGAATCTAATCTGTGTTTATGTGTTTGTCAACAGTAAAGAAATCTGTAACAGTGGAGATTCCTACCTGATGTGTCCTCTCTGCAACACCTGCGAGACTTGGAACATGTCTGAAATCTGCACCATGGCTAAGGTAACAAAGCATAACCCAGCTAATCATTTTTAATCCATGTTGAAATGTTGATAGCTTCTTCATAATTATCTAGTATCTCTGTCTGCATTGCAGTTGGGTTACTTATTTGACCATCCAGGCACAGTCATCTTCAGTGTATTCATGTCCTTCTGGGCTGTAACCTTCCTGGAGTACTGGAAGAGGAAAATGGCGACCCTGGCCCACCACTGGGACTGTATGGACTTTCATGAAGAAGAGGTAACACAAGTTTTTTTCTGTTTGCTTTTAGTTTAATGATGGCCTTACTACTCATATTTTAAAATGTGCATTTGCTTAAAACTTGAGATGCCGTTGAGGGGTGTGGGTAAAGTGGAATAGTAAGGTAAATGTGTGTAGGAGTAATCCCAGGATGACCCTGCCTGCTGCTCTGAAAGGCTTGTGTTATGAGTCACACAAAATATATGGCCATGTTTCATGATTTGTGATTTCAAACCAAGAAAACATGATTGAAGTCAGTGACTACAACTTTGTAGCACAGCAAAGGTGGAAGAGGCCACCAGAGAGCTGGCCAACCTACTTTTGGGGAGATTTAAAGAGACAGTTGTCAAAGTAGAGCACGATATTCATAAAGCCTGAAAATGAGCATTATTCCCTCCTTTCAGCTGTAAACTAAGGCAAGGACATATAAAGTTAAGATTGAAGATGATCTGTCAGTTTAACATAAATAAATATTTTCTTTGAGTTTTGGCTAGATGACTTCATCCTACAGATTTTTACCATCATAATATACCACTAACTCTGTGCTTTTTAAACAGAGTTGGCTAAAACTTGACAAAGAATTTGTGAATTTTTTTGATGTCCTATCAAAGGAAAAAGTGAAGCACCTGAGCTGTGGGAACTCTACCCTTTGATTTCCAGACCAGGTTGTCTGTGTTCATAGACACGTGTCATCATTGTCTTCTCTCAGGAGCGTCCTCGGCCGGAGTTTGCAGCTATGGCCCCATTAATGGAGCAAAACCCAGTGACAGGGGTTAAAGAGCCATACTTTCCAGAGAAGACACGGTTGTCTCGAATGTTCACCGGCTCCATGGTCATCATCATGATGGTGAGACGCTGTCTCAAAGTGTTTAAAAAGTGCTCCGTGTGAAGTCAAGGATCTATTCTGCAATAGTTCATATAGTTTGTTTTCATCCAGGTTACTTTATTTAATAATTGTATTCCCTGTGTTTTTATTTCCATGGAATAAACACTCAAAGGGATATTCGGGCGTAAAATCAAGTTAGGTTTGAACACACCGTAAACACACCACGTACTATTACTGTTGTGCGGTCATTACTAAAGTTGGCATGACTAGAGAAGCAAGCAATCGGCAACATTTATCTCCCAAGGGGTTGTCTAACTCAGTGTTATGGTGTGTTTGACCATAACTTAATTTTATGCTGGAAGAAGTCTTCATAACTGATGGAGACAGTGAATCTGGTCCACAAAGCCTGCCTTGTCCCACCACCATGTGCTAGTGTAGTTCAGAACTAACAAACCAAACACTGGCTTAAGGGCTTTTTACACTCTTTGTTGGAATGTGTAAATTTAACTTCTATGTGACACTAAATCCTCCTCACTGGTCCATTAAAAGATTATGTGTATGTATAAAGTTTTACTCCAAAAATATATCATTTAGGAAAAAACTTATCACATTACAACATGTACCGGTATATGCAAACTTTTCTCCATGATTATACTTGATGTTATACATGGTTTCAGTGAATGATCTCTGTGTCTTTCAAGCATTTACTTTTGTGATCATGAAAAGAAAGTTAGGTGGGGTTGAGCAGTAACTCAACTCTTCAAAAAAAAAAAATAAATACAGATCATACACCCACAGGGTCAGATCTGGTCTCATTTTTCTAACCCCTTCACTCCAGACTCAGTCTCCCTGCCACTCTATTGTCAGTTTGCAGCCACAGAAGCAGGATTGAGGGGTAGTTTTGAGACAAGGCTCAATTCAAGATCAACTTAAATGGAGAGTTGGCAGAGGATGGCTTCAGATTACATTAGCACTGAAAAAGGGAGGTCCCCAAGTTGTTTTAGTCTTCACACCATCAGATTCCAGTCACCCTTTAGTCAAGGATGCAGTGGTGGCTGCAGACCGATCAGCATGAACTCATTATGACATTTATATACAGGTGCCATCCCAGGAGGAAAGTAGAGCTTCAGATGTCCTGGGTTGAAGCCCTCAAGCATTCAATGAGCTATGACAGGGAAGAACTAGAGTCTGACCATAGTCTGGACTTGGGGTATGGCTCAGCCAGCCTTTGGTCTGAAGCAAAAGGATTTTTAGAGTGCTGTGCCCATGACTAGGAGATTGAATTTAATGCAGGCTCCTGCTGGCTGAAAAAAAAAACAGCTCAAATGTTATCAAAAGTGTATCCAGCCTGAAACTTGTCTTCCTGGGTCAAATCTGTACAGAGAAAACCAAGTTCAGTCTCAAGAAGGAGAATACATCACTAAAACAAGACCAGGTCACAATGACAAAATCCCCATTTTCACATGAACGACAGCACTGCACAAATATTGAAGCCTAGGCCCTTTTCCCGAACTAATACACCAGAACATTTCAGTTTGAGGTCAGTTCTACTTGTCTGTGAGTGACATTTCATAACTCAGACTTGGGAACCCGCTTGTTCCTGTGCAGCCTGAGAAAATCTACCATGCATATGTTCCGAATTTTGATGATTTTTCCTGTTTTCCTGATAAAATACTCTCCCTGCGTAACCCACTGTCCCTGTGTCTCTCCTCTCAGCTTTGTGTAGTGATGATTTTCCTGGTGACAGTGGTCATGTGCCGTGGGATTATTAGCATAATGATGTTCCATACTGGGAGTCCCGTCCTACGTACAGAGGTACATTCAATTAATACCAAGTATTTTTTGTGTGTGCAGACTTGCATTGCTATCATTAAGAATTTATTCTTGAAATGAAAACACACACACAGACTCTTTGGGCAGTCTGTGTGTGTGCCTGTATGCATGTCTTTCTCTCATACTTTTTTGTAATCTTGTCCTCAGGCAGGAACCATAGCTAACATAGCCGGCAGTATTGTGAATCTGGGCCTTATTCTGTTGATGGGTCGGGTCTACACTGCATTAGCAGAGCAGCTTACTAAATGGGGTAAGAATCAATACTGTTCTCTGACACCTCAAACCTCAATATGATATTTAGATATCAGCCTCGCCCTGGATCTTCACTAACTAATAGCTGAGGCTCCTCAAAGAGCAGATGTCTCAGGTTCTACCCCAACATCTGTGGTAAACGTACTTCCTCAGTGAAGGAAACCAAGAGATATTACTGGATGAATGGCTTCCTCTATTACAGCTGCACATGTGTACTACAGCTCCATTTATCTTGAATATACTATCAGTGCATCATGGATGCGCTGTTTGCAGTATTTGCTGTAGCTGTACAGGTGCACCTGATGAAAATTAATGATAAAAATATGGGGAAATCATCAACATTTTTAGATTTTGGTTTTTAAAAAACAAGAAATGTCTTTTAGCTGTAGCAGAAACTTACAATTATCCTCAGAAACAACACCAGCTGAGTTAGTGACTGTCATATTTTGGCATTTTTTTAATGGATTTTAGTTTTAAACAAAGGGAAAATCCCCGCACACTGTCCAACTTGCAGAAAAAGAAACAATTTATTGCTGCAATGTTTCTGTACTAGACCCTTATTAGGCAAACAATGCCAGATGAAGGTCTAGTACCGAAACGTGGCAGCAATAAATTGTTTCTTTTTCTGCAAGTTGGATAGTGTGTGGGGGTTTTCCCTTTGTTTGAATTGCTGGATCCCTTGCTCTTCGATTCAACCTGTCCTGAATTATAGATGTGTGAAGTTACCTCTCCATTCTGGATTTTAGTTTCAACAGCCACAAAGAGACCACATACAACCTCCTTTGCTTCTTTAAAAAATGATGATTCTGATACTTCTTAATTAACCAGGAATTAGCTTGTTAGCTGAATATTGGGCTGCAGCAAGCAGGAACCTCTGTTGTTGAAAATGAGGCCAATGTGGAAGTGCATAAAACTTGAGTTCTTCATGTGTCTGCAAAAACCAAAGAGCCCCCACTGAATCCCAAGTGAAATTGTACAGGAGTGAATAGAAAGGTGTGGAGTTAAACACAGATGTCTATAATTAGGGGTACGGCTGAGTTGACAGACAGGTGGACATGTTGTAGCTGTTTGCCAGGAAGCGAAAAAACACCTCTGCCTTACCTCTGTTGAAAGTCAAGTTGATTTATTATTGCTGGGCTCACATCACTCTTCAGAAACCAATGACTGATGTCACTGAGATTACATCCATGTTTTTTACAGTTTGTAGGCCTCACAGTGGAAGCCTTTCAGTGTGAATGTCCAGGGAAATGGTTGTCTGTCTCTATTTGTCAGCTCTGTTATTGACTTATAAACCTGTGAGAGCTGGGATCGGCTGCATCTCCTTGCAAAGGCATTGACAGAGCACATGAAGGATGCGTAGCTAACTGCCATCAGAGTCAACAAGAAAACAAGGACAAACACTTTCTGAAGTGCTTTTCTAATATAGACTCCAGTTAATCACCTCTTTAGTCCAAATACAGCAAGTATAGTATTCAGTCTGTCTGAAACATTTACCTCAGTTATTAACAAAGAAGTAATTCAGTCAGTGCAGTAAGATGATGACTTTTTTTGTTAGTTAGTTAGTTTGTTTGTTTGTTTTAAAGTTTTGTGTTTGCCAAACTTATCTGTAAGCGATCGAAAAAGAGTTTACGGAACAGAGGTTTTATTGTAACCCTCTTTATGTTGTTCTTCATTTTAGAGATGCACAGAACTCAAACTCAGTATGACAATGCCTTCATCTTCAAGGTCTTCATCTTCCAGTTTGTCAACTTCTACTCATCTCCTTTCTATGTAGCTTTCTTTAAAGGAAGGTGAGGCACAAGCCAGCTCCAACAGTCTCACACAAACCATTGATGATTTGGACGTTTTGTACCACATAGAATTTAACCTGTTTCTCATTTTTCTGCCTGGGTAGGTTTGTAGGATACCCCACCAACTATGGGACCTTGTTTGGGATGAGAAACGAAGAGGTGAGTTTTGAATTGAACACATGTCAAACACACATAATTGGATACATTTCTTCTTTGGCGTTTATAAAACTGTTTTTCTCCGCTGCATCATGTGTTTTTCTACTTTTACAGTGTGGTCCCGGGGGTTGCCTCATTGAACTGGCTCAACAGCTCTTCATCATCATGGTGGGAAAGCAACTCATCAACAACGTTCAGGAATTTATTATCCCGTAAGACTAACATACTTCTTCTGAGAAATTACACATCTATTATTCATCTGGTCTTTATTCTTGCAGATACTGTTTATTATTTTGTTCATATTAAACAAAATCCAGGTTTATTATCCGGCTTTGAGAGCTGAATATCACTTACTTTGTCTGTGGGAGCTTGAATGCCACTTTACAAAGAGATAGGAGAAGAATTTGGTAAACTACTCATCATTTTGACAAGGACATAGTAAAGCCAGATGACAGAGAACAGGAAAGAATAATGGTGAGGCTGTGCAGGCACGTGTAATTTTAGTAACAACAGCATAAAAGCCTTTTCTTGGACGTTTTGGTTTTTCTAATGTTGCATCAGACTGCTTTGCAACCTGATTGCAGCTGCTTTAGTTTGGTGCAGTAATACTCATCACAGTACCTCTGCAGCACTGACACAGTGTGTGTGTGCGCATGTGTATGTGTGTGTCTAGAGAAAAACCTGAACAGGCAACCAGGCAGAGACAGAATGTAGGAGGCTTTTGGGGAACAAAATAATATAACAGGAAGCAAGGCAGTCTTTATGGACAACTCAAGCAATATTTCAGAACCAGTGAAACTCTGACACTTTCCTCTGCACACTCAGAGTTACTTTGAGTCTGAAGGTATCCCAGAATAATGTCGGGAGCTTCATTACAAAAAAAAATGATTATTTTCAGTTGGTAGCTCATTCTGAACAGAGTTTTTTAACATCCTTAAAAATAACATGACTGGGTAACAGTTTTGCATAAAGTTTCCATATTTGAGGCCACGACTGAGTTGATTGACAGTTGGGTGTGTCGTAGCTTATATCCAGGAAGCTTAATGCCTGCCTCAACTTCAGTCCCCCCCTCCAAACTAAAAGAAAAATACATAAATAAAATAAATACATAAAAATAAAGAAACTGAGTGACATTACAGAGACTGTGTCTATTCTAAAACAGTCTAAATGCCAGTATTGTAAAGCTATCTGGTTCTGTTTTCATTGGCGCTAGATCAGATTGTGCTGCTTTGTTTACTTCACTTTCCAGTAAGAACACATTAGATTTACAAAACCACATCAGAGGGGATGTGGTGCCCTTTGGCACACACAGGAATCTTAACAGTATCCTGGACTGAGAGAGGCTCCATTATTTGAATATCTCACAGTTTATGTTTTAAATCAAGGAGAGGCATTTCTGTAGCAGTTCCTGTAATAAGGATGATGCAACAGTATTTTAGAGCAACAGGCTTCCCAAACTCCTGTAATCTGATCCCCACCTTGCAGAGAGGAGGAGAGAGCATCACTGATGCTTTAGCTTCAGTAGCTGCCAGAAGATATACTGTATACTATGATCAGCTTTGCTGGTGACAGTGCTGTGCAAGAGTTCACATGGAGGGTTTGATGTTTCTCTCCTTTGTTTTTTGTTTTTTTAATTATTATTATTATTATTTTTTTTGGGAGGGGGCTCCGAGATGGCAAAAAAAGAAGTTTGCTCCATTGCTAAATTTGAATAAAGGATTTCATCTTTTTATTTCATGTTGCATGCTGCATCAATTTGATTAGTTGTAAGTCTTTCTGAGGCACTTTTGTGATTTTGGTTTTATTGAATATTCACCAGAGTGCTCTCTGTCTCTCTGTTCTTGCAGTAAAGTGAAGGCCTGGCAACAAAAGAGAAGTCTAGCCAAAGTTTTGGGAAAGAAAAAATCCAGTGAGCCCAGGCGCTGGGAGGAAGACTACCAGCTGGTGGAGTGTGAGGGCCTGTTTGAAGAGTATCTGGAAATGGGCAAGTGTCGTGCCTTCAGTTTAATCAGCAGTTCAAAAAAAAATTCAAATGCTAAAAAACACTTTTTGTATTAAACAAAGGAATAGTAAGAGAAGTTTATTCAGTCCTCTTTGTTCTAATACATAGTTTAAGAATGTATCATGGTGTTGCAGTGCTCCAGTTTGGGTTTATCACCATCTTTGTGGCAGCATTCCCTCTCGCTCCACTCTTCGCTCTCCTCAACAACTGGGTAGAAATCCGTCTGGACGCCCACAAGTTTGTGTGCGAGTACCGCCGGCCGGTGGCTGAGCGCGCTCAGAACATCGGAGTCTGGTTCAACATACTGGAGGCTCTGTCACACCTGTCAGTCATCGCTAATGTGAGTGGATTCAAAAAACTTCCTCACCAGTTTTGTCATTAATCTCTTTTACTGACTTTATCTTTGGTTGTTCCTTTGTTTGTTTGGTTGTACAGGCTTTCTTAATTGCCTTCACATCAGACTTTTTACCTCGTCTGCTCTATCAGTACAAGTTTGGGAATGATCTTCATGGATACGTGAACTTCACCTTGGCTTATGCCCCCCTTAACTTCACAGAGTACCCCATGTGCAGGTACATTTTATCTTGATTGTCTTTACACATGTAGATAAGGGTTAAAAAAATCCATATTTTGTATATTAGGTCTGTTTAGGCAGAATCCCCCCTGCAGCATTAACAGAGTAGTAATAGAAATGTTTTAGACATTATTCAGTTCTCATTCTACTGCTGCATACCAAGTACCCAAACACTCCTTTGTATGCTCTAAAATAACTTGTCTTTTCTTTCCCCTAAGATATAAGGCCTACAGAGACAACAACGGAAACTACACACTCTTCTACTGGGAGCTTCTAGCTGTCAGACTTGGTTTTATCATTGCATTTGAGGTACGAAGGGAGCTGCTGAACTCCAGTGTTAGTATAAGTTTGTACTTCTGTCTTTTTCAGTCATTTCACATCCACTTTTCACACTTTTTTATCCATCATCTTTGCATCTTTCCCCTATATCATCCAATTTTTAATATCTGTTTCTGCTTTGTGTTCAGCCATATATTGTTGTTTGTAATTTTCTAATCTCCTTTCATTTCTTTTACGCTTCTTGCTCCTTTTGCATTTGCATTCCTCTCCGCCTTTGAAGTTTTCCTCCATGGATTCAACTGCAGCCCTGCATACCTTTCTGAATTCATATTATTAAGCACTGTTCCTGACTTCCAAATGACTGTGCACATCTTGTATTCATTCAGCATCTCTCCTTTGCTCCTCAATTTTTATCCTTTACATTTCATTAGAAAAGTCACGGTCAAAGTCAAAGCCATTGTGTCAGGGGAAAAAGGGGTAATCAGAGAAGTACAAAGAAAAAAAAAAACAGAAATGTTCAGCAGGACCTCTGACCCTCAGAGGCAGCAACATTGGCTGGATTGGGGGTTGATTAAATTTGTTGTGTCAGGGCTGGCAGGGTGAAATATTGATATGTGCTAATCTCAGTACATGAAGCCGTGCCTCTTATGATTCATAATGTCGTACTCAAATGTCTGATTACAAACAAGAGTACCAATATTTTGTGGTGTGCAGTGTAACAGTGCAAAGTGATGGCAGAACTTAAATCCAGTGCTGTTGCAGAGTTGCAATATGTAAGAGGCTTATGGAAGGCCTGAGGGCAAGCTGGAAAAAAACCTGAAAATACAAGCTCTGAAGCCTGGAAAGAAGTAACATTTTTATTTTTTTAATTTAACCTTTATTTAACCAGGAAATATCCCATTGAGATTAAGAACCGCTTTTTCAAGGGAGTCCTGGCCAAAAGGCAGCAAACACAAAATACAGTTACATATTGATATAAATAAGACACAGAACTTAAACACATTATGAGAAACAAGTGCATATTGTGGAATTGCCCTTTAATAACTCTCAGTTTGGATTTAAAAGTGCTCAAAGAAACTAAGTAAGTTAGTTTCCAGTCTTTCTGTAGCATATTCCATGCATAAGGTGCAGAGTAAACAAATGCCCTTTTACACAACTCCATAAGAGGATAGGGGACAGAAAGCAACAATTTTTTTTTATTTTTTATTTATTTATTTTTTTAAATTTGGCTTAAACAGATACAGGCTTTGAGAGAAATTCAAAGAGCCTATCAATGATCTGCAGCTACTCAGACTGGGGTAAATAAAAACAGAATGTTTATGGATAAAAGTCCATGAAGCTTTGTGAGGGATAACGGTCATATACTGAGGAGGTATTTGTTCAGCCTCTTCTTGAAGGCGTGAACACCAGTAGATGTAATGTCTCCAACAACTGCAGGGGGAAGGCTATTCCAAGTTTTTATGGCAGAGTGGAGAAAGCTCCTGTTGATCTTAGATATCCTGACAAACTTAAACCATAGGAGAAGATATAAACTAGATGAGATAATCACCCAAAATATACAAATCAAAATTTGCTGGTAAATTAACTTTGTACATTGCTGATATCAACACAAAATCTTGCCTCCCAGTTTTTCATTTGTTCTGTTTTATTTATGATCTGATTCAAAAGTAGGTTTTGTTACTAGAGAGTCTGTTTTTCCAATATGATGAGGAGCTGAAATTTCATCAGCTCTTTCCTTCTCCAGCATGTGGTTTTCTTTGTGCTGAGGGCCATCGATTGGATCGTACCTGACGTCCCTGAATCCCTGGAACTGAAGATCAAGAGGGAGCGCTACTTGGCCAAGCAGGCGCTGGCAGAAAACCAGGAAGCTTTGTTGGTGAGTCGAGGCCAAGGGGCCACTCCTGCCACGCCTGGCAGCTCCAGTCCAGGTCAGTAGAACATGGGACACATACATGCACACAAGAACACATGCAGCACGAACGCACATTTTAAAATAAAGGCTTTCTAATTCTGTAGTTAAATGCCTGAAACAGGGGCTTGGTCAGGTTGTTAATATGGGATCCTTAAATGTGTCAAAAACAGTCAAATTTTAAGTTTCTAATGTTTACCATTCATATCATATGTGGAGAAAAAAAAGGGGGAAATAATCTGATCATTTATATCAAAGTTATAATCTAACGTTTACAGTGCCTGAAGATTTAAAGCAAGCAGTTCAAAACTGAATATTCTCAGATTCAGACAGCTTTATTTTTCCAGAGGCACAATTTTGTTTACATCCTACAGAGAAACAGAATAACTTTGACATAATAAAACAAGACGAAGTAAACAACACGATGTACAGCAGCATCCAGGAATATCAGTGATAATATTCAGGTGCATCTCAATGAATAAGAATATTGTGTAGAAACACTGTAGTCTGTCTGTTGTTTGGGAAAGTAAACATTTGACAAATTCTACTGCAAACCAAAACATTTAAAGCATTTTTTCACATATTTTGATAATAATGGCCATGGCTCAAAAAATGTAATTACAGATGAAAAAATATACTGTATATACAAATAGTGTGTTTTATTTGAAGTTTGAGTCAATTATTATTCAGTGAAAATACATACCGTGTGTCTCTTAGTCTGGTTCAGTACCATAGACTGTATATAGAATTGACGCCATCTGCCTTCTGGCTAGGTGAAGCCACCATGAGAACAGCACCCTCTGGTGACAGGCTTTAGTATAGGTCATAAATCCTGCCTACTCCAGCAATCCCTATGGAGCTGTGGACAAACCTTTGAAATTTATTACACAGAATATACATTTTTCTCCTCCCTGGTTGTGATGTTGACATGTAGTTACTGTAAGACTGGTTTGTGCTCAAGTCCTCTTTTTTTTCTGTACAGCTCCATTTTTAAAAGTTATTAGGGGGTTCATGTTTTCTATGATTGACACTTGATACAGCCTATGGCCGTACAAAGATTGCGTAGCTCACCTGGAGGATACGCTGTTGGAGCTGTCCACAGCTCCATAGGGATTACTGGAGTGGGCGGGATTTATGACCTATACTGCAGCCCATTACCAGGGGGTGGAGGTGGCTTCACCCAGCAAGGAGGCAGACCACGTCCATTCTATATACAGTCTATGGTCAAGAGCCACAAGAGTAGAGAGGCACTTAAACCAAACTGGGGGGTGTCTGTCTGCAGTCTCTGATGATTTAGGAGGCTATGTCATCTGCTGGTGTTGGTCTACTGTGTATTAATCCAGATTCAATGTAGCTGAAAGTCTATAAGGGGATTTTAGAGCACTTTATGCTTCCATCTGTTGACAGTCTTTATGGAGATGCTGATTGCCTTTTCCAGCAGGACTTAGCACCTTAGCACAGTGCCAAAATTCCCTCTGAATAATTTGCTACCATGATAGTACTGTGCTTGATTGGCCGGCCAAACCCTACAGAGAGTCTGATGGATATTTGTCAAGAGGGAGATGAGAAACAGCTGAACCAAATTTACCTAATAATAAAGAAGCCTGGGCTCCAGTAACATCTCAGCAGAGCTACAGGCTTATCTAGGAATTCATGGTAAATGAGCCCTAAAGGTATAAATGAACAAACTTAGAACAGGGTGAACATTTCTATGTCTTAAATCCTTTCTTGATATATGCTAATCATTGGAGAGAGGATTTTTGATGCATAATGAGCTCAAGGCCAAAAACATCTAAACTAAAACAATTATAGACTTTTAAAATATTTGCACAAATAAAAGGATATCTGAAAATCTACCTTTTTGAATTATGATGTTGAGATGCACCTTTATCTGCTGCAAGGAGGATTACCATAAAAGAGTTTAAACACTACTCTAAATAGATAATCAGACACCAAAACAGTAAATTCAGGTTCAAGTGAACTGCACTGCTGTCAGGATTTAGCAGCCTGGAGGAACAAAAGCAGATATGGACAGTGCAGATACTTGCTTTTATCTGCACTTGGGATATTTTCTCCATGAATGATTTCTGGCTTGAAGGATTAAAACAGTTCCTCCTAAAATCAATAGTTAATTCACGTTACGGTCCAGGGATCAATACAATATAGGTTAATAAAAAATGCTCAAAGCGCTGAACTTAAAATATCCTCAGACCTTACTCTCTATCTGTTGTAGGCTCTGCAGTTTTCTGTTGTCGTAAATTTCCACTCAGATGATCACTGAAAGAATCCACCAGCAGAGTTCGCAGGTTTCACACCACATTAAACCTGTCACTGAGCCTGCTGATTCCCATAAAAACATTCCAGATTTTTAAAGGCTCCTAAAAGTTCACCCACCCATGAACACACCTCCACTGAGCATTTACAAAGCACCTGTGGCTCAACCTGCTGTTGTAAATTTGCTACACTGCACGCAACATGATCATTACAGCTAATCTTTGTGGGGTTGGAGCCAAATATGTCAGTGTCAAAACCATTTGATTACATCCATATCCACCTCGTGGAGTGATGTGTTTGACACCGTTCATCATTACCTCTGTCAGCACTGCCGTTGATGTGTCACTTCAGATGATGACACAAACATTTTCACTGGAATGAAAAGCCAATACATCAGTAAGCTATTTCACATTGTGCACAAACAGTCTTTTACAGTGTATTTTCATCCTCGTCTGTGTGTGTGTGTCCCTGTGCTCTGACCCGTGCTGTTGTCTTGTGTCGCATGTAGTGGATGTTGCTGGATGGGGGCAGATAAGTACAACTCAACAAGTAAGTCAATGGCATTCTCAGGAAGGATGTCATTCTTCTAATCATCGACTCAGAAGTAGGGCTGCACGATTATTCCATTTTAAATCGTAATCGGATTATTTGGTAATGAGGTTGTTAAAAAAACGGAAGTCGTCAAATCGATTTTCCTCTCTATCATGTCTCGTGCCTCTAGGCCACTGTAGGCTACCCCTTCCTGTGGGAGTGCTCCCCAGTTCCCACACACACCAGTGCAAACAAACATGGCGTTTGCAAAAGAAGGCGATAATTTTGTGGCTTAATAAGGCAAGAGCAAGTCAGTCGTGTGGAATTAGTATGGCTTCCCAGTTTCGGATAAAGAGCAAACCCCTCCCTGCTGCAAAGTCTGTCTGAAGGCGGTATCAACCTGTCCACATGGAATTCAGGAGTAAATGCAAAAGTTTTTGACGTACCGGTGTTTCATCTGCACGGGAATGATGTTTTGAGTGACTGTAAACGGTACTTTGTGAAAACGACTCAGAGAGTGCATAAACCCGAAAACGACTTCCATTTCATCTCCATGTGGATGTCTATCTGCATCTCTCTTGAAGCGATTATGTGATATACAGCGCAACTCTTTTATGGTGCCTGCACGTGTCCGGCTAAAACAACCTTTACATACATGCTCTGTACACTTCGTCTGTCTTTTGTGCAGTTCTGTGGCTGCGTTACAGCGCCACTTACTGGCTTGGCATATGCACTACATTGTTTTCAGCGGTTTTGTTTTGAGAGATTATGGAAAAAAAATTTATCAAAGTGAAGTTTGGTGAAGTTGTCACTAAATAAAAAATCAAAACCGACAACCGAGGTGTCAGGAGAAAAAATTGAGATTTTATCTTTGGCCAAAATCGTGCAGCCCTACTTAGAAGTGATTTAATCAAAGTGAATTCAGTTCTGAACACTGAACACAAAGGGGAATTTATTTTTAAAACCTAAGGGCTTGAAACCCTCTTTTATATTTTTGATATAATTTTCCCAGAAACCTGTTGTTTAAATGACATTCACAAAAGCTGAAGGAACTGAAGGAACTGAAGGAACTGAATTCACGTGATGTTTCAATAATATGTGTTATGAATACAAACATGTCAGTATGTTAAAGTCATACTAACTTCATCAGATTTTTTTCACATGGTGTGATTTTTAACTGAAAGTCCATTTTTGAACCCATTTGCTAAAGTTGGAGAGCCAGGGAGTTATCAGTTTATTGATATCACAATATAGAGGACTATTTTTCATAATGTATGGATCAGAAATGAAAAATTATTCAAAGCACTCATTTCTTTCCAACTCTAGTCTCTTATGGATAATTTTAACAGATAACTAATTCAGTAAATAATTTCTTAATGTATAACTTTTGTGGTTATAACGTTGAATTTACTTGTTATAATGGTGTAATATTACTTGGGAGAATAAAATCTCACTTGATTGGCCCTTTGTCTCCAAACATCCATAAGCTAAAAGCAGAAAACAAAGCTCTTTGGTTATAAATAAAACTGCTTCCTTGTTAGCTGTTTATTTGGTGAATTAACTATGTACAACCTCAATTCCAGAAAAGTTTGGACAGTGTGTATTTAATGTTGATAAAGTCAGTTTTTGATGGTTTGCAAACCAGTAGAACCCTTAATTAATTGAAAATAGTGAAAGATGACAAAGCAACTGTTTGATTTGAAAAAACTTTGCTCATTAGAGCTCATTTTAAATGATAAATTTGATCCAAGTAACACGTTTTTAAACAGTTGAGGTTTGTCATCATCATGATACATCACCTTCTTTTTAACTAAACAATATTTTGATACTAAGGAGACTGGTTTCTGGAGTACAAAATGCAGTCCGAGTTGTTTTGATTCCACACAGGAGACTGCACTCACCGCATGCTTTCTCAGTCTTCACCAACATCTTTATCTGACTGATGGAAGAAAGGGTTTATATCTCTATTTCCTAGCACTCAACTTTGCCTTCACCTGTGCACCAACCCGAAATACACCTCCATATGTCTGCTGGAAGTGGATGTTGTCGTCCAGACCCACTCCATCTTAATGAAAGAAACTCCCCTCCTGCACGAAATCCCCTTCCAGCAGAAACCTCCATCAGTATTCAACAAAACATGACAAAAACACACAAAAAAACTGTGAAAATTGTAGAAAATTCAGAGAGACAAGAGTGTTCTGCTACTTGGTTGAGTGCAGATT